TTCCATGGATGGTACTTTCATCCGTGAGTTCATTCGGCCATTCGCTGCATAGTGAGGTTGTGGCATGAGAGGGCCTCCTCTCTTGACTTCTGGAGGGAAGCAAGTCTTTCTTCTGCTGCGGGGATGGTGGAGTTTGGGAGAGTATGAGGGAGAGCTCGTGGTTCATAGCCCATCATTAAGAAGAATGGTGACGCATTGCGGGAATCATGTTTTCGGTGGTTATGCACAAATTCTGCCATTGGAAGGTGTTCAACCCAATCTTCTGGGTGATTCCAGCAATAGATCCGAAGATACGTTTCGAGTTCCTGGTTGAGTCGTTCGGTTTGGCCATCTGTCTGAGGATGGTAAGCAGTGGATGCTGCTATATCATATTCCAAGAGTTTGGCAAGGGCTCATGAGAACTTAGATATGAACTGTGGGCCGCAATCTGAAATAACCTTCTCATGCAGACCGAATCGCCAGTAGATGTATTTGAAGAATTTCTTGGCGACTCCTTCTGAAGTGACGGTTTTAGTGCAAGGGATAAGAATTACCCCCTTCGTAAGGCCATGGTCGACCACGACCATTACAGAATTGAAGCCAGCGCAGGGAGGGAGGGAGGTGATTAAGTCAATGGAGACTTGGGTGAAAGGAGCGGTGGCGACAGAAGGAATGGGGACAAGGGGAGGGGTTGTCGGATGGGTGTCAGATTTCATCTGCTGGCAGAGGGCGCAGCCCTCGACGTATTTACGAATATAGGTGCCCATAGCGGGCCACCAGAAGTCGCGCTTAACTAATTCTTCAGTTTTGAAACGCCCGGGATGACTGGCGGTGGGGTGGTCATGGCATCGTTCTAAAACAAGGTGCCGGCCAGTGGGGCGGACGTAGGCACAGTCTTTATAATAGAGGATATCATCATTGATCGCCCAATCAGCAAGGGCAGACTTCATTGGAGGGAGGGAGAGACCATCGAGGGCATCAGAGGTGGCGGTAAAGATAGGATCAGGGTCGGTGGGATCGGGGTTCGCGAGCGCAGTCATGAGCTCGACGTCGAGAAGTCGGACGAACATGGAATCAGGAAGGAGTGTTTCATTAATATTATCGTCAAGGGAATCTGATCTGTGGTCAGGACGGCGGGACAGAGCGTCTGGGGCAACAAGCTTAGTCCCCGCAACGTGATGGAGTTCGATGTCATAACATGACAGAATTAACTGCCATTGGGCTTGCCGACGGGTTAATTTCTGGGCTGTCCTAAAATATAACAGATTTTTGTGATCGGTGAAGACGATGATAGGATGGGGATTTCCTTCCAGATAGTGACACCACTCGGTCAGAGCGTGAATAACTGTGAGGAGTTCACAATCAAAGATCTGGTAGTTTCGTTCAGCGGGGTTCAAGGTTTGTGACAAATATCCGCATGGGTGGTAGACACCATTATCATCCATTTGGAGCAATACTGTACCCGTAGCAACGAGGGATGCGTCGGTAGCGACCGCAAATTGCCTGCTAGGGTCAGGGTTTCGAAGGACTGGTTGCTTTAGAAAACGCTCTTTCAGGTCAGAGAAAGCAGCCATGCATTGGTCTGTCCAAGAGAATTTAACATTTTTCTTGGTAAGGTCGATCAAGGGTCGTGCGATGTCGGAATAGTGGGATATAAAGTTTTGATAGAAATTGCAGAACCCCAGAAATGACCGAACTTCTTTCATGGTTGTAGGAGCGGGCCAATCCCGAATACCGCTGGTCTTGGCGTCATCCATGGCTATGCATCCAGGACGGATAATCATCCCAAGATACTCTACTTCCTGGGCGTCAAATGTGCACTTCTCTGGTTTAAGGAAAAGTTTTTCTTGTCAGATCTTTTCAAGGATGTGTCGGGTGCATTCGTGATGGGAGGTGAGATCATTGGAAAATATAAGGATGTCATCCATGTATATGACAAGCCATCCTTCATTGATTTCCTGTTGGAACGTCCTATTCATGTACACCTGGAAAGTAGCGGGGGAGTTGCAGAGACTGAAGAACATGACATTTGGTTCAAAGAGACCGTATTCGGTGGTGAAGGCGGCTTTCCACCAATCTTCAGGGTGGATACGAATGTTATTATATCCCGAACGGACGTCCATCTTAGTGAAGTATTTAGCACCGTGTAACCGAGCGACCAGGGAGAGTGGTAACGGGAGTGGGTAAGCATTCTTGACTGTCCATTCATTGATGTATCGGTAATCCTGGCAAGGGCAAAGATCTCCGCTCTTCTTTCCGACGAAGAAGAAACCACTGGCCTGTGGTGATTTCGACTCAGAGATGAACCCTTTCTTTATGTTTTCATCAATGAACGCTTTGACTGCTGTGCGTTCCTTTTCAGATAACGGGTATACCTTAGACGTTTTAGGAATGAAACCGGGTTTAGTTTCTATTCAGTGATCTATGCCGGGTCGTTCAGGTGGTAGCTGGTTCAGACCATCTTTTGTGAAGATGTCGGCGAAATCATGGAGGTAGGTAGGGACGAGTTCTTTGAACGACTTTTTCTTCTGCTCGAGTCCGGCAGCCAACACAAACTGTTGTGCTTTGTTACTGTTTTGATATACTCGTTAGGCCACGGCAAGGGTGCAATGGCAGGTCGCTGTTCTGCAACACTGGTACCGTCTTTGGTTAATGGGGTATCCAGTGAAACGTTGGTGATTACTCGGAGCTCGGCGGCGTCAACGGAGTATTCAACCAAAAATTCATCGTCTTCTAGATGATAAGCAGAGATTTCGCGTACAGCTGGCGCATAGCTCTCTGTCCATACATCTTCCTTCATGTCGAAGGAGTCGTCTTGATCGTCGGGGATAGGGTTGAGATCAGGCAGCACTGGTGGGGTCTCTTCTTCTTCATCAATGACTTCTTCTATCGTGGCTCGAGGTGGTGGTTCCTTCAATATAACCGGTCTCGCAGGAGGCGCCTTCGGCAGCACTACGACTGGGACCGGGTTCTTTTTCTCGTCTTTCTTTTCTTGGAATAATGGAGGTAACTTGTTCCTCCTTCATTCGCTATCAACTTCTTCCTTGATCTGATCACTCTTCTCTGTCCGAGAGAGCTCTAGCATTTCCGCTTTCCATTGGATTATCGGGTCCATGGCGTGCAGCCAAGGAATCCCTAATAAGATCTGATCACGCCGACCAAGTCGTGTGATGTTGAACTTCCCTATCATGGATCATTCATCTATTTTGACAATAAGGACGCAATATCGGGTGATAGCGCCCCCCTTTGCATAACTTCCATCCGCAGTAGTAACTCGGAATGGTTTTGAGAGCTTGTGTGTATGAATCCCATGGAGTTTGACAAATTCTTCGGAGATAAAGGTTCTGGCGCCGCCGGAGTCCACAACAGCTGTTGTTTCGACAGTTTTCAGACAAGTTTTGGAGATGAGAGAGATAGGAATGTGAAGTTCCTTTCTAATTCCAATACTTTGTACAAGTCTGATAGCTACATCGGAAGATACTGATGTTGATCCAGTCTTCCACGTCAAAAATCCTCGGCGAGGCGACGGATCGTTGTATCCTCATCTTCTTGATCGTCTATTTCTTCCCTGTGAATGGGGATCTTCCTCTTCTGTGGGCATGCTTTGGTCATATGCCCCTTGTGGTGACACATGAAACATAGTCCTTTCTTCATATGGTCGCTTCTCTCAGCTTCAGTGAGCCAATCTACCTCCATGGCATTTGGATCTTGTCGGTCAATGGAGGGTCTGGGTACATATCGCTGTCCTGATGGTCTGGTGGTGGTGCGATGGTTTGTTCAATACGCAGCTCCTCTTTGGTAGTTGCTATCCAGTCTAATGACGGCAGCGACGTACTTGTCGAAATCTATTGGAATGGTTTCCATCTGATAGATGGAATTGACGATTCCCTTCTTCAGTCCGTCATTGAAGAACATGATCAGGACGGCGTCTTGCTTTACAGAGGCTTGTGCAGCAAGAGTCTTGAAACTGGCGATGTAGGAGGTGAGGTCGCCCATCTGTTTCAACGTTCAGAGTTTGTTCATGGCGGTACCGATGGCATCAGCTGGTACAAAGGCCTCCTTGAACTTGGTTTCAAAGTTCGCGAAGGTCCCGTAGGTCTTGGCGATGGAGTTGTCGACTTCGGTGTAGAAAGTAAGTGCCCAACCCATAGCACTTCCTTCTGTCATATAAGCAAGGGCAGTGATGACCTTCTTATCATCGGTGTTATAGATTGTAGCGTTAAGTGCGAAATACGCCTTAACTGCATACAACCATCATAGGGCCTGATGAGGACTCCCATCATAGGTGGATGGAGCTCCGGCTTTCAATTCTGGGAGGTTGGGGACTGTGGACATCCTGAGCGTCTGGTCAAGTGATGTTTTCTGGTTCAGGGGAACGTTGTCGTTCTCTTGCTGAGTTCTTTCTGGTTCTATAACCTCTCAGATGGAGAGGGTCAATGGGTAGACTTTAATCTTTTGTTATGGCGAACTAGGATGGGCTCGACAACAGGTACTCAATAAGAGCAACGCCTGAAGCTGGATCAAGGCCTTACAAATGTAAGGTTCTTAAGACAAGTCAGAGAGAGTGTCTCCGGCTTGAATATCAGTTATCAGATGACTTAGGATTGGAGGTCCTAAGCGAAGGATAGTTCAGGTAAAACCTAGTAGATTAAAGTGAAGTTCTAACTAAGTACAAGACTGGGTTTATATAGATGTAAGAGGTTTAGGGCTGGTATTGTACGTGTCATCAAGACGAGTCAGAGATAAGAGGATGATATCATCTAGCAATGGCACATGGCAGTTGTGATGTAATACAGCTGTGGGCAGTTGGTCTAATGATGGCACAGTAAGGTGTGGTCATGACGTAATACATGAGCGAGAAAGGAGAAAAAGAGATAGGGGTAACCATGATTGTAACAATGATGTCATGATGATGTCATATAGCTCCACAGAAATTTCTGGAATATTCTGTTGGATACTATGAAGCCATCTATGATGTCATAGTGATGTCATTGGATGCTAGAATGTTCTGCTCCACTTGGCTCCACTTTTGCTCCACTTTGCTCCACAATGAGGTCATTTATGATGCAACTCTGATGTCATTTCTCTTTCCAACCTTATTTCTTGGTACTATACAGTTTCTCCCATCTCATGTATTTAAGGAGAGCACTTCTCCACCCATAAAAAAGAAAAATAAGAATCTCTTTTATCATTTAAAAGAACCTCCACTTCTTCCACTTTCTCTGACATTGACACTCTTTGTGTTAGCCAGGAAGTGCAGACCAAGTACATTTGGTTTACTTGCTCTGAGATCATTTATTCTTTTCTTGACTGTACCTGTGCTGTCTAGTGTGCATCTGACATATAGTTTCAGAGGACTAGAAGTACCAAGTCAAGCCGTATTATCTGTGCCTGCAGATTCCTTTGTTGGATCATCTGCTCTTGTATCATGTCATCTTCCTTGGATTAAACCCTTTGCATTTAGGCAGGGAAATCCAATCAGCTTCTACCAAGTTCCCTTTTATAAGTCCTTTAGTATATCAAGGCAGGGGAATATCATTAGCATTATTTGCTACCTAGTTTTGTGCATAGTACGCACCTATTCTTTATTTTCTGTCTAGTCAAGTATAGGACTAGAGAGACTCACCCACAAACTCTATTCTCTATCTAGTCAAACATAGGACTAGAGAGACTTACCTACAGAATCTATTCTATTTGTCTAGTCAAACACAAGACTAGATAAAGTTCTATCTACATACTCTACATTATCTGTCTTGCCAGATAAAGCTAGGCTTGTATTGTAGAACCCCTATTTACAACCAGGTAGAATAAAACCACCGGGCTGTATAGCAGGTAACCTCCCACGAATGCCGCATTATCTACCACAAAAGAAGAAAAGTTGTAGACTGCAAACTTGAGGTTGTAGGCAGCATTCAGTCTTATCAAAAGTGTAATTGTGGTGTCATTGCCTTTTGACCACTTTTATATAAGACACCTCAAGTAAGAAGACAACATTGACCAAAGACTGGTTGGTCAAATAGGCACAAAGTGGTGAGAAACTAGTCTCACAAATGATCAGATTGACCAAAGCTTGTGTTGGTCAATTTCAGTAAACTAGGTGAGAAGTGGGTCTCACAAATGAACAGATTGACCAAAGCTTGTGTTGGTCAATATCAGAAACTAGGTGAGAAGCTGGTCTCAAATAAACTAAGTTTCTATTGTAAGAAACTTATGTAATCTCAAGGGAATGTCTTTTCCCTGCACTTGGTACTTCAAAGGGGCTTTCTTTGTAAGCAACAATCTTCACAGTGAGTAGCTCAAACTGAGATTCAAATGATTGCAAGTGGGAGATCCTATTTTTTTGGGGGGAGAATGGGCCCTCCTTATATACATTTTGTGTGGGAATATTATGTAAGTAAAAAAGCGGAGCAATGACATCAGAAGTGGAGCAGAACATTCCAGAATATTCCATAGGTGGAGTAATGACATCAGAGGTGAGTCATTGTGGAGCAGAACATTCCAGAACAAATGACATCATCATGACATCATAACCTTCAACAGAATACTTGCAGGAGTATCTGTGGAGCCATATGACATCATTATGACATCATACCCTGTAGGTACAATTTTGTGAAGTATCTGATGGGTCAGAGCATCCCAATAGAAAAATAAATCAAGGAAATACTAGAGAAAACAACTCAGAAATAATAATACAATAACAAGACACAAAACACAGGCTTTTTAGATAGGTTTTTGTTAGGCTTTGAATTTTTCTCTATGGTTTTCTCTAGCCAAAGTGAATAAGCCAAAGGCAAGGCAATACCTTAACCTTCTTGCTTCACAATATCAACTAGGTCATTATGTGATTCCCATCTCACAAATGACTTTTCTTCAAGATATAATAAATTCATGAATCACAGAGGGGAAACTGAACTATATGACCAAGGTTTGAAACCAAGGTATGGGTTGACTAGCCTGATACCTAAGCTAACAGACTTTGTCTTTTAGGGGGACTACCTAGTAGTCATGTCCATGCATGATTCCCAAATCATGCAGGACATTGGGAAGGGAACCACTCTTCTTCTCATATGCTCTCAGTCACTCTAGCATCATCTCCATCAGGTCATCTATCATCTGTGGGCATCAGTCAGTTATATGAAGGTAAGAAAATGATTTGTTATGAGCAGTATACCTCTTGCTTTGACTTCTGATACCTCAAACTCGCAGGGCATTGTGTGAAAGACTTATCAATAGTAGCAATTACTGCAGCAATGGATGGAGTGCCTGCCTTGCTGGCAGGTCCAGGGTGGGTGACATCCATGCCCATGAGCATTGTGCTCTTCATAGTAGCCAGCATGTGCTTTCAGCATTGAGAGTATGATTGATGCCCCCAAGTTTCTGGTTCAGCTTCAGGGTGACATTAGCATAGTACTGCTGTGGACCCTTGTTTTTCAAGACCTTGTTCAGGACAATCATGATAGAATGTATCCCAAGCTCAACATTGCAGATGCGTTTGATGCCAGGGTACAGCTTCATGTCACAAAAAGGTAGGAGGACCAGTATGAATGTTGGTTTTCCCTTTATAAAGTTCTGGATTGTCTGCTTGATTTCCTTTATACCCTCCAAGTGACCCCTGTCCCGAGACTGTTGGGGCAACTGGGATGTTTTTGCAACACTTGGAGGCTGGTTTGTGAATATCATTCCTGACCTCTGACAACCTTCTTTGAACCCTGTCTACACTTTGGTCATGTCTTCGTTACTGGGAGCAGCATACCCATCAAAAATGACCAGAACCACCCATTTGGCAACAGAAGCCCCAGTGAGGAACTTCACATTTGTGAGGTTCCAACTTCCTTTTGCCAGCTGTATGAAAAGAGGACTGGAACGATATTGCAGACTTTTGGGCAGAGGAAGTTCTCATCCAGGAACATGGGTCATCATCTCATTGATCAATATGCCAAACTCATCTAGAAGATTCACCTTGGGTTCAGTCAAAGCAAGCGAGGGTAATCCTCAGTTGATTATCTCTTCAAAGTTGGTGGCCAGTGACTGGCATGCATGATTCAGCATATTTGCGGTCTCTGTTATGAACTAGGATAGTTCTAACAACAGATGACTTGATAAGAGTCAGGACCTCTGCCAAGATTCTACATGAGACAATAAGTCAAGTGTTCAGTGTAAGCTAAGTCAGAAGGAGTGCTTCTAACTTAAAGTATGATTCAGACAACAAGAGATTGGAGATCTCAAGTGAAGGATATTCCAGGTAAAACCTAGTAAGATTAAAGTAAAGAACTAAAGTATACAGGAGGACTATTTATAGTGAACTACTGTGCTTTAGGGCAGGCATGAGAATGGAATGAGTCAGAGATAAGGGATGTGTAAGCAATAGCAAGAATAGGTCATCTAGCAATGGCAACAGCAGTTGTGATGTAATACAAGATATGAATCAGGGATAAGTCTAATGGTGGCATCATACAGCTCGTGACATAATACACAGTAAGGAAGAGAAAATGAATAGGGGTGTACATGGTTGTAACAGTCTCTTGATCATCAAGAAGACCTCTGAATGGCTGCAATGCAATCATACACAGCTCTAGTGGAACATGAATAGATGCCCCCTCTGTCCCAAGGTCAGCGACTGGGAGATCTGGACATTCCAGAGATATCCCATGCACTAGCACCTCATGATTAGCTTATTGAACAGAGGCTAACAACTAATGACAATACCATTTTCAAAATGCTGGGCAACTGAAATCTGGTGTCCATCCTTTATAAACATTGTTTTCTTTGCAGATGATGACATGATCCATAATAACATGTGATGTTTAGTGTAACTGAGATACATAGTGGTCACTTTGACATTCTGAGTAAACTACTGCAGAGTTGTGCCCTTGGAACAATCCGAAAATTCTTTACATGCTGAATCCAGTCATGTGATAGGCTTGTAGAAGGGTGTCATGCATACACCAACATTGACCATCAGCTCTCCAAAAACAGGTCTCACAGACAAGAAAAAACCTCTGAATGCTTGCAAGCCCATAAGCCTGGATGAGAGCTCATTTCCCTTGTAGCCTGGGAACTTGAAGTAGCAACTGTTTCCAACTTGAATTGCAGTCAACGATGCATGTTGCTGAAGAACAATGTTGTATGCAGATATGAGTGGGGAAATGTTGTATTTTTCATTATTGACATCACAGTGGAGGTATCTGGACAATAAAATTGAGACAACAGATCACATCTCTTAGCTCAGTGTTTACTTCTTGAGTTTGCTAATATCCCATTTGCAGAGCAATTCAAGGGAGACAGTATACCCTGGTGAGTTTGGACCAGGTGTCTGTCCTTCCTTGAAGAACCTCACAGTAATCTGCATGGGTTGGGGCAGCTCCTTGGCAGATACTAATGTCTCTCTCCCATCAAATGCCATGGAGGACTTGACACTCTGCCAAGTCTGCTCATTAGTCTGCTCCAGTAACAGTAGGAGGCGATGTTGAACATCCTTTGCATTCCTAGTTGGTTCAACTTTGACATGATACATATAAATCAGTGAATTTGTGACCCTCACTGCAAAGAAGTTGGCAACCAGTGCAACTGGTTCTCCATAGGTGCTGAACCCTGGATGGATAGGCCACTCATACTGAATGCCAACTTCACAACACATTTTATCTAGTGCCTGCTCATGAGAGTGGAGTAATTCATCAGCTTCACCTCTTTGAGAGACCTGCTGCGGTCTAGCAGGCGGTCCACAAGTGCTTCGTGCAGGACCTGCAGCAGGGTCCCGTTTCCCAGGGCCCCGCTGAGCTCCTCCGCGACCACGAGTGCCTCGGTTCTGAGCTCGGTTAGTACGATTGGGATTGGTGTTGGTATTCATGGTAAAGGAGTAATGAGAGTTTGCAGTGGGAGCTCGAACTTTGTGGTGTTTAAATCACTTACTCAGCAAAGAATTTCGTTGTTTACACGCACAGATCAATACACAAACTTTAAATAAATATTCGCACACAAGTACAGTATCGGTACGACTTGCAGTAGCCCCCATCAGATATAAAACATGCTCCCGCGCAAGTCAGGATGCACGCCTTCTCCCCAGGCTGCCTTCGCCGCCTGAAACACTAACTTCTTCTCTTCCTCCTTGTCCACTTTTCCTTTCCCCTTCCCTTTCCCTGTTGCGACAGAGCTTGATACCTTATCATCGGCACTCAAGAAATCGTTCAAGTAACATCTCCCTCTTTCACAGGCCAAATCGGCGTAATATGCGGCTGGGACGAGACTCACGGCCTTGGTGGCACGAGCGTATAGGTAACTCGCAGTGTGTGTACCCTGCTGCACCTCATCTGCGCCAAGGTGGTTCTCGTCATACACCACTGTGTAGTGGGTTGCCTTCACGTGACCTTGTAAGCCAGCGTGAGCTTGAAGGTAAAAGTCAAAGTCAAACCTATAGTGATCAAAATGTTAGAATAATCAACTTGCGGTCAAATAGAAGGGCCATACACTGCAGTGACGCCTCTATCAACGACGGTTCCTGGACGAGTGTTACCGTTTCGGTCTGCGAATTGAGACTCGGTCGGCCAGAACTTGGCATGGTGGCGCTTTCCACAAATGATGATCGTCAACGACGGGCGATACGGCTTCGTTTGGGGGGCTCTCTTAAATGCCTCCAACATCTTAGGAAGCTCTTCCTCCAGCACAGTATTGAATTGGCCCTGTTCATTCAAAATTAGCCGGCGACGTCAAGATAGAGTAAACAGCTCATCTCACTTCAGACACGCCATCCCTATAAACAAAGACTCGGTCTGGCAGGGTTCGATTCTTCTGACTGTAAAACATGAGGCGTTCTATCATCATCGCAGTCAGGTCTGTGATCATCTACAAACAAGGAGTGAGCGTTAGGGCGACAACATTGCGATGTCGCTTACCTCTTTCTTGGTCTCCTGACACCTGAGACTTGCTGGGAATTGGACGAAAGAACTATCTGCGCTTGCGACGACAGCAGCAATTGATGGTGTGCCTTCCACACTACCGGGGCCGGGGTGCGTGACGTCCATGCCCACAACCATCGTCTTGGCCTTTGTCCACCACTTCATGCTCTCCGCATCTAGCATGTGATTGACACCTCCGAGTTTTGTGTTCAACTTGAGAGCGACATTTGAGAAGTATTGATCTTGTTTATTGCGGTCCCGTAGCACCTTATCTGTAAGCATATGGAGGGTGTGGACGCCCAACTCAACGTCACAAATCCGCTTTATTCCTGGATAAATGTAGTTGTCCCGGCGAGATAAGATGACGAGTATGAATGTCGGTTTTCCTTTCTGGGCAATTTGCCGCCTGATATTCTGACGAATCAGGTCTAGCGACTGCTGCCTTGATGGATCACGGGCGGGAGAGATGAGTTCTTGGTTCAACAAAGAGGGCGATGACCCCAGCGACATGCCACTATTGCGGCATTTCTCACCGAAGCCCTTCCAGATCCCCTCCAAAGCCGGGTCCGTGGGCCCGTTGAACACGGCTTGCCCATCTTTAATGACAAGCACCCACCAGCTCTTGATGGTTCCGCCAAGGTGGAATTTAACGTCAAGAATGTTCCAACTGCCGCTGCTGACGTTGGGAGGCTTCCCTGCTTTATAGCTGAGGCGAGGCGGGGGAAGTTCACGTGCAGGGATGACCGCCATGTTGTTATCTACCGCCATGCCGAAGCTGCTCATAGGACTAGCCAGCGTCTGAGGCGTAAATCCAAGAGTGGGAAGGCCGCGGTCAACGATGGCATCTGCGTTGACTCTGGGCGGGTTGCAGGCGAACCGAATCATGTTCGAAGTCTCTTTCTCATTGAGACGCCCTCTGAACGGTTGTCCGGGCTCGATTTCACATAGTTCGGCTGGTACGTATATGGGGAATTTCGAATTCGGGCCGGAGGTGTCAATGACTGGACAATCGTGTGCATGCTTCAACTTGATGTGGGGGTACTCTGATGAAGAATTAACGATTGAATGAAGTATGGGATGAAAGAAACGAACTTCTCTTGAAATACTCTTCAACAGATATCTTGCCATTGTACTCTTCGCAGTGAAAAGTCGTCTGCCTCGCAGTCGTAGTCATGATCTTCTTAATCGGTTTCTTTTTCTTATACCCTAGATGACTCGTGGTCACCTTGAGCTTCTGCGTAAAGCGTTGAAGCATGGCGCCGTTGGATGACCGGTTGAACTCCATGATGGCGTCGGCAAGGTTGCCTGGCTTGTAGAAGGCAGTCATACAGACACCGACGTTCACCATGAGTTCCTTATACACAGGTCTGGCGGACGTGAAGAAGCCTTTCCAGGCCTCCACGCCAAGCGCTAGCTCAAAGCGCTCTTGCGAGGGGAAGAAATAGCGATTCTTGCCTACACGAACGCCGGTACGCACTGCATGCGTTTGGAGTATGAGATTCACAGCAGCTATCAGTGGCTGGACGTCGTAGTCCCGCGACTCAATGTTGCCACTGAGATACCTGGCCATCATGAATTAATGTGAGAACAAAGGAGGTAGCTTTCTATAACTTACTTCGTGAGTTGCGCAATATCCAGGTGACCCGTGTGGGTAATTGCGAAAGTATATGTCTTGGATTTGGCATTGGGACCAGCTTCCCCTTCTTCGTAATACTGGACTTGCACGTCAAGGGGCTGAGGCAGTTTCTTGGAAGCCACAAGCCTCTCGCTATTGTCATGGGCAATGGACGGCACAAACTCTCTCCAGCCTTGTTGATTGCTCCGTTCTAGGAGCCAAAAAAGGCGCGCACGAATGCGCTTAATGTCTGTAGACGGCGTAATCTCGACATGATAGTCGTAGATAGGTCCTTTAGGAAGCTTTATAGGAAAGAAATTGGCTCGCAGTGTAATTTGGCGGCCGAGGGTACCGTAGCCAGGCCGGTGAGGGCGTTTAGGGTTGAAGGCGAGTTTTTTGAAGGAAGAGATCAATTGATCCAAGGTTGCCAGACGTTGGTCTACAGACGTAGGGCCCCGGAAGATCAATTCTCCTGGACCTCCCCCTCTGGGACCACCGCCATACCCGCCCCTCGTACTGGGAGAACCTCTTCCTCCACCAAACCCGCCGCCACCCCCTCGAGCGCCACTTGGGGGACCACCGCGATTACCGCCTCTGCCTCGCGGAGGGTTGCTCATGGTTCAGAGATATAGATGGGTTCGTGGTTGTACTGGAAGAGAATTAGACCCAAAGTTACTTATAGTCGTGGGCAGTGATAGGTCGTGGGTAGCGCTTGTGAAGTTGCTGCGCGAGTCAAGTACAAGTCGTCATTTGTGGCTGTGCAGTAATTTAGATTCTAGACTAGCTAGTATGAAATGTGAAAGCGAACAATGAGGTTTTGCATTGTTCCCTTCTGATTTGGATACCTAGAAAAACACGACGTACGATTGATAAAAGAACGTTTGCCCCCATGCACTTGCGCAGTGATCTGGATTCGAGTCACTTCTGAATGACTCGGAAGTCACGCGCACGCTTGAACCGCCTTTGATCAATGATTTGTAAATTTCATTCACCCAAAGAAGAGCGACTTAATATCCAACTATAACCATGCTTCTTTGTCGGTGCTTCTGTTGGGATGTACACGACCTACACAGGCAAAAGCCTATTACAAGTAACAAAGCCACGTGGTTCACAACTAAAGACGGCCTATAACCCTACACCTCACAGCTGAGTGCGTGCGAGCACCTCATGGGACCAACGATTGCCCTCTCTCCACCAGCGCGTGGTGCCCATCTCAATTTCATGCAGCGCAGGATAAGCTGCGGAGATCTTTGGCACGAGGAGTCGTTGCTTTGCGGCATCACCGCAGACCGTCACCGATTTTTGGTAATAATGAAGATGCAGCGTCTCGAGGTTTGCCGGAAGTAGGAGATGACCGTTAGCAATCCAATTTAAGAAACCCTGATTTGAAAACCTTCATTAGAATTGTGTTTATCTCGTCGATAGTCGACACCCCTCACCGATATCAAGAACAGTGGATGGTGTGAGAAGTTATCGCTATCTCGCGCTTCCATGGTATCAGCAAGCATGTCCATGATAAGTGACATAGGTTCTTCCTTGTTTGTCATGAGCAGTCAGAAAATATTCACGCAGAGGGCGTAAAACTCACTTCGTCAACACCCATATTAATATTTGGCGTGCGGAGGATATCAAGCCGCAGATGGCGAAGATTTGGGTGGATGCGCACGATGTCCTACATGCTGTCTGGGGTAGGATGAAAGGGAGAGAGCATGAGATCATGTACTACGCGAGTGGACGCAGAACAATCATTCAATGCTTTGCAGACAACATTGTTGTCATAGACGCCAAACGGATTCCCAAGACTGGCTTGAGGATCGGTCCTGTGATTCATCCTCAAACAAACAACATTGACGGGCCGCCCAGGAAGTAAAATGGGGATAAGAGTCGGAAAACCGTCATAGGCTACGAGGTTGAGGACAACAGATTGTAACACCGGCTTACTAGGCTTAGCCATGGTTGAGAAATTCGAAATGGTGAGCGATGTGAGTGAAGGTGTTCCACTCAAGAAGGCAAACAGCGTGTCCATGTGAGTTTCCGGAACCACCACAGAAAGATGCTTTAGGTTCTCGAACTGCCCCACCCGAGCGAGTCCAAGGAGGAAAGAGTTTGAGAAGGTGAGGTCGAGTAGTGTGAGTCTTTCTAGATGTCAGGGGTTGAAGAGCGAGGAAATAAGTTGTGTAGTTGGAGGTGGTACGGGTGGTGGGTCACGATGTGCCTCATAAGTAATTGATACGACTTTGAGCTTCATAACCTTGTCGGTGGATGATAGATCGCATCGTTCCATGTTGAGGTATTCCAGCTGAGGGATTTTTACCAGCACAGACCAGCGCTCTTCCTCAATCTGAACATCTGAAATGCTCAGCACACGAAGGTTTCGGCATAACGGCAAAATGAGGAAAATCGAGAAGGATGGTTGTACGAAGGGGAAGCTGGCTTTGTCGTATTGCATGATCTCTGTTTCTTCTAACGGAGCAGGCGATCCAAAGGTCCTGATGCTCCACGTCTCTACTAGCCCGAGTACCTCCCGAGCGTCACTGTCACTTTGAAGGGCGTGAAGACGAAGAAGAAGTCGGCGTGCTCGTGCGATTCGTGCAACATCTTTATGTCGAGGCTGGAATATGTGCCGGATGGTGCGCTTGTATGGGATTGTAGTGGTGATGTGTTTGAACAACAGGTCTTTGCAGATAAAACGAAACGACCGACAAGTAGATGACACAGCAAGGAGATCATCAACCTCCAGGAAACTCCAGCAATGCTGCCAAAGTTCGGGAGGAAGCGACCACGTATTCTTTGGTTCCTGCAAAATTCCAAAGAGCTGACCCATTTTACGTATTCTTCTAGCTTTTAAGGCGAGGTGAACGTCGACGTCTAAGCTTACGTGAAAATATGCGACTACTTGTTTATGATGTCATCCCTCGCCTGTAGGGTACCGCGTCTTAACGATTTCCTTCGTAAACCTTTCTCTCTCTCTCTCTCTCTCTCTCTCACTCAACCTTAATACTATACAATGCAGAATCCACAACGCGATCTTCCAGTCGTGCTGACAGGTCTGGCTACTTCCCACAACCCTGCTGATTTGCGTGCAGTTGTCAAGAAATTCTATACCAACGACGCCTCTTTGCACCACCCTTTCAGGGTCATAGAGCATGGAACAAACTCGAGGCAGAAAATCCTGGGCATGTACGAGTGGTGCCGCATCATCAGCCCCGACACTACCTGTGGTGTGAATGCAGTGTGTTAGTTTACCCAATAATATTATTTCGTCGTTCAAAACTGACTATATGCGCGTCTAGTTTATGATAGGAAACACCAGGTTGTTGTCGCCGAGGTAACTCGACACTTTCAAGTTCGAATCAGTCCCTTCAAGGCAACCCCTTCTCGGTGAGTGTATGCGCGCGCCATTGGTATCCCGTCGTGATGTTGACATGAACACGAATCGCGCACCCGTCAGCTACATTATCCGTATCAAGCTCCAGGAGCGAGACAAGGTATTCTATATCTATTCCCAAGAAGAATTCTTGCACCCCATGGTTCGTCTATTGCTGACAATATTATTCCTTTGCATTTCGCCCTGATCGTCAATATTAGGACTTCATGAATTCAGTTCTGCCACCCCTTGCTCCGCTGGTCCGGCTTGCACTTGTCTTCTTCACATTGATGGAGGTCATGTGCTCGAAGGTGTGGGTCTTCAGCTTGTTCCTGTGGGCGAAGCTCTTCGGCATAGGTAGCGACATTCAGAGAGGCAAAGTCAAATCGGGCTTAACGAGGTTGGTGCAACCTGAAGACCAGGAGACGGTAGATGCCATATTGAAGACTACGCAATACGGACGGTCCGGAGGTAACACGAACAGTTAAATGCTAGCGCAGCATGCACACTCCAGCTTTGGCATCTCCAGTCCATTGTTTTCATCATCATTCCCAGCTGTACTTGCATAAGGATCAGGACTCCCACTGTACTTTGATCACCAACACTTAGAAACTGTATTTTCAGACGCAGCCATGATCGTCGCTTTTGTACTATGTTAAGACGTCACATTATACCTTGTTTCTCGCACAATGAAAGTTTAGGCGTGGGCCCCTAGCTCGTTCGTAATCTCAAGACCTCGACATAAGTCCACAAGACCGTTATTGGCACCTAACCATCTGTAAAGTCGACCGATTGATAACTTGAAACAGACATTAGGCAGTGAGCACCATCGAGCCAGCGGTAGGCCAGACATGTGTTAAACGGACCAGCACAGGAGCAAGAACGGCAACCATTTCCTAAAATATTCACGAAATAAGTTTGTTGTCTGGGAGCACAATGCCGACTCGAAGCTCATGCATCATGTGACATGCTTGGGGCACTACATTAATTACCTGGCTTGTGACTCATTGACACTGAAAGTAGATGGCGGCCCTCAAGTTGCGCTAGGATTTATGTCTTCAATATCGCGATGCAGACAAGGTTCGCGCCATGCTATTCTTTGTGAACTGCCGTGTAACTAAATTCGTTAGGTTGCGCGATTTCATTAGAGCCAGTAAGTCGATAATGATCTGCGAGCTCCTCGGATTTGTGTAGATGGTTAAAAGAATAGAAAGTAGTAGTGTTGGCGTTATTGCCAGTGCATATGGCGACACAGATTGACCTGCCGCTGGGTGGGTCGCGTTAAGAATTTTTAAAGGTATAAGCTAGCTGTCAAAAGATTACTTAGGATGATACTACAGAACGCACTCATTAGATTCCTGTGGACGGGGTGATGTTTTGGTAAGTGTTGGCTTCGACATTAAGGTTAAAGCCAATTCTAACCAAAACATCATAAATTAGAGTCCCGCAGTGCACCGTACCACCTGAGCACGCAGCGAACTTGTGATGGTGTTCTATGTAGCGAGAAGGGCAGGGCCCCTCCATGGATGCCAGCTCCACACTTCCGCAGGGAAAAGACTGTTGTTGTTAGCTGTTGAGTCACAGTCCCGTCTGCGGGACACCAAAATGGTAGTGTGGGAATCCACGTCATCGCGGTCTGATGGCGTAGTTGGTTATCGCATCTGTCTAACACACAGAAGGTCTCCTGTTCGAGCCAGGGTCAGATCATAATTTTGGTATTTTTCTTTCTTATCCCAAGTCAACTTGGTCAAAGTATTGTTTCAATGATGGTGATCAACCATTCATTTGATTCCTATCTGTCCAGACTTCTTGTAGAAGAAGGAAGCCAGTCATCCGAATGCCTTCTAAAGGTCATAATCTTCAATTTCTGCACCCATATAATCCTTCTCCTGCTGATTCCGTCGGCGATGATTGCTTTCGAGGACTCTCGGAGGACCCGGAGCTATCGATGTATGTTTCGTTGAATCGTTGATGACAACCCTGAGGCCTGAGATCTGATGCTCCCTACTAGTCTTTATAGGCCAGACCTTAGACGACTGAAAATAGTTGTTCCTTGAGTCTAATTATTATCCCGCGGTTGCACTCGTTTCCTGCGGCTATTGTCCACGATGTGCTCATAGTGTTCTCACGCAAATCAACTATAGCGCTTGCTGGATCGTTCCCCAATTACCACACCTTGCTGATAGACTTTTGGCCTTTCTATTTCTGATCCATGGTCTATGTCATGAAGACGTGCGGTATGACCTATCTTTGTTATCACCTCCCCGCCTGTTGACCATTGCGCTCTACTTACTGTGCTTCATCCACGGCGGGTGCGCTTTCAAACCCTTGCATCTCTATTTCCTGCTCTGACGCCTTGTCCAAACATTCTTCCCCCGACAGCTTCCCATTGGAAGGTATTAGTAGCACCATCCAAGACCTTCCTACAAAGGAATCTTCAACGAGATGTCGTGTGCTCTTTAAATTTCTATGGGGCCCTATTGCTGACCAGTTGATTTGATGCCGTCATGGTGATACGCGCAAAAACTTGAACTGTGAACAAGCATGTCTACGTCATAGGTATGTCGGCGAGGAACAAAGCACGGTGATCTCATGCTGATAATATTAGAATTTAGGACACTCCAATGGTAGATTCAATGAATTACATCCGAACCAGAACTGAAAAATAGGCACTCGTAATATGCTGTCGCTACTTGACCCATATACTCCAAAGACATGAAGCTTGAAGCTCTGTGTTGGCATGGTTGCTTCATTCAATGCTATGAATCCTCATAAGTAGTCTGAAAGCTAATCAAATCACGCCCGAACAAAAATGATCATAAGTATAGCGGGTATCGCGAGAAACTACCCCATAAGTTGCTAGTGAAAATAGTAATGGAATACAATAATAATACATCGCTATCGTCATATCTCGTTTCATCATCTATTACGGTACATATCACGGAGCCCCTGCTGCAGCAGGTGAGCAGCGTGGGGCGGCGCCCATCAATGCCTTTACAAAGCAGGCGCAGATGTGACAATAGGGGCTAGGAGAGCCCTATGCTTAGGTGGGGCGGTGGCTGTAGAGGTGCAAGCTCCGTCGTTAACCCAGACACCCGCGGTACCTGTTATGGGAGTGTCAAGTTTGTTTTTCTGGAAAAACCGAGTTCAAATCACCTCCAGGGGTGTCGTTCTCCGTCCACCAGCTCGCAGCCCACAGGTACCCACTAAGTTATAGGTTAGTAGATGGATAAGAGCAAAGCAGAAAATATGCACCCATAGGTCACTTCATCACCTCCGGTATACTGTGTAAGGTTCAGTGTTGAACGGAGGAAAAAATAGAAATATACTCACAGCCACACCAGTGGTCCATCCAGCAACACCTGCGCAAGTGGTCCCGGGAGTTGTCAGTGTGGTACTGGTGCTTGTCGGTGTGGTACTGGTGCTCGTTGATATGATACTGGTGCTCGTCGGTGTGGTGCTAATGCTTGTAGTGCCAATGCTCGTAGAGGTGCAAGCTCCGTCGTTAACCCAGACACCCGCGGAACCTGTTGTGGGACTATCAATTTGTTTTCTGGAAAAACTGAGTTCGAATCACCTCCGGGGGTGTCGTCCTCCGTCCACCAGCTTGCGGTCCACAGGTACCCACTAAATTATGGATTAGTAGAAGGACAAGAGCGAATATGAAAATACACACTCGTAGGTCACTTCAGCACCTCCGGTATACTGCATAAGGCTTAGTGTTGAACGAAGGGGGAAAAAGAAATATACTCACGGCCTCACCGGCAGACCATGCAGCAACACCTGTGCAAGTCCCGGGTGTTGAGGTACTGGTGCTTGTCGGCGTCGCAGACGTCGTAGTTGTGGGCATTGGCCAGGTGTCCCCGCGCACAGTCGCGATCCATGAGGAACCAGCGTAAGGATACTGATATCGGCATGCTCAGAAACCCTGCGGATCACTTGGATTCTCACGTACCTCCCAAACCATTACACCGGCATCTAAAATTCCCCATGATGATCAGAGAGAGAAAGTAGTTATGTCAATGGGACAGACTTACTCCATCCAGAAGCATAGGCCGAGGAAACACAGGACGCTAAGAGAGATGGGTCTATGTACCCGTTGGTGGCTTGTGCTGAAGTAGCAGGCTTGCCAATCACAAGCTTGTTCAGAGAAATACCGCTATCAGCAATTTGGAAGAGTGCAGATTGTGGCCAAGCAGTCGAGGAGTTGTACAGGAGACCATCACAAGTTGTGTACTCCGTTGTGCCCTCTGTTTGTTGTTACTATAGAAAAAGGGAACGCATCGAAGAGATACCCACGGTTGTAAAACTGAGGTGCCAGAAAATTAGAACAAGCAATTAAAAATGATAGGATGTCGGCCCGCACCTGCACATTATACCAATCAATCATACTGCCGACCACAGAATCTACCCAGAGGTATCCTCCACCACCCCAATAATTAGGAGAAAACCTTTTGGTTGGATTCAGTCAGTAGGCATCGACTTGGCCACTATATATTCACCATGGTGCAACAGCTGTGCGAATAAGTTTAGCGTGATAATGGTGTTTTCTGAATATCTCACTCACGAGCATGAGTCAATATATATTGGCCCTGAGGAAGCTGTGTGCGCAGCTGGGTGGTGAAGTTGCCGAGCCACTGCTCAGCAGAGCCAGTACCAGCGTCGAATGCAGCGAAATCCTAAGGAAAATTAGTTCTCATCGAGCATTACCAGACATCATGCAACATGCCTCGTAGTCGACATCTACACCCTGGAGGCCATATTCGATAACCCAAGCTGCCATAGTATTCGCGGTATCGATGGGGTCGTATCCCGATGAAGTGGGGGTCTCAGTGGACCCGAAAAGGGACACAATGAGTGAGATACCTGCCGCCTGGTACTCGGAAAGAATCGAAGAACGTTGAGATGCTGTAAGCTCTTCCCATTCCTGAGCTTGATCTGCTGCACCATATTCCACGAGGAAAGACAATGCAAACACATTGAAGCCCTGATGTTTGTACCAGTCGACAATTAGGGTATCAACTACAAGTAGAGGAAGGGAAGGCTTACCGAAATATCTGACACCGTTGGTTCGCTGGAAACGTACGCGTCACTGTATAAAACGAAATGGGGGGCTACTGGGGTAGCACGCTTCAACACATTCCTTGCTTTTGGAGTCAGGCCTCTCAGCATCTCCTCAAGAGGTACAGAGGCGACCTCTCCGAAGCACGTGAATGCTGCCATCGCAGCCGTCAGGGCAGAGTAGAGATGTACCATGATGTCCGAGATATGGAAGGTGAACGAGGGTTTGAACTTGTGCAGCGAAGTAGCTACCTATCCAACACAATCCGCCGCGATTTATACCTGCAGATAAGAATGTAAAAGTCCCAACCAGAATCAAAAATTCAGATACCCCAAGTACGTGTGATTAGTTATCTCATGAGTGTGACGGAAATAGTGGGCCATCTGCTTCTGACGACGAGGACAACATATGTGGTTCCTGTAAGCAGAGCACCAGATAGTCAGAATAGAACCTTGAGAACTTGTCAGAGTCCCCTAAAGGGACATGAGGTAACGCAAGGGCATGACGCAGAATGAACGAATGTTTACATGATACCGAATAGGTAGGCATCTCCTCAAAGTGACAAAGGTGAGTGTGCCAATGACTGGCCTCAATCGAGGTACCGAGATCCTCCCATGTGGGACTCGCTCTAACTTCTCAGCATCCGAATATATCAAGTCGGCTTGAGTAGAACTCGCGCTGCTGGGCAGATTCTACCCCATTGTCCTAATTAGTATGCTCAAGCATTCGAACGGTGGATGTATCATCAGATTGAAAAGGTATCTGAAGGAGGGAGAGAAGTTAAAAATCAGGACATATCGCATGCGACTCACCATATTTAGGAATCTGAGTCTCTAAAGCCGGCAGTAAAGAGATCAGTTCGTCGCAATTAGACGGTATCTCCTACGCATGGGATTCCAGCCGGGAACAGCGGGTCAGCAACCTGCGGCATTGAAGTACTGTCACTACTGCAGTGCCGCGTACGTCAAACGACGATTCCGAGTCCTCCCTTCAAATGGTTCAACTATTTGGAGGGGGGAATCAGTATCTGCTAGTAAGAGACTATATCTATAAGTTTTTGTCCAATGATTTGTATAGCTTGTTTTAACACAACCGTCGACGATGAACGTATTGAACTGGACTACGTACTAGTAAGTACTTGTTCCGAGGACATTTCCTAGTTCTCACGCTGCGTGCAACTCCCATAAGAGCTCCATTCAATCTTCCAGCATACGGGAGGTACTTGGAGATGTCCCATAAACGCAAGTACCGCGGCAAGGTTCCACCAATAGCTAAACTTCTAGCTAGATTCACGCCAGATCTTTTCACTTTGTCTATTCAAGCACACGAGGCTACTATCATCCGCGGCCCGCAATCTCTTTCAACAGCACTTTCTCTTGAGGCGCCGCATCTTCCAACTTTGGGGGTCTATGCAAACGACGCTCAAATCGGTAACGCTCTCATACAATGGGGTGCTAGCACAAGAAGTTTTCAAGTTCTTAACTCGGATTCTTCTTTCCCCGAAGCGTCGGATGACAAGGCTACTTGGGTGGATAGGTGGGTCTCACTAGTAGTATGGTCATTGCTAAGCTATGGCGGGTCGTCTCAAAACACAAAGTGGCAATTATATACTCTGCGCATGCAATGTCGTAGATCCGTCGGATCTACGCTCTATCCGCTTCGAATTGGAAGATATGGTCTCATCGTTATCCTCTGTTCTACCCAGTTTGATCCAACACTCGCTTAGATACGACGCTCGTCTTCTGCTTGATGCCGTCCCAGAGCATGCAAGTTCGAGTATCTCTCAGTCAAGGCCCTTGTCTTCAACCGGATGGTCAGACTTGGCATCTGACACTGAAGATACCTTTTTCTTCACACCAAATGAGATTGAGGACTACCGGCGCGAGAAACGCAGGCGCCTCATTGACCAAAACAGAGAGGATCGTCTGAGAGCTCTTGCCGAGACTGACGACAGCGAACAGTCGGATATTTGGGGAGGTAGTGATGAGGAGGTAAGAGGTCATCCACTAGTACCTGTACCGAGGATGACATATTAGACGGCAATTCCTGTGCTAGCCTGATGATGTCCAATCAGAGCTCATGAAAAGAACAGCGCTACACCTTCTCTCGTCCCCTAATCCTGCGCAATTGGAGATGCGCATTCTTGCAAACCATGGTGCAGATAAGAGGTTTGCATTCTTAAGGGGACGGTGGTCACGAGCATGGCGCACAACCAAGGAGAGGCTCAGACAGGAAAAAGTCGACCAATCAGCTCAATCGCTGCGAGCTTCACGGAACATAGGTCTGGGAGGACTCGCTGCGTATGGAGATAGTGATGACGAAGGTAGCGAGGAAGAGTCTGAGAGTGGAGAAACATCTCCATTAAAGGTTGGTGAGAGTTCTGTCACGACCCTGGATTCGCTTCAGAACCACGATGCACGGTTGGAGGGGGTTGAACAGGGGGCTCGGCGCGCTAGAGCCAGGGAGTGGGCTGCGCAACGCCGTGCACGACAAGGACAAACTTTGAGTACAGATGAGGATCGGACAAATTCCTCAAATTTATGATGGCCGTATGGTGACTATTTGTTTCCCGGATACAATGTTCCCTGAATTTGCAACGCGAATTGCTACGCTCTTTTTGAAATAGTGCAAGGGAAAATGCCGTTTCTGGACAATGGGCGAGGCGCTCGAATAAGAAACACGATGATCTGACCTTACTTTCAGTACCCTCATGATGGACCCCTTCGAATCCAAACCATTCATCTGTACGGAGTTGACCTCTACTGGTTCCCTGCCTTTTTCAAACGGTATTGGGATGTCGCATGGGTAGACGGTGGTTAGAAACGCTTGAAGTGCTGAGACAAAAATTCTGTGTCCTGATGACAGCTCCATTTCGTAACTCTCCGTAACGGTTAGTCAGGCATTTCCCTGGACTCTTGGTTACGATGCAGATATCAAAACTGTGATTCATTTAGACACTTCCTAGGACATCTCGGCTATCTTGGAACAATTCCAGGTCGCCGCTGAACCAGTGCAGCTGTCAAACCTAGATTGTCCTAGCACCCCTGGGTATGCAAGCCACAGCGAGCTCCTTCCTTCTGAGTATAAAATATTTGTATGTCCTGCTCATCTGTTCTAAACCAGGTCCCCACCAACCGATCTTGTTGTGAGTTTTCCTAATCTTTGCTATGTAGTACCTATTTCCTAATGACGGCTCCTGAACACAATAGCCTTATCACATCAATATTAATCATGTCCCAGTCCTCTTCTGTAGCACAACCGAAGTACGCACGTCTTTCTTTTTTGCCAAAATGTGAGCTTATCGTCGTTACCCCATAGGGAATTAAAGCATGTTGGCATTGTGGGAGCTGGTATGGCTGGCCTGTATGCTGCATATCGGTTGAAATTGTCAAACGATCCCCGCATCGCAGTCTCTCTGTACGAATTAGATGGGAGGGTCGGCGGGCGCGTTAAAACCTACCGCTTTACATCCGAGAAGGACCAATACTTTGAGGCTGGTGCCATGCGTATTCCAAGTACCCAGATGCATCAGCCAACCTTCGACTTGATTAAACTTCTCAATGACACCTATCACGCCGACCTCAAACTTATCCCTTATCATCTCACTACCCCCGGCAATCGCACCTTCATAAATGGTATTTTGAAGAACGGGGGCGATGATGGCACTGCCAAGGCGCTGGGGTTCGACCTCCCGGTACCATATGGTAACAAGACTGCAGATGCTCTGCTACTGAGTGCTATACAGGCGTTCATTGATTTGTTGGAGAGAGACTTTGACCAGGGCTGGAATCTCCTCCTGCGTCTTGACAAAGTCCCATTCCGTTCCTACCTGGAAGATCTTGGATGGCCGCAATCAGTCATTGATTTCACCGAGACTATGTGTTCTCAGACCAACCAGTTCGCACTTAGCTTCTCCGAGCTCATCATGCAGAACCTCGACTTCGACACGAAACAGTGGTTCACACTGGATGAGGGGATGGACAGACTTCCTCAGGCGCTTGCCAGGGTGGTTGGCATGGACAATATCACCTTTGGTGCGCGAGTCCAGAAGATTGAGCAGACAGGTGATGGTGTCACTATCTGCGCAGATACGCCTAGGGGTCGGGTAGAGCAAACCTTCGACAAAGTGATTCTTGCCATTCCACCCAGTGCGTTAAGGATGATACCAGAACGTCCTCGCTGGGATTACAGGAAGGAGCAAGCTATCCGCGCTATGTTCTACGAGGCGTTGTATAAGATCGGTCTGCGCTTCAAGACTCGATTTTGGGAGCATGTTCAACCCCCTTCTCTAGGGGGACAATCGACGACTGATCTGCCGATTCGGTGGATTGTATATCCATCCAATGGCATCGGTTCTGAGGGACCTGGTGTCCTGCTTCTGTATTCCTGGAACACAGACGCCTCTGTGTGGTCCTCCATTCCTTTCAGTGAACGTCTTAAGAGCTCTCTGTGTCACCTTTCAAAGGTTTTCCCGAGCGTTGACGTCTACAACCAGTTCATCGCGGCAGAAGATTTAGCCTGGTCCGAACACAACCCTACCGGCGACGCAATGTTCCTTCCTGGGCAATTGTCAGAGTACTTCGAAATTGCTCGTCGTAAGGAGGGTAACATCTACTTCGCCGGAGAGCATTTGAGCCGTCATCATACGTGGATTACCGGAGCCATCGATTCTGCCAGATCAACTGCAGAAGAGGTTATTAGTGACTTTGCCTTGAAGCGCGTTCCTACAGGGTGGATTCCCCCAGCTGGAACAGAACCCAGTGATCATTATGATCCTGAGGCTAACCGCATGAAGGTGATCAAGGGTGGGCTAGAGAATATCAAGAACAACCGCGAGGAATTCGAGAAGTCTGTCTTACTACTAGTAAATGCTCTATACCACAAGCATTGATCATATCCACGCGCATGTACTATCTAAATAGTAATTTTACTTGCAACATTCGACATATTTGTGCGACTCATCAAACAAGAATGCTTAACACGATTGTATTCCTCTGGAGGAACATTCTGCTTTACCCTCGGGACTAGTACTCTGAGACTCGGCTATCAAGTACCAGTGCAACATCGACACGTCCGCCGCCACGTGGTCATGGAGTGAAGACGTGTCACGTGTCCGGATAAAACCGGTTCTTTAGTAAGTAAGAGGTGAATTCTCCCTAAGTTACTAACCCCTTGCTAGCTCCCCAGGACATCATGGACCTGCTGCACTCTCAGCTTGCAGTACTCCAGCAAAAGTTGTCTTTTGTTGCAACTGATCCAATCGACTGGAAGTTTTACGTTCAAGCTTTCTCATGGGGCGTTACGTTGTTCGAGTCTTACCTTCTGTCAGTGTACTGCTCTGTGGAATTCTCTTTCCTAGCTAACCTTTTTTTGCTCGCAGGCTTCGCCAGTATCCCCTGTACTCGAAAACTTCTCCTCCAGAAGTTTTAGCAGACCACTTTGATGCTAAGGCTTTCACGAAGTCCCAGAATTATGGCAAGGACAAAGCAAAATTCTCCCTGGTCACTGGACTGTTCAAGCAAGCCCTTGATTCTGCCATGCTCCATTATGGATTATATGCATTTGCATGGGACATGGGTGGGCGGATGATAGCCTATTTCGGATATGGCAGCGAGTACGAGGTTCAGTGGCTTCTTACAATCGATTCAAACTCCAAAACTGACTGAACATAATAGATATTGCAATCCCTTGCGTTTGCTATCGTGCTTTTTGTGATCTCGTCAATACCTTCGATACCTCTATCTGCTTACCAAACATTTGTTCTGGAAGAGAAGCATGGCTTTAACAAGACTACGCCCACGTTATTTGTTACGGATCTCTTGAAAAGCTGGGCGATTGGCTTTATCATCGGCATGCCGTTTCTTGCCGCCTTCCTTTACGTTTTTGGGTGGGCTGGGGACCGTTTTGTCCCGTGGCTGATGGCTTTTCTGTTCGGCTCTTTCCTCTTGGCAAGTAGTGCTGTGCTGATATGCTTTCTCCTCTAGCCTGGCTTTTCAGATCATAATGGTTATTATATATCCAACTGTGATTCAACCACTCTTCAACAAGCTTTCGCCCCTCAAAGAGGGCGAGCTACGCACAAGGACTGAATCGCTCGCAACGAAGCTCAAGTTCCCCTTGAAGCATTTGTACGAGATCGACGGTTCCAAGCGTAGCTCCCATAGCAACGCTTACTTCTTCGGATTGCCCTGGGTCAGTGTACCCCATCTGCTGTGACCGTCCTTGCTCATCATGATTTAGAGCAAACACATTGTCATCTTCGACACCCTGATCAAAGAAAGCAAGCCAGACGAAGTCGAAGCAGTTTTAGGTATGCACACGTTTTCTTTTCTGGTCTGTCGATCGAACGCCTTCAATCAGCGCATGAACTCGGCCACTGGTATCACATGCACCCAACGAAGTTGCTCTGTGTATCTCAAGTCCATATCTTCACCATCCTTGCCATGTTTCCCGCCTTCTTGCACGCACCTCAGTTCCTGCGGGCATTCGACTTTTCCGAGGCTAGTCTCTGTCCGCCCACCAACCATCGTTGCATTCTTGCTATTCCAGGTGCATTATGATGTGGCCTTTCCTTTCATGTGACGCTGACTCTAAACATAGATGATTCTTAGCCCCCTAGAAGCGATTATTGGCATTGGGCTGAATTTCCTTTCGCGCCAGTTTGAGTGGGAAGCGGACCGTTTTGCGTGCGAGATCCAAGAGCGATTGTCGGCTCCAGAGATGAAGGATATGGGCGAGAGGCTTTCACGGGCGTTGATCACGCTCCATGTCAAGAATCTGAGTACCTTATGGGTTGATTGGCTGTGAGTTGAGTTGTGATACTTTGGAATCGACGGGCTGATACGTCATTGATATAGATACTCGGCTTATCACCACTCGCACCCCACATTGACAGAGCGACTGAAGGCCCTTCAGGCATTCCAGGCTAAGATGGATAGTGCAGCGAAGAAGGAGCTCTAGATGATTCGCTTCCGTTCGATTCAGTAGGTATGGTACAAGCATCTCATCTACATATTATAAGCACGGAGCGTTTGATCCCGCGCAAGCAATCCGGGTCGACGCCATGTGCGCGCTACACTAGTGGTTTATTTTGGCTGACGCGTTCTCGAACGATCGCTTGGCGCTGCGTTTGGACTATGTAATGTGCTGTGAGCTCTTCTTACAGTTTACCATTATTATGGCGTCCTCTTGCACAGCATTAATATTGTTGGAATTCAGAATGTGTCTTCCTATGCTCATGATATTGATAAGATACGCATCAGCTGGACAATTTTCATTGCGACCTGCATACGCGACTACGTTCAATGGTTTGCACGGTGTCACTCTAGATGCATTTGCACAAGGTCAACTGTACACAGCTCTCCCGAGTGCAGAATGCATCAGGACGTTCGGACGTTGTTATCGACGACGAATGAGGCAAATAGATAACTACTGTAGATAAGAACTGAATATAAATAATGTTTGTCCATCCGTAGGCAAGCGGATTCCTGGTAAAATTGTATATTTCATCCCAGGTACGCTCAGGGAACATTATTGAGTATGGATAGTATCATTCCCCAACTAGGGTTCTTCGTGAAACATAATCCTTTGCATCCTGCCTTCCCTTGTCAACATCGACGCTGAGGAGTACAGGCACTGCTGCCCACACCATGAATACGAGGAAAAAGAATGCGTAGCGAATGTTCCCCGTACTATCCGCTATCAGGCCGACGACGAACGGACCAACAAAAGAGCTTGACTGTATGCAGAAATGTAGTCAGTGCAAAACAAACTTGAAATTATCTGCCTACCTTGTCTGTTATCGAGAAAAGACCGTACCTAGGGCTGTATGTCAAGATTTTACATGCCACACTCGTGAAAGACACGTACCATCGAGCTTCTTCCCCAGGAGGTAATAACTCCGCATAGAAAGCTCTAGCGTAGCTCTGAAACGCACCGTACGCAAAACCTGTGATAGCGATACCAGTCGGTTAATGCTTACAATCGAGGCAAAGGGCACAGACCAAAATACACTGCGAGACCAAACATTTCTCCTTGCGTCGTCAATCCGCCAAATCGCGCAGTTCCCTTGAAGATGGGCAGGAATCCCAAGCACCCGTATGCTGGAATCAGCGAGACCATCATCACGAGAAGGACTAGGACGTGAAGATTCGACCACATGAATTTACGTTGAAGGATGGGGGATACTAGAGAGCCAATGATTCCTGAGAGTGGTGTGATAGCGCCGATGAGGACGAGAGACGAAGCTTCCATATGCAGAGTCGTTTTCCCAAACAGGATCGCGGTCGATGTTATAGTAGTGAAACCTGTTGAGAAGTCAAATTCAGAAGAGTATTGGATCGGTGCAATAACAGACAGACCATCGGAGAGAAGGAACCAAGCAGCAAGGTATCTGAAGGTATGTTGAAGACGCTTTATTTCCCGCCAGCGAAGCATAACTCCCAATCGTTTCCATGCAGCCACAATCTCCGAACTGAAGGTCCAATCGTCATCTGGCTTGATAGAACCAGATTCTGGTTCGTCGATGGTGCTTGCGTTTGGGAGCCAGATAGCAGCAGGAATCGAGAACAATGCCCACCATATGCCGCTGAGGCCAATGGCGAGACGTAATGAGAAAGTAGATCCATGCAGGCGAGTGACAGGTATCAGTGCAACCAAGAGAAGGATTATTCCTGCGCCATAACCCGAAGCAATTCCCAAGGATGATATTCGCGAGGTGGCTCTCGATAATGCGGCAGTGTAATTTGATTGAGCAATATCAGGATGGGTTGGATGACCAAGAAGAGGATCTGACACTTCTTCAAAAGAGGGTTCTAATTCAAGATCAACGCTTGCAAGAGCAGCATTCTCATTCTGGTTTTCAGATGAGCTTGTCAGTTCGGAGTAAGCTTGAACTACTTCTGGGGAATCTTTCCCCAATGACGGCAGGTACGCGTTCATAGCTACTATGGAGGCACCAAAGCCAACATTGGCCAAAATTGCAAACAGCGCAGAGACCATCCATAATGATGACGTTGACGATAGAGGAAGAAAAAGGCTCGCGGAGAATGCACCTATTGCAGCAAAAGTGAGGAGAAGGGGCTTTCTGTATGACGCTGACAACCAGTAATGAAGACTAGTTCCAGAGCGAAACTGTGGAACATACGACGGTCGGCTATGCTCCCCATTGAAATCACCGTGAGTGCTTGCAGAGCGACAGACAACGAGTAGACATAGAGACTGAGTGTGTTAGGACATCCGCACCAGCGCTAGTCAGGATAAATCAGGCGCACCTAAAACTGGCGGTATCTATCCACAACCAACTGATCTTCACTGCACATCTGCCATCTGCGTTTGCGGGCGTAACGCCCGAGAGTGAAGAGCATGATTCAGTCTTCTCTGGTTGCAAGAACCCATTATCACGGGCAAATTGCTCCAGACAAATTGGTAGGAAGAGTGTGAGGGAAACTACCACAAAAGCCTCGCTTGCTATGGCATGAGAAACTGATTGGGGAGGAAAGTACGAGTACTACACACCTAGCAAATGCATAACTGAGCCATCCTCTCAGCCTTTGCTTGTACGTGGCCGACATTATACACTGGTCGTAGGCCCCCGGGAGCTCCCTGGATCAAATGTCTGTGACACCGCCCATATGCCGGGTCTCAAATATATTTTTCGGGTGTAAAACCTGCTATTCCGGACAGACATGTAACACGGTTTGGCATATGTGACACTCCAGATACAACGAAAAGGCATGTAGTATTACAGGAACGATGGTTAATGACGGACGCGTCCCGAGTACGCCTACTGTACGTATCCGTGATGAAATACTAAACTTTCGTGATCTTGCCCTCAGAATCATGAGTCTAGGTAATTTTACTTCAGTGCTTGCGGTGCCGCAGTCAGTGCTACGGCCAAGCTACGGCCCATCAGCAAACCGACATATAAGTTCTCGACATGGTCACGGTAGCCGTGGGAACTGGTGAATTGGATAAATTTAAATGACTATCGATACGGCGAGAATTTAAATAACATGGCTGGTGCATGGCAATGTTGTGACAGTGCTTTGCGTCCAGTGCACTAGTGAGTACTTGAGTGTTGGTAGGGTATTTGTGTCCATTGCTGTTTTGCCTGTTTAAATTGAATTGCACAAAGACATACCGGAAAATTGGGGATGTCCGTCCCATTGTTCCGGACAGACACCAAGTATGTGGGGGCTTCCGGGGGCCTCTGGTCATGATGCAGGCCAATTGCCATTTGCATCGATCCCCTGATTAAACTTCTGGGCACTTAGAATTCAATATCAATCCTTACTAGTTACTCGTGTATTCGAGTTGTTAGAGTCGGAATGTTAGACGGAGATTCCTCGCCTCAGGAAAAGCTACGGGCCTGGGACTCATGACAAATAATTATACGATGAGCTTGGTATGAGCACAAAAATCACTCCAAGTAAATCTCACGTCAACTGAAGGTGCTTGATCATTCTGTAGTCCCAACTTGCTACCGGGAAGCGCTGGGTCGTAGAGTCGAGTGTCTTTCCCGCAGCATCGTTATCCGTAACCAACGCATTTACAACCCTGAGTATGCCAAAGAGCACTGCAAAAAACGATAGCCTCCATAATTGGGTGGGTTGACTCATTGTATTGACCAACAAAATTGAGTTTAGATTGAGATGACCGACTACGCTAGGAATTGTCACCATCTGAGCAAGTTAACGTGGCCCACTAGTGAGATGCTGACGACTCGCCAGTGCACCCAACCTTGAAAAGATGTCGCCCTCAATGGCTGACATACGATATCTTGATCTTATCGTTTGTGAACCTGGCGAGAGTAAAAGAATGTAGCGGTCAGCCACACGAGTAGAGAGGATGTTTCTGCACGTGGAAGAGAGATCTCCTCAAGCGGGGAGTTGTAGCCTTCGAGTTAAGCTACATCATTTTAGCGACGAGTAAATGGGAACGAACTGAGCGATGGATAGTGACGTAGTAAAGTAGGGTAATAATATCCGATTGCATGGCCTACGAAAGCCTCCGAGCCGGGTGTACAGCAGCTAGCATATGATTGTGCCACCTCCCAGCTACAGAGCATGGCGGCATTAGGACCGAGAGAACAATAGAAACATACGACATACCTGCTCTAAGTGAGCGTCAATGATATCACCATCTTCCATTTCCATCTGATGATGCGTCAGCGTACGAGCGTCGACCGTTCTCTGGACATCAGTAGAGTACTCACATCTACAGGTGTATTTTCAGCCCGCAATCTTTTGCCATCGTAGGTGAACTTAAACGTCCCTGAAGGATTGACCGTGAGTACAGACCTTTCCGAGAGCAGTCGCCACTCACCTGGTTCTTTTCCAAACCGTTTCTGGTGTACGTCATGCAGATCGATGAACATGCAAGATGTGATGGAACGATCATGTTCTCACCTCTGCTGCATCGAATATCTTCTTGAACGGCATGTTGTGCTTCACCTTCACAGTGATTTCTGGCCACGGGTCATCAATACCTGCAACGCGTCGGAATGGCACGAGGGGAAGACTGACGGGTACCCTCGTAGTTAATGACCAGGCTCAACTTCGGTTTGACATCTTCAGCAATATCTTCGGACATATCTGTACACGCAGTCGGTTGAAGGCCCAATGTAAAGGAGTGGAGAGTTCAGTACAAAACGACACTAGCTTGGATGGTCTCAGTAGTTAACGCGTACAAACGCGTGCATTTCAGAAGCCACTCTTCCCACCTTCACGTGACTACAGGAAGTACAGGCAGTGGGGCCAACAGCTTCAATTACATAACAGTAGCGGGCTCGGAATTTCCAACTGCATCTTGTGCTCGGGAGAACTCTCAGAGGCCCGTAGCACATCCATCACAATGAAGGGGGCGTCACAGCCCACCATTGATACTGTTGGGATGTTGCTCAGCCCTCGTGCTGGCAACATACCATCAGTATTGAACTTAAGTATCAGTAGATCTAAGTGTCGATGATGCACGCATACCTCACATATTAGTCTTAAATAAATCACACGCGTCGGACAGATAAGAGTATCATAAGCGCATACCTCCCCGGTTCTATGCAAAATGAGTTGTCAGAAGTAAAAGGGTATTGTTTCAAGATAGATTGAAGGTATACATCATTACGACAGGGCTGTTTATGTCGAACAGAACGATGTCCCGACAAATTGGACAGTAAAAGAAGTACAGTAGAAAAAAAACTGCTGACTATAAAGTATTCCTGGACGATGCAAAGATTTACGAGAACTTCCATCTGCAGGTGATAAATGAGACACGAGTTTTTTCGAAGATAGCTTACTCACTTGTTGCCACAGTTGACGCATCTGTAAACGAGACAAAAAGTGAGTATATCTTGTACAACAGGTCAAGGTCACATACGTCACGAAAGTCTAAAAAAACATATACATAAACTTTAGTCTGATTCCCATTAAACATTTACTCACTGTCATTGGCTCGTCAGCGCTTCTGGTCTGCGCCTGGCGATAGCGACACTTGCGCTATGAACAATGAGATACCAAGCCACCAAATTCGACGAAAAAATCTTACTTGCTTGCATCTTGAGCATTGGAAGCCTTCCGTTTCGGCTTCTTGTTCGCCAGCTCCCAAAGACTTGAAGAAATTCTCCTCCTTTATTTTTTGATCTGCCGCTCGTCGTTCCTCCGAAGACATTTCCTAGAACAAGTCAGCTTTTAAAAAATAGATCTTATGATGCCTGATATACCTCGCTTGTCATTTTGCTGAACTTCTCCGCCGAAAGATCGCCGCTGACAATGTTCTCTCGCAGACTTGGATTACCCTTGTCCTTGAGGTTGACGTACGAAGAACGGATCTTGCCCTTGTATGCAGCATTAGTACTGCCAAACTGTACAAAAACAGCGGCCTCCACAGCTTTTGCTCGACTCAGAATTAGCTCACTGGCTATTTTCAGGGTCAGTGAGAGTTGGAGTAAAGCTGAAGTCTGGGACCAACTCACGAGCACCAGAGTCGCAAGCAAGGCCATCATAAATGAGTTCCGCGCACCTGTCCCGCGTGTTGTCGCCCGTGCCGGACGCCTTTACACCATCTGCTTTCGCACTACGAGGCTCTAACTTCCCGTTCACTGGGGCGGGGGTAGCGGCGTTAGATGGTGTGACCGAAGCAGATCCCTTGCGAGCTTTGTGAGAGGATAGAGTTGATAACCATGGTCATCATAAGGATCAAGCAGCATATGCGGATCGGACTCACTTGGTGCTGCCCTTCCGTTCGCAGGTGTCCCCGCTTTGAGCCTGAACCTCCTTTAGCGCGCTCCACCTCGTTTTTCCACTTCTTCACAATCTCTCTAGCAAGTTCGGAGACCTCTTTTGCCTCATGAGTCCGCAATTTTCCGACAGCGAGCCCTGCTTTGCTTTCCTATGAATTCACACCAGTGAGTCAGAACAAAGGAAAAATCCGGGCACGAATACCTACCCTTAGGATTGCTTCATTTACTTGGAATTCTTTCTTCAAGATTTGCAGAATCGATACCTTTTCCTACACGAAAGTTATCAGCAAACAAAACTACAAGCATTGACCTAGAAAGATTTGTACACACCTCTGTGGAAGTATTTTGGAGCTGTTTAACGAGCTTCTTAAGCTCGGCTGCTTCAGACATGACTGACGAAATGCTATGTCTACCACTATGTTACTTCAAGCACTATTCAAATCCTTCTTAAACCACCTAAATCAAGACCACGAAATAGTCTTGAAGCATGTGTATGAAAGCTCTCTAGATACTTCAGATAAGCGAATCGCGGTTCGTTCTTGTAAATAAACAAACAAAGGTAATCAAACCGGTCATCCCCAGCCACCCCGCCAGTTGACTAGCTCATTTCCTCGGTAATCCAGTATTATCAATGACTACAACATACACTCTTCCGCCGTTGGATCCTTTACTGAAGAGGAGTGCAAAGCGCACGAGAGACATATTTGCATCATGTCCAGATGATGGAATGAAGGAGGATGAGAAGAGGTGCGTAACAAGTTCTGGGACGCCGAGCATATTTGCTGAAGAGACTTTCAGCGCGCGAATACGTCTCTCGGTGAAGATTAACGACGAATACCGTGATTTCAAAGAACTCCCTCCTGCATTACTTGCTCAACAAGGTCCTATTGGTCCTACTCGGCCAAAGGAGCAGAGAAAGGCAATCACTGCCGGACGTAGGTTATCAGTTCTTCTCAAGTCTGACTGATAGTCTCATCGGCTCATTCAGCATCCAGCGACACATCAAGAATGATTGCCACAATAGACAATACACCCAAAGTGCAACCCTCCACGTTCGTTACGTCCAATAAGCTCTCCGAGGCTCTAACTCTACACAAAACGACTCGTACCATCAAGCCAACATACCATCCACCATGGAAGCTCGTCCGCGTGATATCTGGCCATTTGGGTTGGGTTCGCAGTGTAGCGGTTGAGCCAGGAAATAAATGGTTTGCTACTGGTGCTGGAGACAGAGTCATTAAAATTTGGGACTTGGCTTCAGGGGAGTTGAAGCTTTCCCTGACCGGTCATATTTCTACTGTCCGAGGACTGGCTGTTTCACCGAGACACCCGTACTTGTTTTCGTGTGGTGAGGACAAGGCAAGTCATTCTGTCTTCTACCGACCTCGTCTCGTTAATCATTGCTCCCTTTAGATGGTGAAGTGTTGGGACCTCGAAGCAAACAAAGTTATTCGGCATTATCATGGTCATCTTTCAGGCGTTTACTCTTTAAGTTTACATCCGACGTTGGATGTTTTGGTCACATCCGGTCGTGATGCCTCAGCTCGTGTCTGGGATATGCGCACAAAAGCCCAAATTCACGTTCTCGCAGGGACATTCTGCAACAGTAGCGGACGTCAAGTGCCAAGAATCCGATCCACAAGTCATCACTGGAAGTATGGACTCGACGGTTAGGTATGTCGAATTTTTTCGCAAATTAATACACTGGCTGATCCTATCCTGGTCAAGGCTGTGGGACCTAGCAGCTGGAAAGACGATGGTTACCCTCACCCACCACAAAAAATCTGTAAGGGCCCTGGCAATTCACCCAACAGAATATTCCTTTGCATCTGGTTCCGCAGGCGGTAATAACATCAAAAAATGGAAATGCCCAGGAGGGTGCATTTGTACACAACTTCTCCGGTCATAACGCTATCATAAATACGCTTTCTGTCAATGCAGAAGGCGTATTTTTCTCTGGTGGTAGGTTACCATATCCTATTGGCTTTCCTCAAATTTGAATTAATCGCCATTGTAATGCTTAGGTGATAATGGCACACTCACGTTCTGGGATTATAATACGGGGACTCCATTCCAAAATCTTGATGATGTACCACAACCCGGTTCCCTCGAGGCGGAAGCCGGTGTCTTTTGTTCGACCTTCGATGTGACCGGAACGCGGCTCATTACTGGTGGCGCTGACAAGACTATCAAGGTTGGTTGGGCAACTCAAAACGCACAAAACTTTGCTTATTGATCTTTCATAGGTTTATGCCGAGCAGTCGCAATAATTGCCGCACGTGTGTATTCTTCACTAGAGCGTCTTGTTGTAGTATCGTATTGTGCTTCCTTATTTCCGTCTGCACAGACTATCCATGTTGTTTTGCGGCTGATTTAATACTAACAGGGTTGCAAGCGCACACCATTCTATACGAAGCGCATATTCAGGTTGAATGTTCCGTGCTGTAGGTTGTGCTCCCATCGTAATGGCATCATTGGTTTTGATTGAGTGGTGTATTCCTTTATGCTCGAGTCATCTCTACGAATGTCAATGGGAGTTGCGAGATCAGCGACAGCATTCAAGTGGTCGCTTCTCAGTAGAATGTCCACGGGCTCTGCGATGGTCTCTGATTCGTGAGAATACCTCAACACCCAATTTGATTTGTAAGCTCGTATGGAGGGGTTGCCTGAAAGAACAGCTCAAAATGCACTTTTCTAGATTGAGTTCACTCTTTCGGGTTGGTATTTGAAGTGGGGCACATTCAACCTTGAAATCAAAGTTTCCTGCAGCTGCCCAGACTTTCTACGTCCGTCATTGGGAAGCCCAATGCGCTAATAACGTCCCCCTCACCTGCATGAATGCGAGTGGCACTCTTGATACGAATCATTCGCTCAGTGTGGCAGGATTATCCCAACATTGCACCCAAGCCTTGTCACAATTCGCACTCCAACAGAACGTCAGCAGCTCAGGCGCTATCGGGTGTTTGGAATGCCTCTCATCTCCTCACGGAAGAGCTTGCCCAAGTAAGTATTTCAACACTCCAACATATGTATTCGTCAAAGTTCATAATTGTACGTGTGGTATCAAATATCCGCTACGAGTCATGCCACGTCAAAAGACTCCTCGTCTTCTGAAACTATATCTCGTCCTGCTACCTATTCGCCGTCGTGAGCTGCAACACCTGCAGCACAGGATGTCGACGATAATGTCTACGATTGTGACGATGACCTAGGTATTTTCCATGAGAATCAACAAACCATGCAGCATTAAATTCACGAACAATCATTATTGCGTCGATGATGGACATGATCACATTGGCTATTGCCGAGATAACGTCATTAATGCCGGAGCCGATTGCAGAAACGATGGAGCCCTAGGTATGCAGGAAGATGTCGGTACATGCCATTAATATTGGGTTTGGGACGCACGCACCATGATGGATTCAGCTTAGCCGAAGAATAGAAGAAAGGGGTTTTATTTCGTAATATACTTAGTGTATCAGTTCGTTCGGAATGGTTGAACATCCGAGTGGTGTAGTTTTATACTGTCGCAGACGCCTCGATGATGTCACGAAATGGCCATCATCATCATTGGAGCTCAACTGGAGCCCAATTGGAGCTAAGTACAAGATGGTGCCTGAGAAATCCGTAACATTGCCTTTGACTCGCCTTTTGGATCTGCTTTCTGTTGCAGATGTCCTAAGGTCAAACTAGCGGGGCTGCACGCTGTAAGTATATTGATCCCATGAATTTTGGAAAAGTGCTCACTGGCAGTGCTGCGGTGATGGGTGTTGCAAGTCAGGAGGTTTCATTTGCTCCAAATACTAGGACTTGGACCAGTAGTTGGCTTGACTCAAAGCCTGGGAAGGCAAGTGATCAAGCTAAGTACTTGTATATGAATAATTACACTGAATTCTTCAACTCAGTGATTCCTCCAGCAGGCAACCGTTATAACCGACGTGCCTCAGTCACTGACGGTGATAAACTCTCAATTTGGTGGTACATGTCCCAACTAGAAACCACGACTGCTGCGAGTGAGCAGCCAACTGTTGCATATGACACTAATTTCTGCTTCCCTGTTCGCGAGTTGGAGAGCGAACGGGTCAAACTGACACCTTTCATCGTAGGTCATATTACAAGATTCTTATCAGCCGCTAAAATCAATCAATCGATAGCCTGACCTACACGCAGATCTCTACTTCCAAGGTTCAGCTACCTATCCCGATCTCTACGAATTTATACCTTGGGAAACTTTTACCGACACTTCAGACTTCGTGAAGCAAGTGATTGATAATCGCGTACGACCTGACACTGGGGTAGCCCTCTATGCTATCATCGACAAGACGCGTACCAGTATCACCCCCTCCTCATCAGCCAACTTCGCCGGCATCATAGGATACATGAACACATCTCCCGCAAACTTATCAACCGAGATCGGTTACGCAATGATCCTACCGCCGTTCCAGCGAACGCACGTCACCACGAACGCTATCGGCTTACTCCTTCAATACGCCCTCGATTTACCCCCGCATGGTCTGGGGCTTCGTCGTGTAGAGTGGAAGGCAAACAGGCTGAATACTAAGAGCATAGACGCTGTGCAGAAATTGGGTTTTAAACTGGAGGCTGTCTTACGCTGGGATAGGATTTTCGCTGGCTCGAAGGCAAGTGCGACGAATGGAGTGGAGGAGAGGGAGGGCGATCCGCGTCCTGGCATGGTGGGGACAGATACGGCATTGTTGGCATTGTGCTGGGATGATTGGGAGAGCGAGCGTGCACGGATCCTGAAGGTTATGGACCGAAGATCGTGACGAAATTCGTTATCTATTAGAAGCCGTTGTCCATGGTATTCGGCCCCCTGGACGATCAGTCCACGTTAATTGTGATATATGACCGCATAGCAGAAGTGCAATATCATCTACCATTGCCTTTGAAGAAGGTCAAGCGGGAAAACGACGCTCCCTGGCTTGGCACCAACGTACTACTTAAATCGAGCTGTCTCCCGTGACGTCCAAGATAAATGTCAATATCATACATTCACCTGGAATCCAAGAGTCAGGTATGTTCTACGTATCAAGATATCACCAGGTCAAACTCTGGGCAGGATCAAGATGTGAAGGTAGCGGAGTGACCCGGTATTCAGGGTAATATGTGCGAGCCCTTCCTCATATACATTACACCCGGACTTATCTATTTCGTCTTATCATCCCACCTGGAAATGGAGAGATTACTCAGAACCGGATCATAAAGACATGCGTTACGCAAGAATAACTCACAAATCCAAAAATAATTTCCACAGTATGGAAAACATGATTCCCTGGAGGCCGTTCGCCAAGATACGGGTTTTAAGTCCCCGCCCGAACAAACCCTTGAGGCCGTCTGCTGCGATGACGGCGCGGGCAGCATCGGTATATCCAATTCGGGTAGCGTTGACTTGTCGGTAGGTCTTCAGCACGCGAAGAGAGTTGGAAATGGTGTCAGAGGCGATGGAAGCTGCAAAGCCGATTACGGCGGAACGAAGGAGTTTCTGCAGTATATTCGCTGGAAGTGGGAGGACCGCATTGAGATAGTTGTACGTCCCGAACCACTGGGTAAAGAATGAGCAATGAATGTATGACCTAAAATAAAGTACTTACTGGGTAGTGACCGACGAACGTGGCAGCGGCAGTCGCGAGGGCGCCATACCACAAGCTGCCAACGCCATATTTCTTGACCTAGGAGAATATCAGGACAAGCAATTACCATATGCGTGAAGATATACCCTAGCTCTCAGTAATGCAATGCCTTCCTTACCCTGCGTCTGCATAGTCGTCTTGATCGTGTCAACTGGGGTCAAGATCATGCGGAAGCAAGCCGCAGCAACACTCGCGAACACTGTCTTCAAAAGTGTGGGCAAGGTTTTCATATATGAATTACTTTGAAGGAGGGCGAGGATGCCTGCATTAGCAGCGGTGTCACCAAAGCGGGACACTGGCCCTTGGACCAGAGCTGCGGTAAGGCCTTGGTAATACCGTGTCCAGCCACCATCAGTGTATAAAATCTTGGTAGCCTGTGTCGTCGTTGTACCGTATCGGTATTGGTAATTCATGATCGTGCGCAGAGGCTGCATAGTTTTCAGCGGAAATCGGAGACATTCGGTATGAGGAATATCATACCATGAGCGTCAAGACCTGCAACACCATGGCTGCCAGGATATCAAATTGTGGCAGAAACGTCCCAACGAATAGATTTACTTACCCGCAGCACCACTTAACCCTCCCCCTAGTGCACTCTTGAACGCCTTTCCCAGGTCAAACTAAAGAGAACATTGGACGTGAGGAAGAAGGTGAGTGCACGAATCAAACTACAACATACATTCACATCATCTGCGTCAATGAAGCCTTTGATGAATGTGGCCAATATAAACAATCCTAGCAGTGTCAGAACGCTATAGACGATTATTTGCCTCTTGGTCCATGGGTCTTTCGGGTCACTGGTCTCGTCTGTCAAGGTAAGTGCCTCCTCATCCTGAGGGCGACTTAAGCTGCCTGTGGGGTTATCATGATAGCTTGGCGGCTTCGAGTTGGCCAGTAAAGGCTGTTCCTCGGGAACGTTAATTCCGGCAGACATGGGTGATTGGGACATCAAGCGGAGGTCGCATACTGGCCATGATAACGAGATTGCTGACGAATGCGTTGCAAATGCGGAACATGTGCATGATTCTCGGAAACCTATAATTATAGCCCGACGCGTGTGCTCTTGGTCAAGTCCGCAAGCCTCCGCAACCTGGAGGTTTATCCTCACGAAGCTCCGGCTTCGCGTGGTCCAGTGCAATATCAGACAGGTGGTGACTTGATGCACTTCCTACCACTTCTCACCGATCAGTTCCATGCCATCAAAAATATGGTGCACAGGGATTGCCTGCTACAGCTTGAAGCAAGTTGACGTCAGGCGTTCGCATTATGGGAGGTTGTGTAAGACTGTAAGCATCTTTCTTCAGAATCATTTTGGTTCATTGATCTACGGTTGAGCGCTGTCACGGAATGGAGCCACCTCACGCGGTATTAGCCGACATCCCAGGATGTTTAAGCGTTTGTGCAGCACAATTGTTGCGAACCTGGTACTTTGGTCTTGAAGACCTGACTCCCTGACGTGACTCCGAGTCCTGTGCATGCTTGCAATTGGGAGTTGCGCGAATTCGGGTCGAGGCGTATACGCGTCAAGATATGTATGTGATACAGGCCCTATAACGCCGCTATAGCTGGGCTGGACTTGAAGCTTTGAAGCTTGATCAAAAGCTCTAAGGCACAGAAAGGCACAAATCTACTTCAGGATCAATCGATTATTGTTCAATTTTTGTATTGGCAGTGCATCGGCGGCAGTATTGGTCGTGACTTGGTGATCTCCTCATCATGATCAGTGAATTGATGGGTCCGTGACATTGTAGCCGTGAGACCATAGCGACCCTCTCGCACCCTTGTCCTGAATACTGCCATGGCGAGTTGACATTTATTCACCTCGGCTCCCAAAAATTACTATAAGGCTTGCAGCTGGTGGCAGCCGTTCGATCATTTTTTTCTCTCAGCTCTGTACGAAACAGTCGGTATCACGACTTGAAAGTTGGTACCAATGGTCCAAATCACTCCTTTCGTTCAGGTTCTTGCTACCGTCGCACAAGGTAAATTTCGATCCACTGATATCTACTAGTTAACTGACACGCCTCCCTCGCATCTAGCCTCTCCTTTCGTACGCGACATTTCTCCCAATGCTCTTGCTGTTCGCCAGGTAGATACAAGCGACCTTCCTTCTCAATGCCAAACCACATGTCAAGTCATCAATACGATGACTGTGAGTACACCCGATAACTTAAGCTCCTGACATCGCTCAGACATCCCCCAGAACTGCGGCACCAGTCTATCTTGTATTTGCGCGTCGTCCATCGGAACCGAGCTTCAATCATGCATGAATTGCATTGTTGCGGCTGAACCATCTGACTCGACAGAAGCTAATTCCGCCATCGAAAGCTGGAACGAAGCTTGCGGTGGATCTCTCACTGTTCGTTGATGGCTTCACAAGTTCGATTTTGTGGTGGCCTGACGGTATTTCATATTTACAGCTTACTAGCGGAAGCACTTCCACTTCGACAACCACTTCTAAGGGCTCTACTGCTACTACTACCAGCAGCGGCAGCAGCAGCCCTTTTACTAGCAAGACTGGCGATGCTGTGGGCATGAAGACGGCTATCGGGGCACTTGGCTTGGTCGTTGCCATTGCTTGCGGTATCATGATCCTCTGAACATGAGTGCCAACCTTAGTCTTTTAGGGTCACCTTTTCCTGACGCATCAGCATAACCATACCCTCCCTTCTTAATACCATATAAGTATACCTCTTGTTACCGAACACATCAACCAGTAAAAAATTTCGCCGCTATGGCATGGTGCTCGTTGATCAGTGGTATCGCTGAAACAGGAATAATGAGTCCAGAAGAGGATCGTGCGAAGTGAGACAATCAAATACGAGGTTTGTGTAAGGTACCTATTTCCATCATATCTCTGGATCAAATGTCCTGGTCTGGCAGATGCGTGATATATAGATTATTCCCTCAAACACCCCTTATACGTTGCCTGGAACTTGAAGGTTTTAAAATAGTTCTACTATTGTCGATCGACAAAGAATCGTCTGTTCCAGCTTTAAAAAATATTTCTCGGTGAAGATAATCCACCAAAGATGAGTTGTGTACCTGCGCAACGTTTTGTTATTTAATCATCGACAAGACACCAGTAAGAAATTAAACCAAAGACCAAAATGCCACTACTAAACAGACCAATTGGGAGGGAAACAATTGCATATATAATGAACAAAAGTCCATCATGACATATCAACATACATGGTGTTCGAATATAAGATTACACAATGAGTCTGAGAGAGTGCAACAGAACCACAAGCATGCTATCGTACAGATTAATCTGACAGGGGTAGCGTTGGATGCCGTAAACGTCAGTAGAAGCATCGACAAACTGGAATCGACATCATACAAGGGTATACAAAACCTGAAACAATGTGATCATGCAAAAAATCAATCATGGTGCCATGAGAGCAGGTGGCCTGTGGAGGAGGTGATGCTGCGTGGCTAACTGTGCGCGTTCGCCTGCGAGCTTGTTGATCGAATTCAAGAGATCTCCGCGACGAAGGGGCTCTGCAAAATAAATATCCGTGAGACTCGGAGAATACATGGGTAAATGAAGCACATACTGGTGATGTGATCGTCCATGCCTGCCTGCAGGCATCGTTCGCGATCACCGATCACTGAAAAAGCAAATTAGCGAGTACCATCATTGAGCTTCGAGATTGTAACGTACTAGCGTGAGCAGTGAGGGCGATGATAGGAATTCGTAGGAGTCCTTTATGCATCTCATACGCTCGGATCAGCTCGGTGGCTTCCATTCCTCCCATGAAAGGCATTGATACATCCATCTTGGGAAGATATTACTGCTGTGGGTCATCGAGTGAAAAATGACTTACCAAAATAATGTCAAATGGCTTGTTCACTTGTACCCGTGCCTTGAAAGCTTCGACGGCTAGACTTCCATTCTCTGCAATCTCAACTGTGTGGCCATACTTCTCCAGAATCTTGACCGCTAGTTTCTGGTTGACCATGTTATCCTCGGCAAGTAGGATGTCAAAGACAACATCATTTGGTGCCGAGACAGGCGAGACAGTATTCGACTCCAGGGCGGAAATAAGAGCGGAAGCAAGATCTTGAGCTGTGACTGGAGTCGTAACCTGCGAGCTGATGCTGTTGTCCAAGCACCATTTAACTACAACTGTCAACCCCATATCACCAGAGCACATCCTCGCATACTCACGATTCAGACGTGGCATCGAAGGCGCCAATAATACAATGGGAATGTAGCGCAGATGCTCATATTCCCTAATACTCTCGGTCTATGAAGGCGTGAGGCAAGCATGAACTCATGTGGCACCTACATAACGTACCATGCTCAACGAGTCCACGACGATAGTGTCGATATGCGGACAGCGCTCCTTGTCGGCCACCTCGCTGACATCATGGATGACGTATGGTCTCAGTCCAAGTTCCTGGATCCTTTGGACAACCCCAGTCGTGTCGTTGAGGGTGTCAACGAACAAAATAGCACGCCTGTGGAATGGCTGCATTTTTTGCAGTGTGATCTCCAGCGTACTTTGGGAAATCTGCGATGTGATCGTGAAGAAGAACTTGCTTCCCTTCGAGACCTCGCTCTCCACCCACATGTTGCCTTGCATGAGGTTGACGAGGCGCTTGGAGATGGAAAGGCCCAGACCAGTTCCCCCATATTCCTGTGCGACGATCAGCTCTGGCCCTTACGATAAATTGCAACATGGACGTACTCTCGTCGTCGAACCATCTGCCTGACAGAAGGTGTCGAAAATGAGGTTCAGTTTGTCTTTGGCAATACCAATCCCCGTGTCAGTCACACAGAACTCTAGGGTCACACTCGAGTCATCCAGCGCCAGTAGCCTTGTGCTCAGTGCAACGTGGCCTTTGCGGGAGACCTTGGATGGTGTGAACTTGATAGCGTTACCAACCAAGTTCGTGATGACTTGACGAAGTCGTAGCGAATCACCAATAAGTTGATCAGGAATATCCGGGTCGACATCATATGTGAGATCGAGGTTGTTTTGAGAGGCGCGGACGACGAGGGTCTTGAGTATGCCGAAAACTGTTTGACGGAGGGAATATGAGACGGCTTCCATGGTCATTCGGCCGGCCTCGACTGTAGAACATGTAATGAGATTAATGCATTGACATCGGGAATAGATCCTCACTCTTCGAGATATCCAAAATGTCATCGATGATGAGTAGTAGCGAGCGAGCCAATGAGTGCACTAAGAGCAAACTCTCTCGTTGCGATCGGTTCAGATCAGAGTCAAGAGTAAGCTCTGTCATGCCAATAATCCCGTTCATAGGTGTCCTATGAGATATTGAGCACAGATTATCAAGACGAGAAGGAAGCATAATGTTACCTGATTTCGTGTGACATGTTCGCCAGGAATTCAGATTTACTCCTGTTCGCCAGCTCAGCTGCCTCCCTCGCAGCGGTATTTTTCTGGATACTATCACGCAAATTGAATACCATCTGATTGATCTGTGTTTTCAAAGAGTCCATCTCTCCGCTGGCCTCAACAGTGATGAAACGAGTGAAATCTCCGTCCATAGCAGCTGCCGAGATCTGGGCAAATCCACGCACTTGCGTGGTCAAGTTGCCAGCCATAGTGTTGACGGACATCCTATAGCGACCTCAACACCCATTTCCACGGATTATGTTCCTTACTTACGTGATTTCTTGCCAGATACCCTGGACGTTGCCCACCTCGGCCTGGACACCCAATTTACCCTCTGTACCGACTTCGAATGCGACCTTCTTGACTTCCTTGGCGAAGATTGCCAATTGAGCAATCATATCGTTAATAGTGTTGACTAGGCTTAGCATTTCTCCGGACACAGAGACACCAGTGATTTGTTGAGTTAAGTCTCCGCGGGCGACGGCAGTCTGACAACTAACTCAATAGAAGGGCTAGGTCGCAGTAAGAAATACTAACAGTTGCGACAGCAATGGTTCGGACTTGTAGGGTCAACTACGACGCCGAAAAATCAGCGTTAACCCCGTAAAAGATGAAATGGACCTACGTTAGCAGCCATGACATTCACGTTGTCCGTCAGGTCCTACTTGAGATGAGCATCGATCTACAGCCTATGCAACATACTCACCTTCCATGTACCACCGACGTTAGTTACACGAGCCTGACCTCCCAATCGACCTTCTGTGCCGACCTCTCTTGCGACACGAGTGACTTCATCGGCGAAGAGACTCAAGCTCTCGGTCATGCCATTGACAGTCTCCTTCAACTCCTTGATCTCGCCACGCACGTCGACTTCAATCTTCTTCGTCAAGTCACCGCCAGCGACAGCCTTCGTCACTTCTGCAATCGACCGCACCTGGTTGGTCAAATTCATAGCCATGAGATTGACATTATCTGTAAGAACCTGTAATGAACGTCAGAAATGACATCATCTCGCATCTTTGCGCCCTACCTTCCACATGCCCTGCACATCAGGGACATAAGCTTGTCCACCCAAGATACCTTCCGTACCGACTTCCAAAGACACACGAGTGACTTCGTTGGCGAGCGTAGACAATTGGGCAACCATGGAATTGACAGTCATCTTCAAATCTAGCATTTCTCCCTGCACATCGACGTTGACGACTTTGTTTAGATCGCCCAAGGCAACAGCTTTTGTGACCTCCGAGATCGATCGTACTTGGTCAGTCAAATTACTAGCCATTTTCTGTCACACGGCATATCAGCGACGTTTGACGAGACCAGAACACTATTTATATAACTCACATTCACATTGCGTGTCAAGTCAGCCCAGGTACCCTGCACACCTTCTACGCGAGCCTGGCCACCCAATATACCTTGCGTTCCGACTTCAAGTGCGACACGAGTGACTTCGGATGCGAAGGCGCTCAGCTGGTCCACCATAGAGTTGACAGTGCCCTTCAACGTTGACATCTCGCCTTCGACCTGGATCTCAATCTTTTGCGTCAAGTCGCCCCTAGCAACGGCCGTCGTGACATTGGCAATAGACCGCACTTGGTCCGTCAAGCTTGAACACATCCGATTGACCTTGAGACGCAGATTAGGACACTATCCCGATAAGACACAGGAAAGGACATACATTGCGAACCAACTCGAACCAAACACCTTGAACATCTGGTACGTGCGCTTGACCGCCCAACTTGCCTTGAGAGCCGACTTCTAACGTGACACGGGTAACTTCGGCGGCTAATGCACGCAGCTGAATAACCATTCCGTTTACGGTATTCTTCAAATCCAGGATTTCGCCACGAGCATCGACATCAATCTGTTTCGACAAATCTCCCTGCGCGACAGCTTTAGTGACCTTGGCGATACTTCGTACTTGACTGGTTAAATTGGCGGCTAATTTATTGACGACACCAGTCAATTCCCGCCAAGTACCTTCGACATCCAATACGAGAGCCTGTCCACCGAGTTTACTGCGGAAAACTGAGCAAATCGTATAAGATCTGGGTTAGTAGTCACTTTACCCTTCTGTACCGACTTCTTGACTGACACGAGTGACCTCTTTGGCGAATTGTCCCAATTTGTCGACCTGTCAATGATATGCATGAGCGAGACCTTTGGATAAGATTCTAGACGGATACCATAGTGTTAATGACGTCCTTCAATTGAACCATGACCACACCCTGCACGGGAACCGTAATTTTCTGGGACAAGTCACCTCTGGCCACAGCATTACACACACGAGCGACATCTTGGACTTGAGCCTTGAGCAACCTTAGTTCTTCAACAGCGCTCATGCCGCTTTCGAACGCTGCAGCAGCAAGAGGACCAGGAGGGACGACAAGAGGAGATCCATTAGGCGAACCATCAAAGCTACTATTAATTCGGCTCATAGTCAAAGTGTCGGTAATAACTTTTCCGCACGTCGGGCAAGCCATGTGTTCGGGATGCGATGTAGGGGGTGCCGAGGCCGAGCTTCCGTTTGAAAATGACCGAAGGAGTGTTGCAGCATCCATATGAGCTGGAAGTCCATCGAGTGATAAGGACATTGAACTTGCACGAGCAGAGTGTGATTTGTTGACTGGTGTATGATCGTTGCTTGCTACACCATTCGTGCTATCGGCGTCCTGCATTTCGACATCGATTGATTCTACAGTAGGTGTGAGGTTTGAGTTGGTCTGAAAACAAGAAGTTGGTCCTGGTGAATTGGAAGACGGAGCAAAAGCATTGACATTGGTACTGGACTGCATGAGGGAAGAAGATGGGTTGGTCTCTTTCTGAGAAGATGAAGATGAGGACATGGGAGTGTCGCCTACACTGCGTCTTTTCTTTGTCTCTGGCCCATTTGTCTGCCAACACTCCGAAGCTTTGATTGAGGCCAGAGTCTCTTCTGCAGTGTACATTCTGCGTGCGACTGCCCCTAAGGAGCGAAGGATAGTGTCTGTTTGCCAATCTCCAGGCCCATCATATCGTGGAGGTGGTGTCGACATGGGACATAGTTCATAAGCTGACAGGAGAGCAATAAGATGAGAAAGAAATGGATGGAGAAGACCCTGCCGCTGAGTGTCAGTCATTGTGCTCATCGTTGAATGCGACAAGCAACAACGGCGAAAAGTACACGGACAGCTGGGAAGGGAAACAGTGGAGTCGGAAGCGCTTCTGAGACTATGTAATTGTAATCTTATTATAATGCCCGTTCTGCGGCGAATTCTGCCACAGCAACCCTTATTCGAATGACCTGCTTTAGTCTGCTTTACAAGTGGAGCTTGAACTCTTCAAGCGATTCGGGCATTATCCTTGCCCACGAATGATTGAAATGAACGCCTCATGTTCTCTCATGTCCTCCTGACCAGCGCATGCATTAATCAATGCTCTTCGCCGCGGTTTTGGTGTTTGAAATGGTGCTTGAATAGTCCCTCTTTTGTTTCTAAAATCTGCAGAGCTCACGATTAACCCACAAACTTCGCAATAACATCTTATACATAATTGATCATAGATACCAATACACAAGTCCATACTGCCAAGCACGATGACGCCACCACGACTTCGATCAGATGTAAATCGGAAGTGTTGGATTCAATCCCAGCCAGTCAACACCCTCAACAAACTCCTTGTCATCGATCAAGAAATCCTGGGGTGACAAGTGAGCGCCAATCTCGCATAAAACATCTGGGACGCACCAGGGGGCACTCGACCACTGAACCCCTGACCTGGGAAAGGCGTTCCTTGATACGCTGCAGCTGTATTTCTGGCACAACGTGACCAGTCTTAACCTTTGGCAAATAGTTCTGCATAGTAACCGTCAGACATGCTCCGAGGAAACTCGTAGACATCGTTGCTTGCCTCGTACGCAGACCAGGAACGAACAAGGTTAGTGGGCACAGGGCGGAAGACTTCTGTGAAAATCTCGCGATTTGTTCTTGCTGTACGATTCCACAGCTCCAGGGTGCTGTCTGCTAGGGGATCCGCCACGGCATTGTCCTCCCGCGTCCCGATCTCGTCGTCGTTGGGCTCTGGCGCACATCGCATGAACGAGGTGACCTTCTCGGTGGAATGCAAGACGTTCTGAGGCTCGATAAGGCCAAGGTGCTCTGTGTATATAAGTTAACTAACACTCGAGCAGGTTTCGCGTTATTCTCACCCCGGAAGAGCTTGCGACGCAGAGTAGTCGCAAATCGTGCGGCCATGTATGGATGCCCGTCCATCGTCGAGCGCACCATGTCACCGTCTTCGACAACGAGCGCGATTTCAGAATCGCCATCTCCCTAGAAGGCGAGGGCTGTGAGATTACACATACCTGCTCAGCAGTAGCCGACCTACCTTTTGACTTCTGTCATTCAAATTTGCAGAACCCATCTAGCCCCAGTCACCAATCAGAAAAAGATACAGACCGATCCGGAAGTACTCACGATAACACGTCTGTCGTCAACGATCATAACCTTCGAGTGAATATAGAGAAGCTCTGACACGTATCTTTTCGACAAAATTAGCTGTAGGAACCAGCGACACGCAACAATGGACATACGCATCCCGCTCCTCTGCCTCAGAACCATACCATATCTCATCGCTCAAGCGTGTTCGGTCCTGCAGTCTATGTTGCGATACGGTATCAGACACATCTTCGTCGCCTCTGATATCATCTGAGCCTTTCTCGAATGTCCGGACAATGTTCACTGCGTCATCATATGAGGCCGGTAGAGGCACCTTCTCCAGCTTCATCTTGATCTGGCTCAAAGCCATGCCTTCCTGTGCAGGCTGAGGTACTTTGATAAACACTTCCTTCGGAGCGTCGTTGCCAGTGTAGCGGGAACCTTCCCATTGGCGCGCAAGAGCGATCTGAGCTTCATAGAATGTGACCCCCGAGTTTGCTTCCATTTGAGATATCAACGTTTCTGTTAAGCCACGCTTAGAATAGACCTGCAATGCCATCAAAGAGGTATCTTACTCTGGGGAGCATTGATCCTGTCATAGGCACGTAGGTGGTAGAAACGAATGTAGTCCATCCTAACACCCGATAAAACAATCATCAAAAACAAAAACAATCACAATCACAACAATCATAACTCACGGCTCAAAACCAGCTTTTCGGATCTCTTCATATATACTGTGACCGCCACGATTAATCGTGCGGTACTGTGCTGCCATGATAATCTTCAGAGCACTATCATTCTTAATATCCCCGGCAAATCCAGGGAGCTCAGGTATAACCACAATGACCTAGTTTATCGCTCAATGGTCAGGTGAATAGTAACAAAAGATATCACAGACCTTGAACTTTCGATCATCCCTGGCTGCTTTAATGATCCGCTCAACGATTGCCTTTGCTATTTGGTTCTTCACGGGGCCTTCCTCGCGCGTGTTAGAGATGCTGAATATAGCAAAGGGATCAGATCACAGGATCATGCACGTTACTTCCATACTCACAAGAATTGGTTTTCTTTGGATCAGTCACCAACGTAAATAACTCATTAGAATAAACGTTCAATAACATCAGAACTTACCAATATAGATGAAATGATTGGCCTCGTTGATCAATTGAATGTCTGTACCAAGGTTTCAGAGAAAACACGCAGCTTGTGCATGGGGAGGACGTACAAGCATTTTGGATGCTGTGTTCGGTAAGCACACCGTGGCTCCAGTCGCAGACACTCCGCACAGCCTGCACGCGGCATTGTCCGTGCGGGGGAGCAGTGTAAGGCGGCTCAACTTCGTCATCTGCTTCGAGGTGGAAGCGTTGTCTGAAACGACGGCCCATCTGATGCCATTTCTCACGATGGGGGTGGCCTGTGAGTGATTAGCATCAAACAGGGTTACTAGCAAGCATCTACATACGGACGACAGCTTCGTTCGGAGAAAGCGCCACATTATGAGGAAGCGCAAGCCAGTCAAATCGGCTGTGGAGCGGGTGGTAAGATTAGATATTTCGTTTGAAATTATTGAACTTACTCATCATTACGGTACTTTAAGAACGTTGTAACAATGAGACTTTAAGCGTCAATCAGACCATCTGACCACGTACCTTCCTACGTTTCACCTCGTTCCACCTCTCAACGAAATGCTGGGAAAGATCCAAACAAACAGAACCACAAAGTGTCATATGTACCTAATATGTTAAACAAGGATTACACAATGTGATATGGGAGATGAAACGACTTGACACTTACATCATGCCATGGCATTCTGGGCGTTTCCATGATCGAGACAGCATTGCTAACATAATTGTCGACATTCTCGAAGTCAAGGACACGTGCGTTGTTATAATCCTGCCCAGGAAAGAGAGTGCGTGACCAATCTGTCGGGTGTACGTCTGCAAGAGGGTGATTGTGTGTATCCCAGCGACCAAAGCAAATGTCGAGTCCTCCAACACATCCGCGGTGGTTGTCAACAACCACAAGCTGTCAGAAATAGGTATGAAGGTTACAGTAAACAAAAGGGCATGTGCATACCTTCTCATGGTGAGACCAGAATTCCACGGCGTCTGCGACTCAAGGTTACGTAAATGTGTTGTTGATTGCTACGTGTTCTCACCTTTGCTTCCAATATGATCAGGGTGTCGCATACAAGCGATGTTCGGGTGTAAGGCCTCTAACGCGGCCTGCATTACTTTGAATCAATATCCTCGAGACTAAAGACGAAAAGAAAAAGTGCCGACCTTTGTATGCTTCGAGTTCATTGACATGGTTTGAGTGACCTGAATGGTTCGCAAAGCTTAACAGGAGTTGAATGACCCTCGATAGAACAGTACCTCTTTATAGACGATAACATATACTCTCACTCCTTCTCGAGCCTTGCGTTGAAGCAATCGGTCGAGTCTCCATTCCGGATGATCTGCGGGTGGTCGTCTGTGCATGAAATACTTCAGCCATTGAGGCGCAGCAACCGTTGTTCAAATACTAACCTAAGGTATAACTCAGGTGTGAGCCACCAGTCCTGTGATAGCGCATTAGTCTCGAGCTGGCAATAACAATAGTTTCGGAGATACATACTAGTATAAAGATACACTCCTTTGCACTGTCGAGTATCTCAGACAATGCATACATATAGTCATGACCATCAATGTGCCTGAAATGAATCTAAACATCTGAATGGGTTATATGGATGAAAACGTACCATTTAATAGCATTGTCTAACCTCTGATCCGCGAAGCTATCGAAACGGTGACTGGCATTGATCTGCGCTCTAATCTCATCGTCGAGTTTCTCCTCTGGGTTATCGTGACGCCCTGGCCAGCGAATTAGATATAGTCAAGGTTAAATGCGGTGTTTATGGTGCTCACTATTAGGATCGATGATTCCTAGGGTGAGAAATGATCATTAGGGACGCATCTCAGGAGTAATTTGAACGCACCGATAATCTGATCCCTTGTCCTTTCAATGCCCTCTGGAAGCCGCTCTGCGTAGTCTAAGATCTTGTCAAAGAAATCCATGCTGTTGAAATTGGTCGACCTGATAAATTGTTGCGAGTCTTGTGATCACCGAAACCGCTGTCAGATAGTATAAAGGCAACCTTATATATGGCCACCTATAGCCACCGTGCGAATATTTACTGCGCGCGCTGACAGCCAAGTTGACAGATCTAGATGTCGGACTAGTGATGAGTGCACTAGTTGTCATACCGCTAGCTCTTCCACTGACAGCAAAAACGCGCATCCTTGATCCTTTCCTCTCGGCATAACCGGTCTGCCAAAAATTTAGAACCCGATAGGCACGGGCGCGTTGCGAGCGTGTGCAGTACATTCTTCCGCTGTCAGTGCAAGAAGAAGATGAAAGGGATATAAAAGAAGCCAGCGCAACGCGCGGATGTTCATGAAGGCGGGGTTATGATGAGATCATTGATCCACTTGGTGCACATGGCATTAATTAAGGCACTCAGAGAGTCATCTCGAGTTGGCGAAAAGGTTTGGTAGGTGCTAGAAAGCTCCGATGCGGTCTGCATTTTCCTGTCCGAGAGCACCACACCGAAGCCGACTCGGAGATGTACAGACTGCGTGGGATAAGCTAAATATGATACAACTTCTTCTTCAATGGAGGCTGTCCACAAGTGAGTGAGACCCTCTTGGTGCCAAGCATTATAGTAGAACACCGCAAAATGACAGTGCCGTTCGAGCACTGTCATCCACTCTATCGAACAGAGTAATAGTATGTGGGAGCTCCATACCGCTTGCAATGCAATGGCAGAAAAAACAGTCCCACATGATACACAAACAGTTAAATGATGACATCCAGGGTTGATCGATATCCACTTGGGGCCAATTCAAGGCAGCTCGGGCACATGTCATTTTCACAGGTTTCGACGTGACTTTCCCTGCCATCTCCAGATCATGGATCCTGTTGTCATCTCATTTCTTGTTTGCTGTTGACAAATGAGACTCAGAGATGTGTGAATGATACCCAAGGCTTGACTTACCCAATGGCTTGCTACTGAAACAATAGCAACTCGCTTTTCTGCTGCTTCATCCAATCCACCAGCATACTGCAGTGAATGCTTCTGTAGGCTACTATTGGACTCACTGTGTCATTGACTACCAATCATTAACCGACCATCCTCTGTCCATGATGTCAGGATCCAACTCCTTTGCCAGAACCCGCACAATGATATGTTTTGTAAACTTCTGCCTAATATTGTGGCACCTGGGTTTGCAGTTGGGGGAAGGGGCAGCTTCATGCAGCCACTCTTGTTCTGTGAGGAGTATAGATGAATACAGGATTGCTGTATTACTGAGTGTTACAGCAAGTGCACACAAGATAGTGCATGGAGATGGACATCATGTGGTTCTGGTTCGGTTTTGTGTGCACCAAATCTCCCTAAGAAAAGATCCAGCCAGGCCAAGTTCACTCATGGGATTTTTATCCTGCGGAAGGTCCTATACACATATCTGCCTCCATCCACAAGGCATTGAATTCATCCAAGGACACCCCACTCTCTGCCCCTGTTATTTTGGTGTGGGTAGGTGCAATATTTAACATTGACTGGTTGTGACAATTATCATAGCATGGTCATGAATCCTGCATTGGGAGTGAGAAGAGCAGCAAGGTTTACTGTCAAGTCTGGAATGCTTTGGCCCATGACGAGTACAAGGATTCAGACATTTCCAAAGGTGATTGAGCTGGTTGAATGTCAAAAACACCTCTGTCCACTCCTGCTTGATACCTCAAGTTCTGAGTATCCTTGTATGATAATTGCATGATAAAGCAAAGGCAATGATGGAGAGACATTGTCAGCTGGTACACTATGATACAACATGATTCGGCCTGTTGTCCACATGTACAAGCCTTGTGGTTGTGTAAATCAAACTTAGATCTCAATTGGGCTACCATTGGCCCAGTGGGCTTGGCGCGGGCCTTGACCAGTTCGGAAACTATAACAGCTGATCCTGTATCACAAGGTGGCCTTCAAGATGGCCCATCTGCAATGAACATGTGATCTGCATGCCGGAAGACAATATTCCGCAACTGATTGACTTATATGTACTATCACATCTCTTGGTAGTCCTAGTCCTTCCAAATCTTATCTAAATGAGAACATTTCAACATGTCCCATTTACAACGAGGATACTCTGCCAGTGCAATGAGGTTTATAATTTCGAATTTTAGCCTATGTGGATGTAGATGAAGTGGGTGTCAAGGAGGTAACTTGACTATGACATTTAAAATTTGAGCAGCACCTCCAAGAGTTGTCCCAATGCATTTGGCTGAAGTTGGCTGCATTTCTGCCAATGTGCTGGGGAGGTCAGGTGTTGTACATGTTGAGAAGTACTGGAGAAGGGAAGCAGTCGACAAAACAAGACATCTGTAGGAGAATCTGTGCAAGTAACAAAAGTGGTGCACATGCAAGAATCCTGCTAGCAGCCATAAAATTGGTCTGCTGGTAGATGGTACTTTGGGTTAATTGAGATTTGGGTGGTGCATATGTAAGTTGCATGAAGTCGACATGTAGATGAGTCTCAATGCAGCCACATGTGCACTAGTTTGAGGTCTTGAGCAGTGATGTTGAAGTTCAATATTCCAAAAACAACCTGATGCTGCTTGTCAATAGTACAAACCTCAGCACTTCCCAAGCTCATGCACAAGTCACTACTTCATGCTCAAGATCCTACAACCCCTCCCCATACTGAGCCATCACATCCCTCAATGATGGCTCATACCCAAACTGTGGCTGAAAGTGTGCAGTGAATGGTGTGGGGTGCAAAATCACACCATTCACAAAGCCCATCTCATCAACCCAGTTCTCTGGGTCCCAAGTGATCGTGAACAAGTACAGGAGGAGTGTGATGTTGATGAAGACTGAATGCTATGTGCCACCTGGGGCAGATTCTGAAGGTTGTGTTTCAGCAAAGTTCTACTTGGTCCAATATCAGGTGAGGCTACACCTGTGTCCAAAGCCATATGAAGTGAACTTGATGTTGTTGCAAATTTTGCCTTTCCTGTTAAGCCATCTCTCAGGCCTCAGGGTTGAACTTGTTGGGTTTGAGGTAAACACTGGGTCATGTGGGATTGCCCTGTCAAAGTGTGTTCAGCATATTATTCTGTAGGTTTCTGCTCAAGCAGCCATACAAATTGGAAAATCAAACCAGAGCACTGAGAAATGCACATAAACAAGATCAGCCAAAGCATAGTGAGCAAATTCAAATGTTGGTACAGGTCTCCAGTGAAGACACTTCAACATGAACACTGCGATCTGTGGAAGGGAAATATAGTTGAATATGGGAGCTATAACAACCAGGTTGAGGTTCATTCACTAAGATGAGCCTTGACATACCTCTGTCAAGACCAACAATGATATCCAGTTGCTCCTGCACTTTCTCCTGTGCCTTGGGATAACATGCAGAAGTTATGACAGCACACATGATCACTATAGCAGTCATGTCTGAGTTGGTGCCAAAGAGCGATCCAGCAATTTCTTCATCTGAAAGCTTGTGTGGGGACTGGTTCTCAAGACAGTATCAAGCAAAGAGGGTCTGGCTTTGAAGGTCGCCTACAAACAACTGAGGGTCAGGTGGAGTTTAAGAACGACATTGAAGAGATGAACCAATTCTCTTGAAACATGGTTGAGTTGGTCATGGAAGACCTGACTCTCTTCTCTTCTCAGCATCAGTAGCTTATGCACCCATTGCATAAGTCATGGCACTGCACTCCAGTTCATGTGTCATTGACTTGCAGGTGGATGTGCAATGTGACAGGAGATGCATTGATGTCTTCGACTATTGTCTTCAGTGTAGATGCATGTGGTGGCAAGAGAGGGGCAGGGAAGAATCAATAAGATGAGGGCAGCGCGCTGGAGGTATCAGAGGAAGGGTTGGAGCATCAGGAAATCATGAGTTTACTTAATCCTTACTTATTTTGAACCTTTCCCACTTATTTCAAATGGATCTACTTATTATTCTTAAATCACTATCTGGTCCCAACTGAACTATCAGGATCTGTTGGCAATCATCATAAATGTGTGCTATTAAATTATTGGACTCTCAATTTGCAAGATGGTACCTCAAGAGAACATTTAAGAAAGAAAATCATCAGCATTAATATGTCACTCAAGCTCCATACTAGTCACTAATTGTTAGTCTTATGCAATGAAAGATGTCTCTCAGGCCCAACAAACATATTGGAATACTCAATTTTGAAGCAGTTGTCAAATTTCAGAAAAAAAGTAGGTTGATTGTAAATAAGCGGGAAAAGGTCGAAATAAGTAAGGATTAAGTAAACTCACGATTTCCTGATGAGGGATGGGAGGGGTGCTAGAGGCTCGCATAAGGAGTTGTCATGAAGGCTTGGGAGGGAATGCAAGAGCACGAACTTTAATTAGTCTACATGACGGGAGCTTGGGGGATGGGTCCTTCAGACTATCATAGGCAGCTTGACGACATTTAAAAATTGAGCGGCACCTTCCAAGTAGGAGTCCAACTCCTTGGTAAAGTCTGATGAAGAAGACTGCAGAAACAGGCCAACGTCAGTCGCCAGGCTAAACGTTAAACACTTATTATAGCGTTCTCCCCCAAAAGTGTAAACTTCTGAATCATGATTAAACCATGCTCCCCGTGTTGCACAAGCCAGTCCCAAGCCTATGACGCTTTGATTTGCGTATTGACAGACGTCTGACGCAGAGCTCCCGATTTGCCTGGATACTGTGCTTGGTTGGCAGCTATCGACCGCAGAGGATGGTTGGAACCTCTCGTAATTGACTAGTGCTCGGCATTTCATTTCCCCTCGTGCACACGCCATAGACGCGCTGCAGGCTGCAGGCATGTTTGTTTTCAACCTCAAACGTTACTCTCAAAGGCCTCTACTACTTGATTGCGCGGATTTCTACTAATGTGCGTGTGCATCGCGATTCAAACTTATCTGCCCGGACGTTGTGCTGATGAAAGGCGGATAACCCAACAGTTTTCGTCGTCTTCGCCCACTTGTACTGTTTGGCTTCATCCACCCTGTTCTCCCGACAGTCCTCGCATAACTTAATTGTGATATCATAGCATGGCAGACGATGTGGGAAGGCGTCGAGCGGCCTTGAAGAGATGTCCCCTCGGCCATTGTCTTCGATCGGGGTTTCTCAACAATCTCGCCAACAGCCTTCTAGGTAGATTCAGGCAGCGGAGCGTCCCGTCTGACCTTGATGAGTCCATCGAGCTGGATCGGGCTGCACTACTCCTTCGTCCCCCCGGTCATTCTGATCGATCACAGTCTCTCAACAATCTCGCTGCCAGCCTTAGAGACAGATTCAGGCAGCGGGGCGTCCTGGCTGACCTTGATGAGTCCATCGAGCTACATCGGGCTGCACTACTCCTTCGTCCACCCGGTCATTCTGATCGATCAGTGTCTCTCAACAATCTCGCTGCCAGCCTTGGAGACAGATTCAGGCAGCGGGGCGTCCCATCTGACCTCGATGAGTCCATCGAGCTCCTTCGGGCTGCACTACTCCTTCGTCCCCCCGGTCATTCTGATCGATCACTCTCTCTCAACAATCTCGCTGCCAGCCTTCGAGACAGATTCAGGCAGCGGGGCGTCCCATCTGACCTCGATGAGTCCATCGAGCTCCATCGGGCTGCACTTCTCCTTCATCCCCCCGGTCATTCTGATCGATCAGTGTCTCTCAACAATCTCGCTGCCAGCCTTGGAGACAGATTCAGGCAGCGGGGCGTCTCGTCTGACCTCGATGAGTCCATCGAGCTCCTTCGGGCTGCACTTCTCCTTCGTCCCCCCGGTCATTCTGATCGATCACTCTCTCTCAACAATCTCGCTGCCATCCTTCGAGACAGATTCAGGCAGCGGGGCGTCCCGTCTGACCTCGATGAGTCCATCGAGCTCCTTCGGGCTGCACTTCTCCTTCGTCCCCCCGGTCATTCTGATCGATCACTCTCTCTCAACAATCTCGCTGCCATCCTTCGAGACAGATTCAGGCAGCGGGGCGTCCCATCTGACCTCGATGAGTCCATCGAGCTCCTTCGGGCTGCATTACTCCTTCGTCCCCCCGGTCATTCTGATCGATCAGTGTCTCTCAGCAATCTCTCTGCCAGCCTTGGAGACAGATTCAGGCAGCGGGGCGTCCCGTCTGACCTCGATGAGTCCATCGAGCTCCTTCGGGCTGCACTACTCCTTCGTCCCCCCGGTCATTCTGATCGATCAATGTCTCTCAACAATCTCGCTGCCAGCCTTGGAGACAGATTCAGGCAGCGGGGCGTCCCATCTGACCTCGATGAGTCCATCGAGCTGGATCGGGCTGCACTACTCCTTCGTCCCCCCGGTCATTCTGATCGATCAATGTCTCTCAACAATCTCGCTGTCAGCCTTCGAGACAGATTCAGGCAGCGGGGCGTCTCGTCTGACCTTGATGAGTCCATCGAGCTGGATCGGGCTGCATTACTCCTTCGTCCCCCTGGTCATTCTGATCGATCACAGTCTCTCAACAATCTCGCCAACGGCCTTCGAGACAGATTCAGGCAGCGGGCCGTCTCGTCTGACCTTGATGAAACATTTAGTCTGTTCTTGCAACTCCCATCCATATCTTATGCAGTCTCTCGTGCGGATCTTACTGCTGCCAAGTCATGGGCTGCTGCCGCTGAAGAGACAAACCATAGTTCTGCATTGCTTGCATATCAAACTGCATTGAAATTCCTGGATCAGCATGTCACTCTTTTGTCGTCTTCGTCACGTCATTTTGATGTCCTGAGGATGGCTACGGCTTCGCTTGCTGTGGACGCTTTCTCGTGCAGCGTTCGACATGGCGCGCCGACAACTGCTGTGGAATTGGTGGAGCAGGGCCGCGCAGTATTCTGGTCCCAGCTGGCACGCTTAAGCTCGCCGTTCGATGGATTCTCCTTGCCCGGTGATACCGGCGGAGTCTTGGCGGAAGGGTTCGAGCAGCTGAGCTTCAGCCTTCGTAGCGCATTCGACCAGTCTACTGAAGACCAGTCCCCACAAATCCGACAACTGGTCATCCAGTGGAATGGTGTCGTCTCCCGCATCCGCATGCTCCCTGACTCTTCTCGATTTCTCCTGCCTCCCTTGTTCTCCAACCTACAGAAGGCCGCTGAAGAAGGACCTGTCATTATCGTCAATGCTAGTCAGTACGGCTGCGACGCCTTGATTGTCCTGATTGACCAAAATCCTGTCCACGTTTCGATTGGTATCACGCGGGCTCAAGTCTCCGAATTGTCCTCCGATTTTCACTCCGTCGCAGAGCAATTTGGTTCTTCCGATCATCAGAACAAGCTTGTGGGCATCCTCCGCAAGCTTTGGCATCATATCGTTGACCCCGTGGTCCAAGCCCTCAGGAAGTCGAATGTTCGCCCTGGCTCGCGTATCTGGTGGTGTCCCACTGCTGAATTTACTTTGCTTCCTCTACATGCAGCAGGACCCTATGAGAGGGAGAGAGACAACTTGTCAGAGATTTACATCTCCTCTTATACCCCCACTTTGGCGACACTTGTTCGTGCGAGACAGCGCGTCTCTCGATATGCATCTACTCAATATTTTGTTGGAATTGGTCAAGGAAAGCCAGACAGAGGGAAGGAACTGCGATGCGTCGCTCCTGAATTAGCCGCCATAGCTCAGCATCTCGTGCCCATCGTGACGTCCTTTACGTCGCTCGAGGACAGCGACGCAACAGTACAGGGTGTCCTTGATGCACTAACCCACAACCAGTGGCTTCACCTAGCCTGCCACGGCACGCCAAATCGACAACGACCATTTGAATCTTCTTTCGCAATGCGCGATGGGCCGTTGATGATCAAGGACATCATCCGATCCAACTGGCAGCATCCGGAATTCGCATTCTTATCGGCTTGCCACACTACTGTGGGCGGTGAAACGAGTCCCGACGAGTCGATCCATCTCGCGGCGGCTATGCAATTCTCTGGATTTCGCAGTGTGATTGGCTCTATGTGGTCTGTCGACGACGAGGTTGCACGGCAGGTTGTGTCTGCCTTTTACGACAAGATGGTGGATGATTCAGGGAGATTGGACTGCACGCGGGCTGCGATGGCATTGCACAAGGCCGTGAAGAAATTGCGGCGCAATAATATTCCACTGGAACAGCAGATTGTATTTGTTCACATAGGTGTCTAGCTAGTTTGAGGCTCGTTTGCTATATTACTGTATCCTGTGACCCCGATTGCTTTCATTTCCCGGTTGTCCTACCTAGACCTCAGTTACCTAAATCACGTCTGTACGATACTTTGGTTATTTCTTTCTCATGCATTGTTGTACATCATTCACACCTATAGTATATGGATACGAGCCTGCTATACTTGCTCTCATGCGTTGCTTTCTGTATGTTTCGTCATTGCCTTCGTCTGGTACAGTCACCCCTACAGACTTGTGTGCAACTCTTCTTTGATGAATCTGAGTCTTTGCATCGTATAGAACCAAAGACCATCGATCATCCTTTCTATACGAGTAGAAGGGGACGAGCCAAAACCTTGTAGCCCATCAACAAGGTCGTAATTACAGCAAGAGCATCACATAACATTAGTGAGCAACTATGGAGAAAATGTGAGATTACGATAGAATAATCTTGAAAGGATCCGATCCACCCTCTTCCAACCCAGCTATCGTCGCCCGGCGCACAGCATCAAGGTACTCCCCAAGCCTTCGGCCATCGAGATGCAAGAAATCATCATACAGCTTGTACCTCGAATCCGCAACAATGTTGGCAAGTTCCAATGCGCGCTTCAGATTCCTTTCCAAGATGTGTTAGATCTGCAGGCACTGCATATGAAGACATGCTTACTCTGGGACATGCTCTCGAGAGGCGTAGAGCATCACATGCAGCCGCAGTATAAGCTCGGGGACATATATCTGCCGAATCCGAGTTAACTCGCGGGAACGCCGATCTCCTGTCTCGTTCGGCATCATCCAATCCGAGGTGAGCAGCTTCACTACGGCATCGTAGGCCTGGTCCATAAGCCCCTTGTAGTCGCTTAACCAAGCGGCCCTGGTGTCCCGGTTCATTATCGATACCTCTAGACTCTGGCACTCGACGACCCGGTCAAGACTGTCCCAGATCGTGAAGAATTGTCTGTAGTGAAGGTATTCTGTGGCTCGTTCCTCAGGTTGATCGATGGAGGCGAGTTCACGCGGAAGCATCTCCACAAGGTTCTTTGCAAGTGATACCCTCCCGGCACCTGAAGTCGTGGATTAAGCCATGATAGTAGAACCTCGATAAAAAGCTTGCCTAGGAAGTACCGTAAAATAACGGTGGCTTGTTCCAGTGCAGTGTCATACGTTCCATCCTCGAACGTCGTCCACTCTATGGAACGAAGTAGGAGGAGCTCGATATCGGAAGGAGTGGCCTGCAACGCAATGACAGAAGGGAGCGGCCCCTTCATTTGGGGCAGAAGCTGCAAGTACTGTTCAGCCCATAGTTCCGTGAGATGCAAGTCATTCCAACCTCGAACGCTCTATCGATTGTTCGCTCAGCAGTGACGACTGCCACCCTGTGGACATTTAGACCATGTTCTCGTGCACGAGTCAATGCTAATCGACGTTCGTTGACGTCGGCAGTCAGTTCAAGCGAAGTCAAGAACATCGCATATCGCTCTACTGCATTGTCTCCTAGTGCGCCAGCATACATGGCGATCAACTCCCGCTGGCCTGCAGCCTAGCAGGGAGATCAGTGCGGGAAAAAAAGACTAAGGACGAACTCTCACTTCCAACACTTGTAGATAAGCCTCGAGAATAACTTGGGTCGCGAGCGGCGGAGCTGGAATGTCGATCATCCGTAAATAAAGGCAGAGGTGGGCGAAGAAACGTGTCATCGTGGGGTACCTGCTGCTTCATTAGAGAATGTCGAACGCACATTGTTCGGCTTACTCTGATGATTCGGGATCGAAGTTTCCATCCCTGAGTCCAGCTGCAAAGGTTTCTAGCAATGAACTTGTCCGATCGAGGATGATGGCCAGCTGAGAGACGTGGAATGCATGGTCTGCGGTGGGACTGACTGAACGGTCAACACACAGAAAATAGATACATGTATGTAGGCCGTACCCGTCCTCCACGTGAACGCTACCTAGTGTTTCCAACGTAGATGTCGCTTCTTTCTCCCACTCTTCTTCCTCTGCTGCATCTTCTTCTCGGGATGGCAGCGAAGGCATATTTTCTAATACCGCCAAGCCTCCGTCCCAGAAACCGCCACCTAATTTAATCGTCTCTGCGGTCTGTTTCTCCTCGCATAGGATGCTGATCTGCGCCCACAGATGGTCTTCCCATGTTCGACATGCAGACTTGAGGACGCTGAATGTTTGCGGGCAGGGTGCAAGAGCTGCATAGAGAATGCGCTCTGGATCTGGGAGGTTGGGCTTTGAAGGACACGTTAACAAGTTAGTGCGAAGATGATTGGACAGCGCACATTCAGAGCTGCTCTTGCGCATGTTGATTTCCATAGTTTTCGACGTGGATTTCCCTGCCACCCTTCGGCGTCCTCGGCGTCATCGATGCCGTCGTCATCCCGTTGCTCGTTTGCTGTCAGCAGATCAGAAAGGTGTGTGGATGATACCTAGAGCCTGACTTACCAATAGCTCGCCACTGAAACAATAGCGAACCGCGGATGCTTGCAGCTCTCCATGGCTGATGTGCTTTTCTGCATAATTCAACTGCCTCGTCCAATCTGCCAGCACGAACAAATGAATAAAGCGCTTGTGCCAAGCTTTTCTCAGATCCCTGCGAATGATTGCATGTCAGTCAGTGTTCGACGGATGATTATTTGGCTCACGGCGTCATCAGCTGCTAATGATCGACCATCACCTCTATTCATAGCATCAGGATCTAGCTCTTTTACCAGACCCTCTCTGATTCCCGAGCCCGTACGTAGAGCCTGCATAACATTATGTTTCGTAAACTTCCAGTATCCCGTGGTGGCTTCTGGATGTTGCGGCTGTGGTGCAGTTTCATGAAGCCATTCTCGCACTACGACGAGTTCTGTTAGCAGCACCGACGAATGCATGATTGCTTGTGCTAGTGTTGATGTGGGTGTGTAAGGGTTTTTGACGAGTAATGTGCGGGGATGGATGTGTGGTTCTGGTTCAGTTTTGCGGGCACTGCAGTCGACTTGAGTTAAGAACCAGTAGCAAGACGCGTTCACTCACGGCATTACAGCCTGGAGAAGGCCCCACGTGTTGGCCTCCATGCGTAAGACGTCGAGTTCCTCCTGAGAGACATCAGAAGACGCGCTATTCTCTGCCTCTGTGATTCTGGTAACTGGTGAGGTGCGCTCCACTGAGAAGACATTTGATACACACTGGTCGCGACACAATTGTCGTAGTCTAGGCGCAAATCCGGTATTGGGATCGAGGAGAGCAGCAAGGTCATCTTTTGCAGCCTGGCACACGGAGAGGACTTCCGCACAAGACGAATATAATGATTCGGACATTTCTCCAGATTTTGAAGATTGTGTTGAACTGGTCGAACGCCGAGAGTGTCCTTATCTACTCGAGGCCGGCAGCTACACAGTTCAGGTTCTAAGCCTGGGCCTGATTGCTTAAAATTGAACTGGCGGGAGACTAGTCGTGTTCTCCCTAAGTGCGAGGAACGAGCACGTGGTTAGAACGTAGTCTATGCCATTTCGGGTAGGAAATGTGCACGCCTTCCTTCTTCTCCCCGTCACCCAGCCTCCAGCGTCATAACTGGTGTTTCAATCTTCTAGTTGATTCTGCCTTTAAAAGCAGTAGCAGCAGACCGCAATAAGTGGAAAGCTTAATATTCAGTAATATAACATGGACAGGTTACATTCTGATCCAAGTTTTTTAGTATGCCCAGACTTTATGACCGAACGGTATAGAGTCAGCTGCACCAGCATGGTCAATGCCAATGTCACGGAAGCTCAAGCAGCAGAGACTCTCCGCAACATCTGGATAACGACCAACGAAGATTTGTGTCTACAATGGCATCAACAAGTCGTAGAAGATGAACATTTGAATGCTGAGAGGCGCCGCTTAGCTGAAGAAGAAGCAGAGTGGCAGAAGGCTGTACTTGAACTTGAGGAAGCCACAATGAGAGCAGACGAGAGAAAGAAAAATTGTTTCAAGCATTTGCCAATTCCAGTGTGACCATGTCCACTCGTCAATGACGAAGAAGCTTTAGTTTCCAAGTTCGCCTTGAGAAAGTTGGACAAGGGTCATTATGTCGAACTATACTATTGGACCAATCACGGTCTCAAGGATGCAATGATCAATTATTGCACCCGAGATGACAACAGTATGGTACCTACCAAGGGCGAGGATGGTTCCACAGTCTGGATCAACGCGGCGTCATCAAAACCCGCCTCAAGAGTCATTCCAGATCGTAACCTAGCACCAGCTGATTTCTCTCAAGCGGTACCACACATAGTAGCAGCGCTAGAAGATCGAGATTGGGCTCAGCAAAGAGTTTTAATGTTAGCGCAGTTTTGGGGAGCTATCATGGTTCATCGCTATTGGAACTCCCGCGATATGTTGGCTCAGAAGGCCATTCTCTTGTTCCAAGAAGAACAACATTGTGCGTGGCACAGCGCCATCACTTTGGCCAAAGGAGCATGGGACATCTTGGTCATTGACAAGATGGCCCTAGCATGCACCTTTGAGCGAGTTTATCAGTCATCTCTCATCCGCTCAGACAACCCGAGGCCAAACCCCCAGGTATGTAATTTGTAGCCATTTCGAAGCAACCCATCACTGATTGTTTTTCTTCATTTTAACTCATCGCGATTATCAATGTCATTGATAATTCTCTACATTGGTGTTACCTTCTGTCTCGTGCGTTTGCCTTATGCATTATTGTGTGTGCTGTTTCGAAATCTTGTGGTTGCGTTGGCGTTTATCAATTTGCGATTGCAGTCACCTGCATTCTAATCTCATGGCCGTTTACCATCAGATTCAGATCCAAGGCAATAGTTCTCGAAGTGGGCAGGGTGAACAACCCTCCCACAAGCATTCGAGATGTTCAAGGCGGTCCATGTCCCCACAACCTCGGTGTTGCTCAGCTTCTCCTGGAACCAATAAGAAGAGTAGTGGAGTGAGAAACTCTCAGGCACCTGCACACCAATCGGGTTTTCAAGACAGTGTACATGGCCATCGTGCCCCAGCTGTGTGCGCAGTCTGCCTGGGGTGTCATGGACACAGTTTCATCGAGTGCACTGCCGAATGTCTGTGGGACAACAACTTCCCAGCTGTTGCCACTCGCTCCAACAAAGCTCTCCTTTTGCAAGGTTCAGACAAACCACTATGCGTCGACTGGCAGCGCACACGAAGCTGCTCCAGTCGACAGCACAATGACCAACATGTGTGTTCAGGATGCTTGGCCACATCTCATGGAGCCCAAGCTTGTTCTCAAGTGCAGGCAACACCAGCCGGTCACCCCATATAATCACACAATATGGGAGAGTCAATTTCGTGCTCATAACCTTATCGACATCTATCCAACTTTACCAGCAGGACTTCAGTCAGGTTTCAACATCAACATCCCCAGCATTCGTCATACTCAATCCCCACCTAATAGCCCCTCGCTCATCACCTTTCGGTTCGCCTTTGAGACTATCTTGGACCATGAACTTACCACAGGACGTTATATTGGTCCCTTCACGCACGACGATCTACTACATCTTCTGGGTCCCTTTCAGTCCTCTCCCATCTCCATTATACCCAAACCAGGGAAGCTGGGCAAGTTTCGCATCATACAGAATGTTTCCTTCCCCCTGGTCCCTTCTACAATCTATCCCAACAGGTCAATCAACTCAAGCATTAACTCCGATGATTTCCCATGCACTTGGGGCATGTTTGACACCATCTGCACCATCATACGATCACTCCCACCAGGGTCCCAAGTGGCCACACACGATGTGGCAGAAGCATATTATACCATTCCTTTGCATGCCTCGCAATGGGCAGCTGCAGTGGTCTGTCTCCCAGATGGAGACTTTTGCATCGACACATGTGTCACCTTTGGCATGGGACCCTCTGCAGGTGCCTATGGCCACATCGCAGATGCTGGTGTTGACTTACTATGAGCTGCAGGTCTGGGTCCACTCGCCAAATGGGTGGACAACCACATCTTTTTTTGCATTCAACGAGAACATCTCCTCAACTACAATGCACACAGGAGCGCTGTACATACTCTCCTGGACATTGGAGGACGAACGCAAATGGGAGGGCGGTTGTGGCACAAAGGCAAGGTGTTTGAGGATGACAGCTTCGAAGTCCATGCCGAAGATTGTAGGTTCCCGCTTCGTGACCTATCACAATCCTCCTTGCGGGCTGACATTGACACAGAATTTGCATTCGCCTTTGCAGACATTGATTGCGCCTCCTTACCATTGGGTATCCCTTGGGAACCGACCAAGGATTCAGTCTTCGCCTTCGTGGCGTTATACCTGGGCCTGGTCTGGAACCTCATCAAACTTTTGGTTGAATTATTGTTGGCAAAGAAGAATAAGTACTCTGCAGCCATCGCAGAATGGCAATTGAAGCCCATGCATGTTCTCCTTGAGGTCCAATGGCTCTATGGCAAACTACTTCATTCCTGCCTGGTGGTCCCAGCAGGATGCACTTACCTCACCACATTGGAAACCATGCTCGGAATCTGCACCAATCATCCTTTCATGCCACACCACTCCGTTTGCCACCTCAATGATGACCTTGACTGGTGGCGAGCCAAGCTCGCACAATCACACGTCCATTGCTCAATCTCACAACCCTCCTCTCTCATTGACATTTGTGCATTCTCCGATGCCAGCACATCTGTCGGAGTTGCAATTACTCTCGATGGGTACTGGCATGCCTGGACCCTGCATCCAGGGTGGTCAATGCTTGACAGCCAGCGAGACATTGGATGGGCTGAATGCGTGGGATTTGAGCTCCTCATCCACACCATCCTTAACAGCCACGAAGCGCATTCCTCCAACCACTATCACGTGTTCTGCGACAATCAGGGAATTGTCGATGGCTGGAAGAACGGTCGCAGCAGGAATTGGGCCACTAACCTCATCTTATGTCGAATCCATCAACTCCTTGACTCAGTTGGGAGGGGAACTTCATTCCATCTGTCCTATGTTGCCAGTGCCAACAACCCTGCAGATGGCCCCTCTAGAGGCATCTTTCCCCCTCATCGTTTCCTCCTTCCACCCATTATCCTTCCTGGCGACCTCTCAAAGTTCCTCATTGATGCCGACCTATCAGCCACACCCCTTAATACCCTCATCATCAATCAGAACCTGAGCTCTGATGAGCTGGTTGTCGAGGCAGACAACTGGAACTGGGGCGATCAACTCTGCAAGTTCCATGATGCTTGGTGGGACTAGAACCCCCATTTCCTCAACACTCCACCAATTGTTCCAACGACCACAGTAGCACAGCTGCGTCCCTACAAACCTATGCTAACCCCATCAACTTCAGTCCTGAGACCACACTGTCTGGCTCGAGATCGACTAAGGTTATGGGTACCCACAGTATCGCGTTCACGCTTAGATCACACTGGAGCTGTGGTTGCAATCTCAGAGGACAACCTAGACCGTATACTTGTTGTCATTGTGCACTCACACGCCCCAAGCACGAGAGAGACTTACAGCTCTGGTTTGTTAGTTTTTCATGTATTTTGTGATTCACGCAACATCGCCGAGATACAGCGGTGCCCGGCTCCCTCGCTCCTCATCCTTGCCTTCATCGCTTCTTGCGCAGGGATGTACTCTGGAAGAACACTCGAAAACTATCTATATTCAGTACGTGCATGGCATTTGCTGCACGGTCAGCCCTGGTTGGTCAATCACAACCAAGTCTCATTAGCGCTGGAGGGTAGCAAACGGCTTGCACCAGCGACTTCGACTCAACCAAAACGAACCCCATTCACAGTGGATCTCATCAAAGACTTATGCTCCATGCTAGATCTCAACACGCCACTTCATGCAGCGGTCTACACATGTCTCACTACCTCCTTCTTCACCATCGCAAGGACAGGAGAGTTCATGGTACCAACACTGTGGGGCTTCAACCCGTTGGTACACGTGAAAGTAGGTGACATGAGGAATGAGAGAGATCGGAACGGTTTCGAGGTGACAGTCTTTTGTCTGCCACATACTAAAGTCGCAATCACCAGAGAAGAGGTGTTCTGGGCAGCACAGTCAGGTGTTGTCGATCCTCAAGTGGCGCTCGCGAACCACCTTGCCATCAACAAATTGTCCTCGACGGACGCACTCTTCAGCTGGAAACATCATGCAGGCACATGACCCTTGACGAAGACCCAGTTCCTCAAGTGTCTACAATCAGCAAGTGATCGTTTACGCGGCGACTCATTGAAAGGGCATGGGATCAGAATTGGTGGGACTTTAGAGTATCTACTACGAGGCGTGCCTTTCGAATCGGTCAAAACCATGGGCCGCTGGAGCAGTGATGCTTTCCTCATCTATCTTCGACGACACGCTGTAATCCTAGCACCATACCTGCAGGATCGTCCAGTGCTGGAACCTTTCATGCGCTATGCACTTCCATGAAGTAACAACATCGTAAGTTTTGCGTAACGCCTTTTTTTTTGGGGTCGAGCTCACGCTAGATGCGTCGTCACGCTCCTTATATTCAGGGTATCTCAGCTTGCTCTTCCCCGTTTTAAGAAAGGCCCCAAGACTTGTTTCGGTCGAAAACCCTGCGGGTTTTACCCAAAACTCTCGTTAAAATTTGTTTCACTCTATTGAACTTTCGTTACTAGCTATTTTCGTGACTCGAAACTTATCATGTTCTCATTCTCGTAGTGTCTTAATCCATTGAACACATTTCTCACAAGATAAGCATAGACTAGACTCTAGTGGTCTAGCAAGCTTCGAACGATCGCTTACGTAACACAAGCCATTAGTAGGGTTAATGATCCCACCTGTCTTCGCTGGTGGGAGTTTTTGACCTTGCGGTAAGAATGACGCGACTGAATTCCAACGATACACAGACTACAACAACATCCCTGCCTTGCAGGACCTACAGGTTGTTGTTTGCAACCATCAAACTAGTCCGCCGCTCCCTTTTGTGATATACCTGTATTTTATCATCGCTGGTCGATGTCCCACTTCGATACCGAGCACTCCAACTTGGAGAATAACCCTCCTATCCTGAAGCTGCCTTTCGAAATTCTTGATTATTGCTGGGGTTATCTGAGACGACAGGATCTTCTCCAAGTGTCCCGCGTGTCCCGCGTATTCTGGTACACCTCGAGATCTAGGATATTTCAGTCGCTCACTGTCACCCTGCCATCTCCGGACATCCTCCCCTTCAGCCAGAATCTGGTCCGTCTCTCAACGAACAAAGTTCCTAAGATGCTTGAACGTGCTACTACCCGAATCACAAGTTTCTATTCAGATCCAGGTGCTGGTGAACTCTGGGACATGGTCCAAGATTGGACGATTGCAGCTGCGCCGGCGATCAGGAGCAACATCCGCTACTTTGTTCGCTCACAAGAAAAGAACCTGGCTCCGAGTCCGGTCGATGTCATCTTTCCGTTTGTGTCATGCAGTCGTAACCTTCGCTCTCTCGAACTTGTCCGCATGAATCTTGGAAGGCAACAATGGATCATCATCGAATCCTTACCTGTACTAGAGACTCTCAGACTCATCTCATGCCTCTTCCCGCCTTCATCTCATTTGGAGCGCCCACTCAAACTAAAGGAACTTGCGATCGCTGGAGACAGCTTCGGTCCCCGTTCAATTGAAGAACCATTGGTTCCTGTGCTCTGTAACCCAGCCTATCTAGAAAAACTCACCCTCATCGATTTTCTTATCACCCACACTGTACTAGCGGTTCTTTCGTCTATGGCGCCCTTCCCCCACCTCACATATCTAAGCATATTTGTTACATCCCCGAGTGGCGACCATTTCTTCAGATTCCTCGCAGCAATACCTGCCCTAGCAACATTGAGGATTTTCCCCTGGTCTGCAAACATCACGCCGCGACACCCGTTGCCAGCCCTGTCTTCCCTTCGGTCTTACGACGGCTACCCAAACCTGCTTTCGTACATTGTGCCTGGACGACCAGTCGATTGTGTTTGCCTCGTGCTCATGATGGTCACTACAAATGACGATCAACCAGGTTATGCCATCCATTCCGAGCTGGTCTCGACCGTGCGCGACATCTCACTTTCTGCAGTCTCAGTCAGGAAACTAGCAATCGAGTATTTTCTGCCCACTTTAGATAACCTCGCCGCCATCGCGAAGCATCTTCCAGATCTTCATCACCTGGACTTAGGTCTTATCTCGGGGCCCCCGCCACTAACACCCGTCAGTGCTGTATTTACCTTTACACTGCAGTTTCGTTGATGCTTTTCCATGTCCACAGGGAGAAATTATCACCCTTTCCGAGTCAAGTTCTGAGTTCGGCCTCAACCATGCTGGTGAACCACTTGATACTGTGGACACTGTGCAGGTACGTCGAATCGCAACTAAGGCCATACCCTCACGAAACTCTTTTCAGGGCCTTCTGGTTTGGCTGGCGGAGGGTCGTGCCCCACTTCCGCCTAAGTTGGTGACACTTCGGCTATCACATAGTTCAACAGAAAACGAGGACGTGCAATGTGTGGAAGGTATCAAACAATGGGAACTCGTTCGTTGCTTGCATAGTAGGTATCCGAGACTGTGCGAGGTCGAGATGGGAGGATGCCGTTGGTGGAGGGAGGATGTGCATTGGTCGCGGGAGATTCTTGATTTTGAGGAAACGTAGATCCTTGTCGTGTGCGTATAGGGCCGGATGTGCTTCAGGTTCACACCAGTGGGATGCAAATAACACTATAGACGCACATCTATTACCACTCCTGACAAACTACGCTGAAGAACAGGTGGACTGGGACTCACCATTATAATAAGCGATGATAAGTATGAGAACTCGTGAGGTAACCGGAGGCAGTCCAAAAATTTCCCATCCCTCCTTCTGAATTCCCTCGAGTGAACCACATGAGCCACCAATTCCTGCGTCGGCGGGCTGGGCTTATTCATATCATTGGCTAGGCCTCATGTACACAATAGAAGTGTGCCCATGTGACGTCGATTTGAATAGCCAGCAGTCCATTCACCACATAAACCCACTCTTTTCCAGCTGTCTAAAGTGACCCTCTATCATTCGTCGCAATGCCTTGGGAGTCGATCAAGCTGAATTCTGGTAGGTGTTTCTTTCGTCACCTCAGAACCAGCGCTGACAAGGTGGTCCATATGTCAGGATATTACATTCCAAGTATTGGATTCGGTACTTGGACGCTAGGTAATGGCCAAGGACCTATCGACCAGGTTGAACAAGCTCTGGAAAATGGGTACAACCATATCGGTGAGTCCGGTCACCTCACAGCTACAACTTATGTTGACGTCAATCCTATCGCATAGATACTGCGCAATCCTACAGGAATGAAGGAGAAACCGGCGTCGCTTTGAAAGAAAGCGGGCTTACTCGCTCAGATGTCTTTGTGACCACCAAGTACTCTGGTACAAACGGTCTTGACATCCCAACTTCCATCAGGAACAGTGTCAACAGCGTATGTTCTGTCTTAACTTTGGAGCCAGTATCCTCATAACGGTTACTGCTAAATAGCTTGGGATATCGTATGTCGACCTTTATCTGGTCCATTCCCCACGCCTGGCAGTACCTGACATTCCTACATGTTGGGCACAAATGGAAAAGGTCAAGGAAGACGGACTTGCTAAGTGAATGATTTGCGAGATAATCCTGTTGGACAATCTGACATGAAACCGCAGGAGCATTGGTATCAGCAACTTCGGCGTCCAAGACATGGAGATTTTGTTGGGATCTGCGAAAGTCAAGCCTGCGGTCAACCAGGTGTGTAACATCAACTTGTCCAAGACTTTTCTTCATAAGTTCGCATAGATCCTCCTTCATCCATACGTTTATAGGCAACAGAAACCCATCCTTGAGTATGCCGCGAAGAATGGAATCGTCATCGAGGCATACAGCGCGCTGATGTTAGTTAAACTTCAGGCTCACTGATGCATCGTTCGTGCTGATTGTCATCCCTAGCCCCATCACGAAGTTACCTGGCGGTCCTTTGGACAAACCATTGAACGAAATTGCCGCAAAGTTTGGTGTGACGGCCGATCAAGTCCTTCTGGCGTGGACTAAAGCCAAGGGAGCCGTCGTCGTCACGTGAGTCTATATGTAGTATCTTGGAATTTCCCATTAACAGAAGCCTATCTAGCACAAGTTCAAAGAAGACGCGCCTGCAAGGCTACCTCGCGGCAGGCGATATAAGTGGGTTCAATTAGATCAACTGTTTTCACTAGTTCTGAACAATTTGCTTTAGCTTTGTCTCTAGAGGATATTGCTGCCATTGACGCTGCGGGCGCTTTGGGCGAGAAGAAAGTAAACATGAAGACTATATTGAAAAGGGTTGTCGTAGGTGCAATTGCTTGCACTGCAGTCTTTGGTGCATGCAACTTCCTCGGCATCAGCATGTTGTGAAGTGATCGTTAGCCTTTGATAAATGCTCAAATGTCTCTAGTACCTGTTCATCATGCCACCAATCCAGTTCCATGCTGCATAACCACTCGAATAGAACCATTCTCAGAAGTTTCCCATCCTTACCTCTGAACCATGCTTGTTCACAATCATTTGTTCAAGATAGATAAGCCCCATGATCCAACAACTCATGTCAGAGCAAGCTGGGTCTATTCATATCACTGGGCCTCATGTGCATGATAGACATGTGTCCATGGGGTGCCAACTTGAGTAGTCAGCTGTTCGTTCACCACATAAACCCATCCTCTTTTCCAGTCCTTCAAGGTATCCCTTTATCATCATCCATCGCAATGCCTTGGGAGTCGATCAAGCTCAATTCTGGTCGGTGTTTCTTTCGTCATCTCCGAACCGGTACTGACTAAGGGACTAATATGTCAGGATACTACATTCCAAGCATCGGATTCGGTACTTGGAAGACAGGTAACGGCCAAGGACCTATCGACCAGGTTAAACAAGCTCTAGGAAATGGATTCACCCACATTGGTAAGTCCTCAATCCCTTGGTATCTCCGAGCGACAGCTTTTAACGCACATATCCCGTCGTGCAGACACGGCGCAGGCCTACAAGAATGAAAAGGAAACCGGTGATGCTTTGAAAGAGACCGGACTTTCTCGTTCAGATGTCTATGTGACAACCAAGTACTCCGGTACAAACGGTCTTGATATCCAGACTTCTATCAAGAACAGTTTGAACAGCGTATGTTCTGTCCTAGCTTGTAGCCAGTGTTTTCATGACGTTTACTGCTACATAGCTTGGGATATCGGATGTTGACCTCTATCTGGTCCATTCCCCGCGCCTGGCAGTACCTGACATCCCCACATGTTGGGCGCAAATGGAAAAGGTCAATGAAGATGGACTTGCTAAGTGAATTATTTGCGAGGTGGGGCTACATGACAATCTGACTTGAGACCACAGGAGCATTGGTATCAGCAACTTCGGCGTCCAGCACATGGAGACTTTGCTGGCATCTGCGAAAGTCAAGCCTGCGGTCAACCAAGTGTGTAACACCGAATGATTCAAAGCTAAATTTGACTTGAACGACAATTTGGCGTAGATTCTCCTTCATCCATATGTTTATCGGCGACAGAAACCTATTCTCGAGTATGCTGCGAAGAATGGAATTATTATCGAGGCATATAGCGCGCTGATGTTAGTTCACTTCAGACTCCCTGACACATATGTTTGTGCTGATTGTCATCCCTAGTCCCATCACACAGTTGCCCGGCGGTCCTTTGGACAAACCATTGAACGAAATCGCAGCAAAGTTCGGCGCGACGACCGAGCAAATTCTTATGGCGTGGACCAAAGCCAAGGGGGCTGTCGTCGTCACGTGAGTCTATATGTGGTATCTTGCAAGTTTCCCATTGACAGTGTCCCGTCTAGCTCGAGTTCAAAGAAGGCACGCCTGCAAGGTTACATCGAGGCAGGTGATATAAGTAGGCTTTCATTCGATCTACTGTTTGAAGTAGTTCTGAACGATGTTCTAGCTTTGTCTCCAGAGGATATTGCTGCTATCGATGCTGCGGGAGCTTTGGGTGAGGAAAAGCCAGTGTAAAGACCATGTTGAGAAGGGTTGTTCTGCAGTGTTATTCCTCGGTATCTGCATGATGTACAGTTATCGTTACCGTTTAACAAGTGGTCAAATGTCACAAGTGCCGGCTCACCTTGTGACCGCTAATCCAGCAAAAAAAGTTCCAGGCTGCGGAACGACCTAAATAGAACCATTTCTCAGATCCCTCGCGTGGAGCTAAATGGTAATAGTTCGTGTGAGTAATGTCTTGCGTTATGTCTGAGTCGTCAACGGGGACAAGGCTTGTCCCAGCACCTTCTAGACAAACGATTTACATCCCGCAAGGTTAGTCGACAAGCACGTCAATAATGCCTTGGGACTTGATCCCCTTGAACTCCGGTGCGTTTTGATGCATAGACTGGATCGCTGGGAAGTGGACAGTGGCCAATAGATCAGCTCACACAGGCCTTCGATACAGGATTCTATCATATTGGTGAGTATACTTGGGACTGGCCATCGCATCCCAGCCAATAGCAAGCAGATACCGCTCAGCTTTACAGGAATGAGGCCGAGGTTGGCATCGCCATCGGTCAACTTGGGCTAGAGCGTTCCGACGTATTCATCACAACCAAATTTTCTGGCCTCAATGGACTCGATATTCCGACTTCAATTCGAAATAGTTTGGAATACGTGCGTAGTAGTCATATATTGCATGCGCGGATAGAAGTCGATTAACAATCGCAGTTGAACACTTCTTATGTCGATCTGTACCTCATTCATAACCCGGATCTAGCTGTGCCAGACATACCAACTGTTTGGGCTCAAATGGAGAAAGTCCAAGAAGCAGGTCTCGCTAGGTAGCTATCAGTACTCGTAATTCATCGGATTCGGAAGCTGACGTTGACTGCAGGAGCATTGGCGTGAGCAATTTCAATGAGAAGCAGCTAGAGATTCTGCTGTCGTCCGCCAAGATCAAGCCAGCTGCTAATCAAGTGAGTAAACAGACCGATTACGGGCAGTTAACGAAATTCAAAGCGCGGCCGCTCCACTATGTAGATTTACCTACATCCTTACAATCATCAGCAACAGTCTCCGACTCTGGAGTACGCCGCCAAATATGACATCGTAATCGAGGCATACGGTGCTTTGACGTGCGATAATTTCCGAGTTCACTTGAAAGTTTGATCATGATATTCCATATTTGAAGGCCTGTCACAGGCGAACCAGGAGGTCCAGTGGATGCCCCTTTAAACGAAATCGCTACGAGGCTCGGAGCCACCGCTGATCAAGTGCTCCTCGCATGGATCAAGGCAAAAGGTGCAGCCGTGGTGATGTGTGTCTTTATTAATCGGTTGAGGGGTGACGTTGTTGATGTCGAAACCCACCAGCACCAGCTCTAAAAAAGCGCGTCTTCTAAGTTACCTCTCCGCTGGAGATTTTGGTGAGTCACCTTGTTGCAAATGACAGACCAAGTTGAAGGTCTGATGCATCACGACAGAACTATCTGCAGAGGACGTCAAGACGATTGATACTGTGGGCGCTATCGGAGAGAAAGGAATCACGGTCAGACATGGGCTGCGTAAACTCGGGGTGGGCGTTTTGTTTGGGATCCTGATCTTGGTTGCCTGCAGCTATTTCAAAGGTCGAAACAAGCGGAGCAACGTTGCAAAGGTGCTGGAGAGAATTTGACCGTCATGTAGGCTACGCGCTCGATGAAACACCATGTAAGATTACCCTCACTAGTATGTCTTCTTCTCCCATACGTTGAAGGCTAGCCCTCGGCATTTAGCATCGCGAGCGATCATTGTATGAACCTCTGAGGCCTAAGGGTCTTGTAGACAACGCTCAAGGGTACGGAAATGAGGGTGAAGTGGGTATTGCTTTTCACAGAAGAGATGAATTACTCTGGCCTCGCATGATGGGGCCAACATCCCTACTACGATCAGAAACAACGTCAACAACAACGTGTGACTCATCACAATAGGTCAGCCTAGATGCCAATGAAACCAGATCAACACACTTCATGCGGACCTACACCTGACTCATAACCCACGCCCCACGGTACCAGACATCCCGACGGACTGACTGTTAAAATATATGGTGACATCCTTGTTTGCTGCTTTGGCTTCCCGCTAATATATCAATAAAGGAGTGGTATAAGTTTGCGGTGAGCCAGGTAAGAGATCAATACGATAAACTTTGCTCACGGGGGCCCGGAGTCTAACCTTCGAGATTCGAGAAAGATCTTTTTCCATCCTTGCGCTGTAACCTATCGAGCCTTTGCTGTTATTTCAGAGTAAGGATTGACAGATTGTTATTGGATCTATAATGCTCCTTCGCTCACAGGATATTTCATCTAAATAAAGTTTTAGCTAGGTTTACATAGAGACAATGGGCCTGATGAGTTGGGTACTGAAACTTAGCTTGAAGGGCCGGCAACTAATTCAAGTTGTGAACTCAATCTGAATGTGAATTTCATCAAAATATAGCTAGACAGGCTTGCCAGGATTGGCATAGACTGCTATACTCCAGTGCGATACGCTGCATATAAGTGCTTGCATGTCAGTATGATACTTCGCGTTCAAATTGAAGGGTTAAATTCGAGGTCGAAGCTTGGGTGGCAGCAATAATGATTCCTCGGAAATGGCCCCGGTCCCCGGGGGTCCTACTAGTAGATCACAACCAATGTCTTTTATCGATCTCCAGCCAGCTCAACACAAGTACATTTATGGTCCGCTCGCAACGAGAAGAGAAGCCTTCTATGTCAACACGATGACCATAATTTGAATCACATTTTCCACCAGCATCAGGCACTGCATGCAACAAAGCGCAACTGTGGCGCTTCCTGTAGTGCTAAGTGCTTTCCCTTCTCTCCATAGGCGGCTTCCTAGTCATTTTCCACCACTTGCAAGTCGGTGGTTTGTCGAGAGCACTTGCACTTGGTCACGGTCATGTCTCATGAGTCATCATGCCATGGTGCTCGATTGAGTCTGGTGTTGGAAACGAAAGGTTTGATCTAGGGCTGGCAACACTCTTGAAATCACTTATTGTCGTGTGTTTTTTTTACACAGGCACCTTCGAGAACCCCCGCGTGTGTTGCCCATGCACTTGCGTGCATGTTGTGGTGGCTTCGGTAAGCAGAATTATACCACTTCTGTCTGATGCAACCCTAACTTCTGTTGCCAGCATGTTTGGAGTGCACTGGTTGCGGCCTCTGCGCAGTGGGGATCGACGAAGCTCGGGGCCCCTCCTAGTTGAATGCCACCTTCATCTGTGTCCTAGTCTCAAGTGATCTGAGCACTGGATACTGTGGTTGTGGTTTTGTGAGCTGAGTACCTATCTTAAAATGGACAAGTTATTATACCGCGTGTACTTCCATACATCTTGTATCCACGTGTAAGCTTTGATTTCATAGAACACTGCATGTGCCAGTGTATGTGTCATTCCGGCGACCGAGGTTGTCAACGAAGATCGCCTACAATTGTTGCGCTCTCCTTGCTGGTGTTCTGCTCTCCCTCCCGCGATCCTGGCAGGACCATCTCATATGGTGCTGGAGTATATATACATCCAACACTGGTCTACTATTCTCGGTCACTCTGACTATGCCTAAGAGAATCTCCGCTGCATTATCTGGTACCCCAACCGGTGAACCTCGTCCTCCGGCACCATGGCATGATGATCTACCAAAAAATAAATTTTGGTGTCTCTGCTACAAGGCATTGTGCATGATTGCTGTATCGACGTCGTCGGCTGAACACTGGCGTTACCTCACAGAGCGTCCGATAAAGAAAGAATGGATAGCACACAAGGAAATGGTGATGAATCGGTTTGAAAACATGAACGTCACTGTAAGTTTAGGCAATATGCTTCTTCGATTATTGAAACTTATCTACAGGCGGGTCTGGTAAAATTTTGAAAAGTTGTTCGAGGATTGTGGCTGACTTCATCCATTGCATAGGTCTTGACGACAAGCGCCGTTTTCATATCCACTGATCCTCGCAAGTCATTTTTGTCCTGTAGGAAACTACCGAAATCCTAATCTGTCGGTTATCAGCATTTGCACCTCTTATGCCCTACGCAAGCGTAAGCACCTTTTTGTTTTATCTTCCGCCCTCACTAGGAAACTAATAAGTTCTTCAGCATGGTACACTTTCTCCTCTTGAAACTTCGTTATGTTAACGTGTAATTAGGGTCATATATCCTTCAAGTGTGCGCGTTTGTAGCTGCGTTGATCAGTCTGATGACTGGTACTTCTGTTCTCATCATCTATGACACTTGCTATACAAATGATCAGTTAATGAAAGTGCGTCATTCACCTTCATACGTACTTCAGAATTGAGTAACAGTGACCGTTAGACGTTAATGCACTCTCGCTGGCGTCGCATATGTTGCCTTATACTGATGGCATATCCATCCCTGGCTCTGGCAGTCTCGACATTGACTTTGATGACAGGTAAATTTGTGTGCACGTTCCGGTTTCGAGTCGTTGATCTCAACACACTTTTAGCCTTCTTTATAGCCGGTTTCACATCTGACAAACTCTTTGTAAAAATTATGACTGCAGGAACCTACTTGACACTGATTTTGCTCGGCGTACTTGCAATATGTGTATTCAGTCCTCATTTAAGAGAGTGCGTGGTCATACATGTCACCCGCCATCCAGAAATTAATTTGTGTGCTATTTTGTGCTATCAGGATCGTTGATGGCGAATCTGAATCACATGCCACAGACAGTCACAATCCCCAAAGCTCTGAGCCAAAGGTCGTCCGCGATAGCGGGGTTTGTCCCAGGCATGTGCCTATTCATCCTGCTTGATTCGAAAACTAATTCAAGTATTAGTGATCACAGAAAACCAGACCCTTCGCGCAGCCTCGCGTAGGGGAGCAAGTCTAGGGGGAGGATTGCGCCATTAGCTGGTGGTATGGATGGACATGTCACTGTCGATGTCTCATTTGTGATGACTTTGTGTCGCTTTGAATCGGTGCTTCGCGTTGTTCTATGCACTCTGCAGGTGTTATATCTAAGCAGCCCAGAATTTGTATACAAAGGTGCTGGAAAGAAACAAATGACCGTCATATGCTACGTGCTCGATGAAAGACTAAGATTAGCCTCAAGTGTATCTATTCATATACTCTTCCCATCCGGTGAAAGCTGGGCCTCTGCAATTCAGCCGTCTCTCAGACGACTTAGTTGGCAACCATCCCAAGCCTGATTAGAGACGTATCACAACTATGCCTTGGGACCTCGTCACGCTGAATTCCGGTAAGTTCAAATGAGGTGGAATAGTTCCTATTCACCCAACGTCATCAGGCTACGCTATGCCGAGTATTGCTTATGGTACCCGGACCCTTGGGAATGGGCAGGGTCCCATCGACCAGATCGCGCAAGCTTTTGACACGAAATACTACCACATCGGCAAGCATCTCTGAGCATTGCAATTATATGAAGGTCTGAAATTTGAGGGTCTTGTAGACACCGCTCAGGGGTACAGAAATGAGGGTGAGGTGGGTATCGCTCTTCACGAAAGCGGTCTGTCGCGCGGAGATGTATTCATTACGACTAAATACTCTGGCTTCGATGGGCTCGACATCCCTACTGCGATCAGAAACAGCATCGACAACGTGGGTGGCCCACCACGACTGGTCAATCTAGATGCTAATGGTACCAGATCGGCACGCCTTACGTAGACCTATACCTGATTCATAACCCACGCCTCGCGGTACCGGACATCCCAACAGCGTGGGCAGAAATGGAGAAAGTGGTGGATGATGGGCTGGCAAAGTGTGTTACAACAACCCTATTTGCTGTTTTGGCTCACCGCTGACCAACATAGGAGTATTGGTGTAAGTAATTTCGGTGTACAAGATTTGGAAATTCTGTTGGCGTCCGCGAAAATCAAACCTGCTGCGAACCAGGTAAGGAACAACATGATGGGATTTGCTTGCGGGGTTCTAACCTTCAAGAAAGATCCTTCTCCATCCCTATGTTTACCAGCAACAGGCGCCTATAGTGAAGTATGCTGCTGAACATGGCATTATCATCGAGGCATACAGTGCCCTCCAGTGGGAAATTTTGTATTGTATCACGTACACGCGACTGACGTGAGGATGCAGACCCCTAACAAAGGAACCTAGTGGTCCGTTGGATGCTCCGCTAAACGAGATCGCCACCCGACTTGGGGCAACTACAGACCAGGTACTTCTCGCTTGGACAAGGGCTAAGGGCGCGGTTATCGTCACGTAGGTTCCACTTCGTTTACCAACGTTGTCGATCATCAATTCCCAATGCCTTTCTAGAACCAGTTCCAAGAAAACACGTTTAGAAGGCTATCAAGATGCAGGCGATATTGGTAAGTGCTATCTCGAGAAGTGACTTGGTACGTACGGCAACTTTACATTGTTTACATGGCAGAGCTTTCAAAGGAAGATATTGCTGTGATTGATGCTGCTGGCGCATTAGGCGAAAAGCGAATCACCGCTAGAATTGGGCTGCGGAAGTTTGGTGTTGGGGTTCTAGTTGGGGTTATGGTGTTGGGCCTTTGCAGTTATTTCGGAGTAAGGATTGATAAATCGTTATGGGATCTGCTATTATGCTCCATAGTTCGTTAGGACATTTCATTTGAGTCAGTCTGTGGCTAGGTTTACACTGTGTACAGACAGTCCTGATGAGTCGGGCACTGAATTCAGAAAGGCTAGCAAAACGTTCAGTCCGAACTTCGATCACCTAGACGCTTGCCAGGGTTGAATAAATAACTTATGTAATCTATCCGAATTCGGGTCCATACGGTTGATTCAGAGAATGGGTGCCAAATTGCCGCAGCAGCGCATCAGATACATCTCTGCCAGCTCAACGTTCAACCACTATGTCTCTTATCTCCAGCCAGCCTAACACAAGCACTATGAACATGTATGGTCCTCTCGTAACTGACAAGAAGAGAAGTCCTGCATGTCAACACAACGCCCACGATCTGAGTTACCCATGTGAATGCCCTTCAGCATCACACCGTGCATGCCACAAATCGAGGCTGCGGCGAATCATCCTGCCTATAGCGCTTTCCCTTCTCTCCATGGGCGCCTTTCTGGTCATTTCCCACTGCTCGGAAGTTGGCGATCTGTTAGGAGCACTCGGACTTAATCACGGTCATGCATTGGACAAGCGCCAAACGACGAGTAGCACCTCAAGCTTCACGAGCAAAAAATGTGGTGCAACAATGTCTTCATTCATTGTTTCTTCTGACAACTCACTTCAGTGTACCTAATTATTATTTTTGTTGGCCTTTTCCTCGTCCTTTTAGCGGCTATAATGCTCAGTTTCTGGTGCTGTCAAGGTTCGATCAAACAATCTTGAAAGCGCTTATTGCCTCATGTGTTTGATACAGGCGCCTTTCAGAATCCCCTGTGTTGCCCATGCTACTTGTGTGCATGTTGTGGTGGCCTCGGTAAGCAGGACTATTCCATTTCTATTACACCAACCTTACCTTGTGTTACCAGCATGTTTGGAGTGTATTGGCTGTGGCCTCTGCGCAGCTGGCATTGACGAAGCGCTATAGATAAACGCTGCTTTCATCTCTCCAGCGATCTGAACCCTCTACTTCATGATTGCGACCCTGCCGGCTGATCTATCTTATGATGGACAAGTTAATGATACTTCCATACTTGTCGTATCACATCATTGGCGAGCTTCTGTTCAATGAACAATATATGTGACATTCTAGCGCCTGAGGCTGCTGATGAAGATTGTACACACTTCGTATACTCTCCTGCTCTGCTCACAGCTTACTTCCTTCCGCGTCTATCGGTTCCGGGTAGAACCGCTCATATGCCAGTGCTGTATATATGCTCATGCAACACTATGGTGCACTATCACTCTCAGCATTTTCCCCATGCCTACGAGTTCGACGGTACACACCACCCCCCTTCCCACCTCATCATCCTCCGATGACTCCGAATGGTGTGATCTACCAAGAAATCCTTTTTGGTGTGTCTGCTTTAAGGCGTTGTGTATGATCGCTATATCGAAGTCGTCGGTCAAGCACTGGGAAGAGCTCAGAAAGAATTCGACAAAGTCCAAACAGGATTCGGAAGAGCTCAAACGGAATTCGACGGAAGAGAAATCAGAAAAGCATAAGAAAATATTGATAAATCGGTTTGAGAACATGAACATCACAGTAAGCATCGGTGGTAAACATAGTCCTTCCGTTATTGAAACTTATTTGCAGGCGGGTCTGGTAAGCAAACTATAAAAAGCTGCCCGAGGATTGTGGTTGACTTCATTAAATAGGTCTTGACGTCAAGTGCTGTTTTCATATCCACCAGTCCTCGCAAGTTCATTCTTTGTCTTGTATGAAGACCACGAAAAACCTAACCTACCTGTTTTTCTCAGCAATCCAATCTCTTATACCCTATGCAAACGTAAGCATTTTTCGTTTCTTATAGTGTCCGTGTGTAGAAACTAACAGGTTATTCAGCAAGGTAAATGGTAAACTTCCTTCTCTGGAGACTGGGTTGTGGTAACGTGTGTCCAGGATCCTATATCCTCCAAGTCATCTCTTTTGTAGCTGCGTTGATGAGTTTGATGACTGGCACTTCTGTCCTCATCATCTACGACACTTGCTATGCACACGAATGCATATTGGAAGTGCGTCATTTGCCTGCCTTCATACGTCTTCAGGCTTGAGTAATAGTAATTATCAGTCGTGCAAGGAATCTCGCTGGCGCCTCATATGCTGCCTCTTACTGATGGCATTTCCTACGCTAGCTCTGGTAGTCTCGACATTGGCTTTAATGTCAGGTTTGTGTGTGGAAGTTCCGATTTTAAATTGCCATTCTCAAAGCCTGTTCAGCCATATATATTGCAGGCCTCACATCGGACAAACTGTTTGTGAAAGTCCTGACTGGAGCATCTTGTGGAATATTTCTCCTCCTTATTGTGCTCGCAATATATGTATTCAAGGCTCCTAAAAAGTATGTGCTTTTATATATCACCTAACGGCCAGAAATTAATTCGGGGTGCCATTAGGGCTGCCTATGCCACCGGTAATGTCATGGACAATGGCTCTGGGCAAATACCCGTGGTAGCCGATTATCAGGGCAGCTCGCGTGGGCGTGCTGCAAGTCTAGAAGACGGATTGTCCCATTAGCTGGCGGTATGGACGGACATGTTACTGTCGGTTCATTTTGTCAAGATATAACTATCGACGTCACTCTCGTACGTACTCTTCCTTTCCTTTTACATATGCAATCACTCTTCACTACACGCCTGATACACGTTCCCCTTTGATTCTCCGTCTCAATCATGGTATTAAAGACCTCTCCTCGTCGAATATAGTTCTCTAGTCGTTTCACTGAATCTAAAGCCTTCGTTCTCGTTCGTCGTTCCTAGTCCGAGCCTCTCTGATTCTCAATACATTTTTTGTTGTTGTTAATATTACTTTGAACCAGTTCCTTGCGTTGTTTCCTCTTAGATGAGAGAAAAATACAACTATACACTCTGCAGCGCGGAGGGACAGTTGTATCCAGCAGCTGCGGCACAGTATTTTGTCGGTCGAGAACCACTCTTTCTATCACTCTTATCATCATATCGTTAAGTTGATGGGTTGATAGTTCCTGTTCGCTATGATAGTTGTCACTCAGAGTCTAGTAAACTGAATGCAGAATGCCGAGCTATGTCGCCAGTATTGACATGGCCTACGGTGGTCACATCTTGAGGTACTGCGTTTGCTGCTACGATAACATATTTACTATTCCATTTACTGGTGGGTTGAGCTGAGGATGACGCAGCGGTAGTACCAGTGATGATTAGGCTATCGTAGTATTGAACGCCTGAAACTACAGACACGCTGCATACATTGTTACAAACACAGTACATCACAGACGAGAATCCAGGCGTTCACTGAGATGTCAGGTCTTCAAATTCGAGCCAGGGTTGATGCCAAGTAAAGGTCCTATGCTTTCGAAGTTAAAAATCTGGTTGAAGGTTGCGGATGTTCTCTTCTCTGAATTTGACCTATAGCTATACCGTGACTTGCAAACGGAGATTTCAGATGAGACTTAGTGCGCAAAGGCTTAGTCTCCTCTAGCCAAACTAAATAGAAGGAAGACAGTCGTTCTTTCTTGATTATGGACGTCGACCCATATTTCAAACATATACAAGCTTGTCATGCGTCGAAAAAAAGAAAACACAGACGAGCTCCATCAGTAAACTCACACATTCCTTAATGTCCTTAACACACTTATCTCAAAACTCGTTTGCTCTCTCTCACATCATTCACCTAGCATATCTTATATTCTTTGAGTGTGAAACACAATAAAACATATATATTAATACACCTCAACATTTTTTTTCTGAATACATTCAGGTTGAAATTTCGGACAAGTAGATCCATTTTCAACAAGGCAGTTAAGTGCAAATAAGTCTGTTTAAGGGCAAAATAAGGAATGTGTGAATTTCCTGATGGCCTTTTAGTAACCAACAAAATTGAACAAATCCTCCACTTCCTCGAGTCAGGGATAATTTAAATTGACAACTTGTACTTGATGGGATCTGCGCAGTGCAAACATTTGAGTAACTTGGCATGGACTCCACGCCCCTTTAGTCAGCATCGTGTAGTTATAATAGGTAAGAGGACTTTGTGCACCTTTGGGTTGCCAGTTTGCACTGGACCTGATTTGGTGTTTTCCAGTTTTCACTACTAGGTTGATTGTTGCAGAGCATCATAGTCAAATATTGAGAACATCACAATAATATACAGGTACAGCCCCCAGCCCAACATACAATACAGCAAACTAACTACTGTAGAGATACAACACTAACTTTGTCATGCATCACAAGCTGCCATGAATTGAAGCTATTCAATGTGACTGTCACACTGATTTTCATGACTGAATATCAGCAAAACCCTGATTTGGGTACAGTGCCACAGCCACACAGCATGTCACAGGTCACATAGATTTTGTTGTAAAGGCTCTGTAGCACCACACAAGTATTGATTCTATGTAAAAATGAGTGTAATGTAGTCATAAACATGTATATAACAAGATGGTGTACTAATAATTATGTTTTATTGAGAAATTGTGTAGTGTGCAGCACTGTACAGCACTGTACATGGGGAGACCTTGCTGTGACACTGTGATTGCTGTGCAGTGCTGCACATAGGGTTAGGGTTTTGCTGATGAAGCTAGATTGTGGCATGCAGTAAATTCAATAAAAAAACATATAGAGTGCCTCAATAAGACTAAAAGTTGGTATACATCCTATTTGCAATCCATCTATGCTTTCCATGCCCACAATCTACCTTTGAAATGCTGTCAACTTCACCATCAATGTCACCCACTCCAACATCATAGACTTTGGATTGTGTTGCAGGGGTGGGACTGCCATTGGTGACATCTAACACACAACTGGGATAGGTCTGTAACTCTTCTGAAGCTAGATAGTCAGTTAATATGTCCAGAGGCACATCACTGGCATCAAGACCACTGAGTTGAGGTTGTGGTCAAGTGTAGTGATGAAATTGGTATCAAGCAGCTGTGTGACAGATAAGGTCTGCAATGGGATGGTTGACTGAATTGATGTTGGAACAGTTAACAATTGTTTGATTTCACATCTGACAGATGATGGAAGGTGGTTCTGCTCAAAAATGCGACCACATTCAAGCCAATCCAAGGTGACAAATGCATCAGTTTCAGACTTACAGTTCCAGCATTTAAGACCACTCCCAGCATTATTTGACAGCTTACAGGTGAAGCCATGAGTAGCAATAGTGAAGTACCAACAGACTTGGACACCTGTCATCGATGATGGCGATGCAATAGTATGTACACTTCATTACACCTGACTGAAGCTATTTTGGTCTAGTCATGGATGGATGTGGTTGAAGTTGGTGTCATATCTCTACAGTATCACTCAAGAGATGTCAGCATCATCTGTGCTGCTACCACTAGCAGTAGGCTGTCATATCCCACAATCTGGACTCACATTCCATAATATTCCTATGCCTTCCAAGCTTACATCTGGACCCCATATCCGACTCATTGCCAGATCCCCTTCCACTGTGTGCTCCACACCTCAGTAGGATTGACTCCATCCTGGATTTACCCCTAAGCTCTGGACCTCTGGATCCTCACTACTAGCCTGATCCATACCACCCTATCCTGTCCACCATATGTGCACTCCATCCAGCAAGACATCCGAACCCCACCTTGTCTCAGATTCAGGACTATATCCACCTCACCTTCTGGATCCTCAGATCTCCGGACCTCTGGATATCAGCCATAATTATCTCCAGACATATTCCTGCCCTCTGTCTGATATCCTGTGCCTATCCCCATTTAGACATCTCTGCCTTTCTGGCTTTCAGTTACCTCTCATTCTGTCTTGCTGATTGATCCTTGTACAAGTCTTCATCTCTGAGTTCATTTAGTTATGTTCTGTCTTACTTACTAATGTGTTTCCACATGCTTGTACATAGCCCTGTTCCTTTGCTTGCTGATCCCCTCAGGTATTGTCCAGTATATAATCCCTGTAGATACTTCTGTAGTTCCTCAGTTTGAATATCATCTTAGACATTGCTCTACTTGTCCAATCCTCTCTTGGACTTTGGTCCACCTAAGTCTGTCCTATCCATCAGGCCTAGGGATTGATTCCCTAGGCCAGAGCTTTGCCTGTCTGGCACTTACCCTCTTTCCAGACTTAGGTCCAATCCTTGTTCTCTCTGACTCTACCTTAGGGTAGTTTACCTCTGTTTGTTTCTACATCAGACTCTGTCTGATGTAGCCCCTATTCCTTCCAGACCTCTGGGTATCCTGTCCTTTGGATGTCCTGTCCTTCGTACCTCTGGATGTCCTGCCCTTCGTACCTCCTATCCTTCCATCCTGTTTCCTGTAGAAGTATTACCTTGCAGTGGGAACTCTCCTGAGCACTTCCTGCATTCCTCTGGAACTCTCCTGTGCTCCTCCGGACGTTTCCCATGCTCCTTCAGAAGTCCTCTAGCACTCCACCAGAGTAGTCAGCCTCTGGAAGTCCTCCAGACTTCATTGGACCATCATTAGACCTCATATGAAATAAAGGGCACATACTTGGGTAAGGGGCACAGCACATGAGCTGAGGCCAAGCCCCTCTAAGTCAGTCTCTCTCTCCCTTGAGCAACATGGTTCTTAACATAGGCTCAGTGTCATCTATGCTACTGTCTGGCTGCTTTGTGAAAGAATATAGGCTGAAACCTGGCCACTCGCAATAATAATTACAACTATGCTGCTTTTCAAACTTGCTAACAGCAACCTCAATGTTGGCATCTCCAAAGATATCCTTGCCTTGGCTCATGGTACTGAGGGTACAGAATACTAGTCAGCACAAGTAGTGTTTCATATATTAATGGCCTTACAGTGGCTCAAAAAACTGTCCACATGTTTTGACATTTTTCACTATCTATGATATTGTGTGAGAATGAACAAATGCCTCAAGGACATGGTTATACCACATTGTAGTATGGCTTCAGGGCTTTCATTTGAGTCCTACACCGTGGGAATCTGTGGAGATATGGTGGAGATACAAGGCTTACAAAATCATGACTCATGCAGACAGTTTTTTGAGCACATATTAAAACTATATAAATCATCATTTATGACACCATAACAATCATGCCACCATTAAATAAATTATAAAGTGGTGTCATTGTGTCATTTTAAAACCATATCTAACTATACAAACCAAAAATTTCCATATGTCATGGTTATATTCACCATGAAAGCCACCCCCCCTGCTCAAAGGAATAATATCCTCTCTCTTTCCTATTCTGGCCTCTCTGCTTGTCAAATTTCCTCTAGAACTGGAGTATCCAAGTCCACTGTGGCCAAGTTCATCAAAGAAAGTCACACAGACAAGGAAAACTTCTGTGAAGGATGTCCATCCAAGCTCACCTCTACTGATAGGAGGGCTATTATTCAACATATCACTACAGGAAAGGCTGATAATGCTGTCCAGGTCACCTATTACATCAATTCCACCATCACATTCCCTGTCTCTTCACACACTGTGAGAAACATTCTCAAGACAGCTCATCTCAGGTCAGTAACAAGGAAGAAAAGGCTCTCCTCTCTATCACACATATGCAGAGAGGACTAGCACCCTTCTTGTTTCACATATATACCTTGCCATCTGACCCAATCCTATTTATTGTGGTCTTATATGATCATATAGCATGCTTCCAGTCCATGTAATCCAATTCTGATGGGCTAAGGCAAAGGTTAGTCATCTCTGCATATGTGTGATAGAGAAGAGAGCCTTTTCTTCCTTGTTACTGACCTGAGATGAGCTGTCTTGAGAATGTTTCTCACAGTGTGTGAAGAGACAGGGAATGTGATGGTGGAATTGATGTAATAGGTGACCTGGACAGCATTATCAGCCTTTCCTGTAGTGATATGTTGAATAATAGCCCTCCTATCAGTAGAGGTGAGCTTGGATGGACATCCTTCACAGAAGTTTTCCTTGTCTGTGTGACTTTCTTTGATGAACTTGGCCACAGTGGACTTGGATACTCCAGTTCTAGAGGAAATTTGACAAGCAGAGAGGCCAGAATAGGAAAGAGAGAGGATATTATTCCTTTGAGCAGGGGGGGTGGCTTTCATGGTGAATATAACCATGACATATGGAAATTTTTGGTTTGTATAGTTAGATATGGTTTTAAAATGACACAATGACACCACTTTATAATTTATTTAATGGTGGCATGATTGTTATGGTGTCATAAATGATGATTTATATAGTTTTAATATGTGCTCAAAAAACTGTCTGCATGAGTCATGATTTTGTAAGCCTTGTATCTCCACCATATCTCCACAGATTCCCACGGTGTAGGACTCAAATGAAAGCCCTGAAGCCATACTACAATGTGGTATAACCATGTCCTTGAGGCATTTGTTCATTCTCACACAATATCATAGATAGTGAAAAATGTCAAAACATGTGGACAGTTTTTTGAGCCACTGTACATCAGGAAAAAACAAAATTTGTGGTAGTCCTGGTGACAGCTATGTAGCAGTAACTCAGACTATATAGAACTACAACAGGCTACAGCAAGCTACAGTGGGCTACAGTGGGCTACAGTGGGCCACAGTAGATGCTTGGAGTCACAATAGTCAGTCAATAGTCTACATAGTGCTATGTAGCCCTGTAGTGACCATAGCAAATATTAATTACTGTAGTAGTAATTCCAAGTAATCATGGCAGAAATACAACATATTCACTGTAGTGATATATAGGAAACCAGGTTACTCTATAGTTCTATGTAGCTGAAATCAGAGAAATGGAATAGTAGTGTTGTAGTGATAATTGAATGGACTTGTCAGACTTAGTAGAATTTTTGCATTTCATTGTGTGACATTGATACAGTGGCTCAAAAAAGTGTCCCAATGTTTGTGGATTTTCATGTAATTGCTTGATTGTGAGTCAGTGTGTGGGAATATGATTAAGCTATAGGGAGATGTCAGAAAGCTCTAAGAAGATAAGCTTCTCATATCTTCATCCTATAGAGGGAGGAGACCAGCCTTTGCTCTCAAGCACCAGTATTGGACTTTGAGGACTGGAATAGGACTAACTGGTCAAACAGGACAAAATTCAATAGGATGGGGTCAGATAACTGGGAATATGTATTGAAAAATGCAGAAGAACTACTAGGACAAAGAGAAGTCAAGGAAACACTCAAGTTTGGAGGAGAAAACTTTGTGATATGGGACTGTATGAGATGGAATAGAGTAGGAATTTTATGAGGTGGAGAGGAGAATAAATGCAGAGTAGTGCATCTCAGTTTTGGAGAAGTGTCTTCATAGAAGCATGCAGGAATCAGAAACTAATGAAGAAGGCTCTATCTTCTAATAAGATAATAATCTTAAGCATACTGCCAGTTGGCTACCAAATGGTTTGAAAACTATAATATTGCTATTATATCATGGCCAGCACAATCCTCAGACCTCAACCCTATTGAACAGCCCTGGAAATTGCTCAGGAGATTACTTGGAGTGTGTCATGATCCTCCATAGGGGCTATTTCAGCCATTGGGAGGAGCTGCAGCACAGTAGGAGAAGATTGGTAATGAGTAATGACAGGAATTGATAGATAGTGTGTTTATAAGAGTGGGAGAAGTGATTAGAGCATCAGGAGGAAAGACCAAGTACTGTAATTATAGAGATTGTATTGGTCAAATTCAAAGTCAAAAAAGTGTCCTAATGAGTCACCAGATTGAAATGTCCATATATTCACATGATAATATCAGATTTTCATGCTATAGTGGACAAGGATAACACAAAGAAACAGAGCTTTCTGACATCTCCCTATAGCTTAGTCATATTCCCACACCCTGACTCACAATCAAGCAATTACATGAAAATCCACAAACATTGGGACACTTTTTTGAGCCACTGTATATATTGCAATTATTGTTGAAATATGAGCCCCTTCAGTGACAAACTCCATATTATATGGGTCATGCGACCTACATAATATCCTGTATAAGATGGGCCAGTAGACTATGGACTGATGTTATGTATATCCTCAATGTTGACAGGTGGGCCCATCTATGCTGATGTTATAAATATCCTTGATGATGGTGGATGGGCTGGGGGAAGTATTATTACTGATGGAGATGGGTGAGCCCATCTGGGCAATATGTAGAGTAGGATAGACATATATTATAGACAGTTGGGCTGAAGAGAGATGTATGGCAGATATTATTATATAGACAGGTGGGCTGATGGGGCAGTGAAATATTTATTATATATGTAGGTGAGCTGAGGTGGGGGTATACTAGATAGATGAGTGGGCTGATGGGGCAGTGAAATATTTATTATATATACAGGTGGGCCAACCTGGGGTATTTTACATAGATGGGTGGGCCAACATAGGGGGATGTCATATAGATGGGTGGGCCCAGATACATATCATTTAGATGTATGGGCTGAGGTATTGGTATACTATATGGACATATGAGCAATGCTGTTGCACTAGTTTTGATCCAAGTCATCAATGACATTCAGACTCAGATTCTGTCAGCATTGATCAAAGTCAACATAGCTAAGTGCCCTGTTGACTCAGAATCCAGCAATACCTCAGAAGATGGTCCATAGATGTAAGGGCCAAGGTATTTGTATACTATATGGACATATGGACATACATATAGGCTGAGGTAGTGATATATATTACATCAGCAAAACCCTGATTTGGGTACAGTGCCACAGCCACACAGTGTGTCACAGGTCACATAGATTTTGTTGTAAAGGCTCTGTAGCACCACACAAGTATTGATTCTATGTAAAAATGAGTGTAATGTAGTCATAAACATGTATATAACAAGATGGTGTGCTAGTAATTGTATTTCATTGAGAAATTGTGTAGTGTGCAGCACTGTACAGCACTGTACATGGGGGGACCTCACTGTGACACTGTGATTGCTGTGCAGCATTGTGCAGTGCTGCACATAGGGTTAGGGTTTTGCTAATGTATATTGACAGGTGGGCCAAGGTAGTTGTTATCACATATAAACATAACTGGGCTTAGATAGTTGGATAAGAAACAAATCAGTTTGCTGATGTAGGCACCAGAGAATTGAAGACATGGAGTACATACCCCTATATGAATGCATATACCTATCATCAACCATGGAAACCTGAAACCTGAAAGCCTGAATACATCATGTCTGACATTTACCAAGTACTGAAACCCAAAACTCAACACCCAAAATCCAAAACTCAAAACTCAAACATCAAAACAAACTTTGAACCCTGAACATCGAAACCCAAAACTCAAAAGTCATAAAAATGTATGAGTTTTGAGTTTTGAGTCTTGAATCACTGAATCCCAAAACCCAAGCATTGAAACCCAAAACTTGAAACTCAAAAGGTGTAAAAATGTATGAGTTTTGAGTTTCAAGTTTTGAAGTTTTGGGTTTCAGTACTCAGGACTCAAAACTTGGTGATTTGATAAATGGACTGGCAGAGGTAACAATCATTGGAAAACTTGTATATACATGGCTTTCTAAGCAGGCTGAGGCATGAGGCTGGTGTAGAATTGAGTCTACATGCAAAATTAAGCAAGGTGGCACAGAACTCTTGTTCCTTCCCACATCAGCCTACAAATCTTCTTGTCCCAAGTACTAGGCACTAGTCTCAGTTCTTTTGCATTCTTCAAAGTAAAGTCTACAAATGTTTAATGGAGATCCTAACATTGCTATATGACCAGATTTCACTCTAATTGAGCACCATGAAGCCTGACAGCAGCTAGTAAATGAAGGACTCACAGATGAACAAGCAGTCTGTTTGTTAACAGTGCTATGGACTGTGAGGAACAATGTGGACAAAATGCATTGGGCCAAATGACAAGAGCATATAGATAATGTTCGAAGGCAGGAAGAGGAAGAAGAGGAACAACGTTAGCAGACCCTCAAAGATGAAGAGGAGGCAGCATGCTGTGAGGAGCACAAGAAGAACAAGACTAAATACATACCCCTCATCAGAGCCAAGGTTCCTTCTGACCCCACCATAATCCCTGCGCAGTATGCAACAAGGAGGTTGAAAGCTGGAGAGTATTGCAAGCTCCACTACTTCACCAATAGAGGACTGAATGATGCCAAAATCTCAGCACTAATCACTGAGCCAGATGTGCTAGTAATGATGCTATCTAATGATGGAGTCCACTCCTGGGTACTAGCAGCAGCAGTCAAAGATCCCAGAGCAGCCCTGGTAGTCAAGGATAAACAACTCACATGGGAGGAGTTCAATGAGGCAGCACCAAGAATGATCATGTCAATGAGAGTCCATGACTGGCCCAATGACAGGGTCCAGATGCATATCCAATTCTGGACTGTACTCCAAGAACATTGCTGGTGTCATGCCCCAGACATGCTCAAGCAAAGAGCACTTCTGCTATACCAGTCACAGCAAAGGCGCAGATGGCACCTCACAGTGGGAACAGTGCATGGCTGAAGCCTGGAAGAGATCAATCAATATTTACTTCTAGAAGCTAGGGAAGACTTATTTAATGAGCAGCATGACCAGGTGTTCACAGCCATCAAGGTCAGTGCTTTGTCCTCCTACTTTGCTTCGAGCTCTGCTCAACTCCCCTTCATTTTATCATTTTCATTTTGTTCATTTCACTCAGTGTAATCATTCACTGGGTACATTCCTTTTGTTAGCCATCACGCACTAGCAAAAAACCTTTTGCTGTAATCACACACAACCCCCCCTGCATCAATCATGATGCACCCATCCTTCCATTTGGGCCAAACATGCACCTGTCCAGTCATGCCAATCGCATGCACCATGTCATATCAAATGACACCTAGGCCATGCCATCATCACCTGGACCACCCCATTACCATTACTCATAATGGTTCACCCTCATGGAATATCACCAATTCATACTGGGTGCCACTATGAACCTCAACCGACAACAGGCTGCCACAGCTGCCACTCCCAACAACCAGGAGTATCCCCATGTGCAACAGCAGCCAGGAACAGCCCCAAAGCACCTGTTCCCAGCAGCAGAAGCAGCAACCGGAAGCAACAAAAAGGTACACACTACTCAGGCACCTATCAATGCCAGGCCACTTCTATGCTGTGCAGTTTGCCTTGGGAGGAACCTGCACAGGACAATTGAGTGCTCACTCACCCACATGTGGGATGGGAACCATGAAGCGTTCTCAGAGCATATTACCAAAGCCTTGTGGACCAAAGATAGGAGACAGATATGCACCACTTGGCAGTGGGATGAAGGATGCACAATGCCAAAACACAATGCCAAGCATGTGTGTTCAGGGTGCAGGGCTACTACTCATGGAGCCCAAAAATGTCCTTGAGCACAGAAAGCTGCACCCTCAGACACTGTATAGAGCAGAAGCTTGGGACTATGAACTACAGCTCACAGGACTTATCAATTGTTTTAGTAAAATACCAGAAGGTTTCTGTTCAGGCTTCAGAATAGATTTCCCACCTATCTTCACTGTACAGATCCCCCCAAATAAAGATTCAGTTTACAAGTATCAGAACGAGTTCAATCTTATCATCCAGAAAGAACTTGAAACAGGGAGATGTGTGGGACCATTCACAGCTAACTCTCTAGAACAACTGATTGGTCCTTTCTAATCCTCCCCACTTTCAATCATCCTGAAGCCGGAGAGACCCAGAAAATTCAGAATCATCCAGAATTTCTCCTTCCTGCATTCAATCACAACCACTTTCCCAAGCCCATCCATCAACTTGTACATCAACACCAACAACTTCCCAATAACTTGGGGAAAATTCTCAGTAATATATCAAATAGTTGCCACACTCCCCCCAGGGTCAGAGGCAGCCACAAGAGACGTTGCAAATGCCTACAGGACAGTACCCCTGCACCCATCGCAATGGCAAGGTGGGGTAGTACAAATTGCGGAAGACTCATTCTGTATGGACACATGTACAGCATTCAGGGCTACCCCTTCAGCAGGTGTTTATGGTCACATTGCAGATGCTGGGGCAGAGATCTTCAGATACTATGGGATCGGCCCCCTTGACAAGTGGGTAGACAACCATATCTTTTTCAAAATCCTTAGAGAGTACCTCAAGGAGTACAACCAAATGTGTGCCACATGGTCAGAAGCCTTTGCCAGAGAAGGAATACACCAGTCAGGAAGTCACTTATGGTACAGAGAGATATGTCCAAGCACTGGACAGCTTGAGGAAAGCAGCAAGAACTGTGCTAATCCACTGAAAGACTTATCAGAATGCTCTCCCAGATCAGAACATGACAAATGTTTCAACTGCAGCCTCCAAGACATTGATGAGGTGTCAGAGGATATGGGCATCCTATGGAAGCTTATAAAAGATCAGCCATTTCAATCAGTGATGATCTATACAGGTTTTCTTTGGGACATTAAGCTTAGAACAGCCTCACTAAGTTCAGATAAGACTGACAAGTACCTCCTAATGATTCATGAATGGAGGAAGAGAAAAGTACACATCCTACTTGATGTACAAAAGCTATATGGCAAGCTATTGCACACCTGCGCCACAGTACCTCAAGGATGGGCATATTTAATGGGACTTGAAAGCATGCTGGCATCGTGTGAGAGCAAGCCATTTCTTCCACACAGACCTGACAAAGGTATAGCCAAGGATTTGATATGGTGGTCAGCACTATTACAATCTGGTGGAGTGACAAGAAACATATACCCATCATCCCTGCTCATGTTACAGTACCCCACTCTTTTTCCCATCATCACTGTGGATGCCTTATGGCTGTACTTCTAATGCTTCCTTTTCACTGTGCTGTTTCCTCATGGTCTCCTTTATCTCTGACTCACACTTTGTTTTCCTGTCATATGCCATTCTGGACTCTCAACTCTAAATCTGCTTCTCTGGATATCCAGATCCAAGATCCGGATCTCAAATGATCTGATCTATCTTTATCTTTCTTCCAGAATCCAAACCCTATATCAGCACCCAACCCCATTTAGACTTCCCCTGTCTCCGGACTCTGGTTAACCATGTTTCCCTTCTGATTATTGATCCATTACATACATTTCATTTCCAGTGTTCATTATTTGTGATCTGTCCTACTTACTAATAGACTTTGCATATGCTTTGTACATAGCCCTTATGTTTGCTGATTGATCCCTATATGATACCTACAGTATATAAACCTCCTGTAACTCTTGGAAATACTCCAGTTCAAATATCATCTTAGTTCCTGCTCATTCCTGTGTCCTCCAGACTTGAGATAAAGTCTCTTGTCATATTCCAAAGTCTTAGGATTGCATCCTAGACTACATTTCCAACTCTACCTTAAGGTAGTCTATCCTCTGTTAGTTTCTAGTCTGGACTTCATCCGGATTAGTCTTATCCACTTGTCTAAGTAACATCTGGATGTCCATCGGATTTATCTCATGTTTCAGATCCAGATGTCCATTGTCCGCCTAGTCAAATCCTGGAAACTCCAGACGACTGTTCTAGCCCCTGGAAATTAAGGGCACATACTTGGGAAAGGGGCACAGCATACAAGCTAAGGTCAAGCCCTTGTGATCCAACCCCCTTGTGCATGTGACCTTAACATTTCCCATGAACCTTCCTTTCTTAGTAGTCATTACCCTTTGCCCAGCTTGGTCTGTGCATGATTCTCTTATGCATATAAACCTTAGTTACTGCTTGTATTTTCTCTAACTTGAATCTACTTGGTTCTCTTTCATACTTGAACTCTAGCTCCTTGGGAAGGAGGCTAGCCACTGTCCCATTTGAACTCTAGATCCTGCAGGAGTCTAGATGATCGTTCCTGAGGGAGGCATTAACTCAATAAGGCTTAGTCCTTGATTGACCTTGATCCTTGATTCCTTTATTGGAACAACGCTCTATCTGAGTTCATAACAGCTCAGAGACCCTCATGCATTTTTAGATGCTAGTTCAGGCATTGGGATTGGAATCATCATTGGAGAGTTCTGGAGGGCTTGGAGACTCATACCAGGTTGGAAGACACAGAATGGGAAATGAGACATTGGATGGGCCAAAGCAGTCAGATTCAAATTCCTTATATACACTCCTGCCATTCTCCCTGGCACTAGTAGCAGCATCCTCATCCATAGAGACAACATGGGAATCGTGGAAGGATGGTGGAAATGGCATCACCACAACACAGCTGTCAACAGTGTGTTTTGAAGAATCAACCAGTTCTTACATGACTTACCCAACCATCTCAAAATCACTACAGCCTATGTGGCCAGTGCATCCAACCCAGCTAATGAACCATCCAGAGGTATCTACAGACCAATCAGCTTACTTCTTCCCAGAATCCCTATTCCAGAGGAACTTAGCACATTTGTTATTGATGCCACTGAACCTCTCTCCCCTGCAGAAATCTGCCATCTGCACAATGGGAACTACTCCACTCCAGCAACTAAGTTCATCAATAGAGCCCTTATTAGACAGCAAGCTGCAGAAAGAGCACTTGCCTCAAGAATTGAAGAAGACTACTTCATCAACAGCACACTCAGGAACAAATGATACCAAACATTGCTCTCATTTTGGAGCAATGCTGCCAGCCCCAAGCACTGCAGTGCCTATACCCCATGCCTATTAACAGAACCTTACCCCTTTTCCATGCACCCTTCACTCACACTGTCTAGCACGAGACTGATTAAGACTATGGGTCCCAGCAGGGAATAGCACCAGACTGACAGAGCTGTCAGCAGAATCAGCCACTTGCCAAATTTCAGACTCACAGCTCAATTGGATACTAGAAGTAATGGGGTCATCATGGGTACAATCAACCAAAGAGCTATATGGAGCAGGACTTCTTGTATTCCATGTGTACTGTGACTTGCAGAATATAATAGAAGAGAAGCGGTGCCCAATAGACCAGACACTGCTTCTTGAGTTCTTCTTGAGCTGTGCTGGATCATACTCAGGATCAGTGCTATTGAACTATGCAGCAGGGCTGAAAGCTTGGCACCTGCTACATAGCAGGGACTGGCAGATTCCCCACACTGAACTCAAAGCCATACTTGATGGAGCAGCAAACCTTGCCCCCCAAGCCTCAAAGAAACCAAAGAGAGTTTCTTTCACACCTGTTTTCATCACAGAGATACATTCACATTTGGACCTTAACTCACTGCTCAATGCCACAGTTTTCGCATGCCTCACCATGACATTCAACTCCATTGCCAGACTGGGAGAGTTCACCATCAGTGCTATCAAAGATTTCAGCCCAAGAAAGCACATCATGAGAGGAAGAGTATTAGAATCAGAAGACTGCAACAGCCTTCCAGTCATGAAGTTTCACTTACTGAGTACCAAGGTCTCTCCAATCAAAGGAGAAGATACCTACTGGACAGCACAAGATAGGCTGTCAGATCCAAAGATGGCCTTGCAGAACCATTTCCACATCAGCTTAGCAGACAATGAAGCACACCTTTTCATGTGGAAACATGTGAAAGGCATCTGTCCCCTATTGAAAAAGGAATTCACCAAAAGAATCACTAGCACAGCACAAGCAGCAGGCTTACCAAACCTCAAAGGTCATAGCTTGCAGATTGGTGGCACCTTAGAGTACTTGCTCAGAGGAGTCCCTTTCGATGTTGTTAAGTCTATGGGAAGATGGTCAGGAGATGCATTTATGTTGTACCTGAGAGACCATGCACTCATCCTAGTGCCATACATCCAATCAAAGCCCTACCTCAAACCATTCATACACCACATGATGCTGATAGTGTGCTAAACAGTAAGAGTGAGTACACCTCCTAAAACCTGGGCATCAAGCTTTGCTGTATGTGTAACTGCACTCCTAACATATGGGAACACAGCTCACCTTGACACACAGGTTCAGACCCTTGTTTCAGGCCAGAAAAGCCCTATGGGCCTTTTGCCCAAATATCCAATAAGTCTCTGAACTCTGGTTCAATTCAAATGAACAAACTCTCCTGTAGTATCGAGTTTGATTGTAATCAGGCATTATCCTACCTAATCAAACTCACTATTCCTACAAGTAACACTTAGCCACTAATGCACATAGATCTATCACTATGCAATTATATAACCATGCCAACCTCCTCAGAAGACACTTCAACCTTCACCTCAACATCCACCTCAACATCCATGTCATTGGAAGAATTGTATTCTGGGATAAGGTTGCTTGGATCACCCAGGTCCACAATTTCACTAGATGTATCTGGAACCTCTGGATGAACAACCTGGTTGTAAACAGGAGGCCCTCAATGGCAGAGGTATCCTCAAATTTCAGGGGTATGGGCATCATCCCTGCCATTGAGAGATCAATGAGAGGAGGAAGTGTAGATTTAGATGGTGACATGGACATGGGGATGGATTGATCAAGTAACAAGGATGTTGCATTAGTAGGAGGTTTGGGAATTGGGAATGAGGGGTGTTGGTTGACAATTTTGTGCCTAAGGCCTTCATGGAGGCATTGCAGGGTATCAATCTTACTATCCTGCTCTGCCATATGAGCCTTGTGAATAGCAATGTGAGCTGTACCATCCTGGATTGCAATTGCCATGGCATGGAGATCCAGCATGGGTAGGTCAAGTGCTGCAGCAGGGACTGCCAAACTCAAAGACAGAAGTGCTACAAGGGAAAATTAAGGTCAGACAGTGATGAAAAAAAACTTGGGTAACTTATGAGCTGGTACAGGTGCAGGTGCCTTGACAGCAGTGATGATCTTGCTGTGACCACATATCTGGGTCTTGGGAGTTGTCACAGCAGTGACACCCAGAGTTCCAGACTTGCCACAAGACTAACTGTGAGTTTGGGCCTTGGATTGGGAGATGGGGGGAGCTTTGGAAGGAGCCTTGGAGGGTGTCCTGGACCTTGTGTTCCAGGTGGTAGAGGAAGCATGAACACATTTTGGCAGGGTACCCAGAGTTGTGGGAATGCACTTGATCTTCTTTGTTGTGTAGCAGACGGATGACATATACATATTCCTGGTCCTCTTGTCCAACCAAGTTATGCAGGGCCAGTTTAGCTTGGTACAAACCTAGCATGGGTTGTTCTGTGGGTTGTGTTAGTGTATGGACACACTTCAGATAAATCAAAGTACTCACCAGTTCAGGAATGAGAATACCACCTACATCGATGACTGGGGGTGCCTGTACTGGGGTTCCAGGAGTTGGCTGGGAGGGCTCAATGACTACTGGGTGACTGCCGGCAATCACCTGCTACATTGTAAGTATACAGCTGAGTCCTGGATGCATAAATGTTACTTACTGTAGCAGGGCCAAAGGGTTTTTTGGTTGGAACCCGGGGTGATTGAGGTGAATTGGAGAGCCAGGGAAGGACAACATCTGGCACTCCAGCCAAAAATGGCTACAAGAAAATGTGAGACAAGTAAAAGACAAACCAGATGACATACCTGAATAGTTGTGTCTTCATCATCTTCCAACTCCACAAGGGGCTTGGACTTCACAACATGAGATGACTTTGCATGCTTGCAAGTCTTCATCACAGACTTTGGCAGTTGGGAGGAGAGTGCTGAAATCATGGGAGACTTCCTCTTCTGACTCCCTTCTGCCTCAGGCTCTGGGTCAGCATCAATAGCCTTACCTTTCCCCTTGTCCCAGTACTTGGTGGTAGTGTTGGTAGAAGGACCAGCAACATTGCCAGTGAGGATTGGTGGGGAGGGAAGGTTGACTGGAATTGGACCTGTGGAGGGAGGAGCAGCAACTGGGAGATCAAAGGTATGGTCATCTACAGTGGCTCAAAAAACTGTCCGCATGTTTTGACATTTTTCACTATCTATGATATTGTGTGAGAATGAACAAATGCCTCAAGGACATGCTTATACCACATTGTGGTATGGCTTCAGGGCTTCCATTTGAGCCCTACACCGTGGGAATTGGTAGAGATATGGTGGAGACATAAGGCTTACAAAATCATGACTCATGCAGACAGTTTTTTGAGCACATATTAAAACTATATAAATCATCATTTATGACACCATAACAATCATGCTACCATTAAATGAATTATAAAGTGGTGTCATTATGTCATTTTAAAACCATATCTAACTATACAAACCAAAAATTTCCATATGTCATGGTTATATTCACCATGAAAGCCACCCCCCCTGCTCAAAGGAATAATATCCTCTCTCTTTCCTACTCTGGCCTCTCTGCTTGTCAAATTTCCTCTAGAACTGGAGTATCCAAGTCCACTGTGGCCAAGTTCATCAAAGAAAGTCACACAGACAAGGAAAACTTCTGTGAAGGATGTCCATCCAAGCTCACCTCTACTGATAGGAGGGCTATTATTCAACATATCACTACAGGAAAGGCTGATAATGCTGTCCAGGTCACCTATTACATCAATTCCACCATCACATTCCCTGTCTCTTCACACACTGTGAGAAACATTCTCAAGACAGCTCATCTCAGGTCAGTAACAAGGAAGAAAAGGCTCTCCTTTCTATCACACATAAACAGAGATGACTAACCTTTGCCTTAGCCCATCAGAATTAGATTACATGGAATGGAAGCATGTTATATGATCATATAAGACCACAATAAATAGGATTGGGTCAGATGGCAAGGTATATATGTGAAACAAGAAGGGTACTAGTCCTTTCTGCATATGTGTGATAGAGAGGAGAGCCTTTTATACTCCAGTTCTAGAGGAAATTTGACAAGCAGAGAGGCCAGAGTAGGAAAGAGAGAGGATATTATCCCTTTGAGCAGGGGGGGTGGCTTTCATGGTGAATATAACCATGACATATAGAAATTTTTGGTTTATATAGTTAGATATGGTTTTAAAATGACACAATGACACCACTTTATAATTTATTTAATGGTGGCATGATTGTTATGGTGTCATAAATGATGATTTATATAGTTTTAATATGTGCTCAAAAAACTGTCTGCATGAGTCATGATTTTGTAAGCCTTATGTCTCCACCATATCTCTACCAATTCCCACGGTGTAGGGCTCAAATGGAAGCCCTGAAGCCATACCACAATGTGGTATAAGCATGTCCTTGAGGCATTTGTTCATTCTCACACAATATCATAGATAGTGAAAAATATCAAAACATGTGGACAGTTTTTTGAGCCACTGTAAAACCTCCCAGGCAAGGAGATTGGGGTGCCAGACATGCTTCAACAGGTGGGGATTGTCATACCCAATGCTGTGCCAGTTAGGCCAGACCTAGGAAGTTATGCCCCAGATGTGCAATAACTCCTTGGAGCATGAAAGCATGATGCCAGCAGGGGTCCAGACCCATAGTCCTTGACTACATGAGCCTGCCTGGATGTTAGAGAGAAAAAAAGAAAAAAAAGAATGCTATATATCACAAGTAAACTAACCTGTGATGTTAGAGCAAAGTGGCTGGGACCTGGGGGAATCTGCTGGTGCCACTGATAATGGCCATGATCTGGGCAGTGGATGCCTTGAGACTGGTCAAAGAGGTGTCAACTGGAGTGGACATGATGATTGAGCTGAGAGACTTAAAGATCTTGAAATTGAGTTGAAATCTGTTATCACAAGGATGAAGTTTCAAAAGAAACAAGACATTTGATGGATAATCTATAAAATTGTTGATTGTTTGTCTTTTTTTGGTCATGGTTTAACTTTCAGCAATTGCCAGTTGTGTTGAACTTTGAAGTTTTTTCAATTATCAGTTAACAAGTCAATAAGTTCCCTATACAACATAAGCCCACAGCCAGCTGTTTGATTTAATGACCCTGACTTTGTATGATGGTGCTCTATGGCATGACTGCCCTGTTAATCCTAGAACAGATCCCTGTGTCCATGCATTCAACAAATTCTCGGGTATTGTGTCAATAGACTCACAATAGTGTGATGTAAGAAATGCCCTCACTATGGCCTTCTTCTCCTCAAGTTTTGTTTTGGTGATGTCTGGAAGTAACAGCATCCCATCCCTGTTGGTTTCCAGTTTGAAAGCAGGCTTTCTGATTCTTTTTTGACCTTCCTTCATCTATTGTCCTCCATCCTGTACCCCAGCACCTATCATCATGATGATCAACAAATTCCTTTTAGTAGCCAGAGTTCAAACACTCACTGAACTGTTCCTGTGTGTACTCCTGCCAAACTGACTCAATGTCCTTCCAGTCCTTTGTCTTCATGAAGCTGTCCCCATCTCCTAATGCCTCATTATCATTGTGCCTGCATGAAATATATTGAGATTGAAGATCTGTAATGATTGACAAAATTCACTTACATCCTGAACAGCACCTCTCCCTGTTCATTCTTCCAAGCCAACATCACAAACACTCTCATCCTGCATTGCCTTCACATCTCCTTCAAAAAGTGCTCCATATATGCAGGTCCCTTCTTACAAGTGACTTGTGCTTGTATCTCAGGAGGAGGAAAGTTATTGGACCATCCTTCAGCTGTTTCCTTTGCCTTCTCCAACTTGTTGTTGGACAATTCAGCCATGACTCTCTTCACAGCCACCTGATAATGCTTGAACATACCAGGACCTCCTGGCTTTGCCCTGGACTTGTCCTTGATCCTCTTTAGCACCTCTTCCTGGTTCTGCTAGTAGATCACCATCCTAGGTGTCTATTTCCTCCCATACTTTATCATGTCCTTCCTTTTCTTCTTTTTCTTGTTGTTAAACAACCAAGTCTTGTACATCTGAGCATTGATGGAAGAATAAGATATTAAAATTTAAGTTTTTCAACACAGCAAGGATGAATCACCTGTTTCCTCTTCTTCCATTGTGCTTGGTTGACCTTAGGAGCAAATAACCTGGTAGCCCTAGCTATGGCAGTGAAAACTGCCTGCTTCTCTTTCCTTTTTGCTGAAGTCTACTTAGGAAGATGGTTCTTCAAATCTGAAATTTTGTTTTCCATGAGCTTCTGTGTCTGTGGTTGATATGCCCTATGTCTTCCAGAAGTCAACTGAGTGGAATGACCCAATCTTGCCATGGTGAATGAGATTGCAGAATGGGCTGAGGATAAGCAAGGTGGAAGTAATAATGGTTCCAAGTTGAACTTTGAGCAAAGCCTAACAGTTGATTAATTGACCCATATTGGATGCAATGCCATTAATGGAAATGAATTTGTAATGATGCATCAAGACTGCATAATATCATATTGGAACAACAATTCATTCAACCTTCCTGAGCTAATGCTTTGCTTGCAACATCAGAAAATAAGATGAGGATAGGTAGATACACCCCACTGCAAAAATCCCACAGGGTAGAAGCAAGGGGCAGCAAAGGTAGGAAAACTTGGGTTAAGGTCCCACTTGTAAGCACAAAATGACATGCCTACAGGTCCATGCCTCACTTTCCCCCAGAATCACTAACACTTCAGCCTGTTGAGGTACCACCTCCTTAGGAAGACTTTCCTGACAATACTTATGAGCATGACCAAGGCTTATTTGAGCCTTTGCAACTCCCAAAAACCATGGCAAGTTCATGTAAAATGTTGGATTGTCATTCAAATGATAGCTAAGCATAAAAAATGCAGAGTCAGAATGACTACCTCAGGTAATGGCTGCCAAGGCAGGAATCATACATATCTACATCACCTCCAGACAAATGAACATGGACTATGCCCTTTGTGAGGCTGCCTAGCACAACATGGAAGGCATCACCAGGGCTGTCACCTTCTATGATATCAACTGTCAATACAACAAGCACTTTTGGGTTTGGGTGGATTAAAGCTGATTTCTCAAAATGGTTCTGGAATTGACCATCATTCCCAGAATTGGGTTGTGGCATGTCCATGGACATCAGGACAGCTGCTATGTCCAATATGTATTAAATTTTATTAAAGGCATTGGTTGGATCAATGGAGAGATCATGGAGACCCTATTGTCACATCTCAACCTGATTTCCCCTGCTGCTCAGGGAATGTCATTCCTGCATTGAAAGGAATGTCTTGATTATCAGATAAACAATTCCAATTTCTGCAAGATGATCCACATGAAAAGGACCCTTTGTCATAAATACAAGCAGGCAAAGAATGGCATCACCAAAAGTGAAAAGGCTTTCAACAGGCTTGATGAAGCAGCACCTGCAGATTCAAAGACAGAATGGTTAGCCAGTGAGAGGATCACTCAGTCCAACAGAATAAATGATCCTGCAGCAATGGATATATATGAGATTAATATCAAGAAGGGTAAGTTGACTTTGGCTCCATCAAAGTCAGAATTAATTTTTGCACTCAGCACTGAGCAAAAAGGAGATTGAGCTTAGACTGCTAGAGGAGGGTAATGTCTGTAATGCAGCACCTGCTTGCAGATCTGTGGTAACATGGATATCAATGGGGTTGGCATTTGAAGAGGCTCAAATTCCATTGCTCATTGAGGTCTGAAGAATTGGAAGAAGAACTACTGAGACACAGAGGTTAGACATCATCTGTCATATACCATTCTGGACTCTCAACTCTAAATCCGCTTCTCTGGATATCTGGATCTGAGATCCAGATCTTCAATAATCTGATCTATCTTTATCTTCCTTCCAGAATCCAAACCCTATATCAGCACCCAACCCCATTTAGACTTCCCCTATCTCTGGACTCCAGTGAACTATGTTTCCCTTCTGATTATTGATCCATTACATACATTTCATTTCCAGTGTTCATTATTTGTGATCTGTCCTACTTACTAATAGACTTTGCATATGCTTTGTACATAGCCTTTGTGTTTGCTGACTGATTCCTATATGATACCTACAGTATATAAACCTCCTGTAACTCTTGGAAATACTTCAGTTCAAATATCATCTTAGTTCCTGCTCATTCCTGTTCCTCCAGACTTGAGCCAAGTCTCTTGCCATATTCCAAGTCTTAGGATTGTATCCTAGACTACATTCCCAGCTCTACCTTAGGGTAGTCTATCCTCTGTTAGTTTCTAGTCCAGACTTTGTCCAGATTAGTCTTATCCACCTGTCCAAGTAACATCTGGACATCTATTGGATTTATCTCATGTTTCAGATCTGGATGTCTGTTGTCTGCCATAGTCAAATCCTGGAAACTTTGGATGACTGTTCTAGCCCCTGGAAATTAAGGGCACATACTCAGGAAAGGGGCACAGCATAAGAGCTGAGGCCAAGCCCTTGCAATCTGACCCCCTTGAGCACACAACCTTAACAACTTGGTGAAGAGTTTTGAGTCTCAATGTTTGAGTTTTGGGTGTTGGTACTCAGGTTTTGGTACTTGGTGATTTGAGACTTGAAACTCAAAACTCATAAAAATGTATGAATTTCAAGTTTTGATGTTTGATGTTCTAGTTTCAGATGTCAGGTTTTGGTACTTGGTAATTTGAGACTCAAAACTCATAAAAATGTATAAGTTTTGAGTTTTGAGTTTCAAAGTCTGTTTTGATGTTCAAGTTTCAGGTTTCAGGTGTTGGGTTTTGGTACTCAGTAAATGGCAGACATGGTGTATTCAGGCTTTCAGGTTTCAGGTTTCTGTGGTCAATGGTAGGTACAGTGGCTCAAAAAAGTGTCTCAATGTTTGTGACTTTTTGTGTAATTGCTGTATTATGAGCTAGGGTGTGAGAATATGACTAAGCCATAGGGAGGTGTGGGAAAGCTTTGCTTCTAAGCTTTATGTTTGATTCCTCCAGTGTGAGAAAATTATGTCATCAAGTGAAGATATGTTTAATTTAATTTGGTGACTCATTGAGACACTTTTTTGACTTTCAGTTTGACCAATACAATCTCTATAATTCTGGTACTTGGTGTTTCCTCCTGTTGCTCTAATTACTTCTGCCACTCTTCTATGCATACTATCTATCAATTTGAGGCATTCCTCATCAACAATCTTGCCCCACTCTGCTGCAACTCTCTCCACAGCTGAAATAACCCCAATTGAGGATCTTGATAGACTGCAAGTGATATCTTGAGTAATTACCAGGGCTGTTTAATAGGGTTGAGGTCTGAGGACTAGACTTGCCATGATAGAACACTGATACCATAGTTTTCAAACCATTTGATGGTCAACTTGAAGTATGCTTAGGGTCATTATCTTGTTAGAAGGTAATGTTTTCTTCATTAATTCTTGATTCTTGCATGCTTCTGAGCAGATCCTTTTCCAAAACTGAAATGTGCTGCTTTGTATTCATCCTCCCCCCCACCTCACAGAGAATTCCTACTCCATTCCACTTCATACAACACCATACCATTAAGTTTCCTACTCCATACTTTAGTGTTTTCTTGACCTTTCTTTCTTCTAGTAATTTTTCTGCATTTCATTATATATATTCCTAGCCATCTGGCCCCATCCTATTGATTTTTGTCTCATCTGACCAGATAGCCCTATTCCAGCCCTCAACAGTCCAATATTGAGGCTTTAAAGCAAAGGCTAATCTCCTTCTTATATAGGCTAAAGACAGGAAAGGCATTTCTGCCTTAAGAGTACCCCTGACTATTTGAGTGGAGAGAGCAGTGTAGATGATGTAATTAATGAATTTGGTGGCTTGAGTAGCATTGGCAGCCTGCCTAGTTGGAATATTATGAACAAGAGATTTTTTGTTATATGATGTAAGCTTGAAAGGACAATTTGATTTGATATTTTTCTTATCTGGAATGACTTTTTTATGATCCTAATGATAGCAACCCTGCTCAGACCAGTTTTAGTAGCAATCTGCCTGGTATACAGATTAGAAAAGCTGATGATAATAACAATAGGGGCTATTTCAGCTGTGGAGAGAGTTGCAGCAGAGTGGGGCAAGATTGTTGATGAGGAATGCCTCAAATTGATAGATAGTATGCATAGAAGAGTGGCAGAAGTAATTAGAGCAACAGGAGGAAACACCAAGTACCAGAATTATAGAGATTGTATTGGTCAAACTGAAAGTCAAAAAAGTGTCTCAATGAGTCACCAAATTAAATTAAACATATCTTCACTTGATGACATAATTTTCTCACACTGGAGGAATCAAACATAAAGCTTAGAAGCAAAGCTTTCCCACACCTCCCTATGGCTTAGTCATATTCTCACACCCTAGCTCATAATACAGCAATTACACAAAAAGTCACAAACATTGAGACACTTTTTTGAGCCACTGTAGTGGTTGGGCTATCCTGTGTCATAATATATAGAGTGCTGGGCTGGCCCGACAACTATTTGAATGTGATGTGCTATCCCAGGGAGTATATAGGGCTGCCCTACTAAATTAATTAGGTAATGTATATAGGGGAGCTGGGCTATCTCACAACACAATATAGTGCTAGGCTGCCCCACTAAATTGTTGTGGCACCCCAGGTGATGTGTGTAGGAGATTTGGGATATTCCATATCACAAGATATATAGTGTTAGGTTGCCCCAATAAATATTTGAATATGAGGCTAACCCAGATAGTGTATGAAGGGTAGTCAAGCTAGCCCAATGTCACAGGTATGGGTACTGATGTTCTTAATGCTCTCTCACTCATTGCTCTCAACACTTGCTCATTTCTCTCAACTCTTACTCAGTTGTTACTCTTGACACTCACTTGTTCATCACTCTTGCTCACTTGTACCTGTGGACCCATACCCACCACATGAGTATGGTGTGGCATGGGTACAGGTACATCCTGGAATACCCACAGGTTACCCATGCTATTGCCTAGTAGTAGAATGTGCTTTTGTAGAGATGGATCCCTGACACCCTGGCTAATACTTGGATAACCCTTGAAAATTGCTGCTTGGGATACCCCAGATGGGTCATGGGACATGTTATGATACGCCCTGCCCTGCTGTACTTTTTCTCTCTTTCTCTTGTCATTGTCATATATTGTCTCTATCTGACTCATCTTACATTTACTGTATTACATCATGTGCTGCTTATGTGTACATTTCCTTTCTGGTCTCTCTGACTTTGTCACTACATCCATATTAGGCATATGGTCATATTTCTACTTACTTGCACCTGCCCTAAACCTCTCCTAGCTTTTCACTATAAATATGTGACTCCCAACTGTGTAATTCTTTACTTTAATCTTACTAGGTTTTACCTGGAACATCCTTTGCTTAGGACTCCCAATCCTAAGTCATCTGAACTGTACTTTAAGTCAGAGGCACTCCCTCTGTCTTAGCTTACACTGAACATTTGGCTTATTGCCTTATGTAGATTCTCAGCAGAGGTCCTGACTCTTATTAAGTTGTCCATTGTTAGAACTATCCTAGTTCATAACAGGACAGACTAAATACATTGGCCCAGTTGACCCAAGTTTCTCAGGGAAAGTATTAGAATGGCCCAGGTTACAACCTGTATTGCATGGGAATACCATCTAAGATCATACCCCTTAGGTGGGATTTTAAGACAGAATATATGTACCTAAGAGGTACCTTTTCCACTCTCCATATCTATTGACAACCAGGCAGCCATATTATCTGGTGGGAGCTTTCAGTCAAACCCAGGATTGTACATTGCAATCAAATTCCAGAGGATGATGTGGAAACTTCAATGTGACAACCCCGACCATGATACCACCTTGCACTGGGTCCCAGGACACGAAGGTGTCCATGGGAATGAGGAAGCAGACAAGGCTGCTAAGGTGGCAGCAGAAGGCAGACACAATAATAGCTCCAATGCATCCCTCCCATGCTATCTTCATAAAGGCATGCTCCCACTAAGTATTTCTGCTCTCAAGTAAGCACACAGCAAACAGACACACAAGATGGTCCCAAATGTGGCTCACCTCCCCAAGATTTCAATGCCTCCACCACATTGACCCCCATATCCTCCAGCACTCATTCATCAAGCTCACCTCCTCCTACTCCAAACGCCTGACAGGACTCATTCTGGGCTTCCACACCAACCACACCCCCCTCAACCAACATCTCTTTTGTCTAGCTAAGGCGGAATCCCCACATTGTCCACATTGTCCAGGAGTCAGTGAATCCGTACATCATTTCCTCTTCAAATGCCAGCAATACCAAAGAGAACGTCACATACTGGCATGTGCTCTAGGTCAAAAATCCACCTCCCTCCCATATCTGTTAGCTGAAGAGGATGCCATCCCTCATCTCACTCGCTATGCGAATGCCACTTGGTGCCTGAAATCCATGTTAGGTGAAGTACTCATGCCAAAACCAAACCCTGCCTGACCCCCCTGTAGACCCAATCATGCAGAGAATGCTGTGCCTCCACAAACCAACCTCCTCACTCCCCCCCCTCACCACCTACCTTACACACAACATAATACACTACCTATTACTCCTGCAAACCTCTTATACTCTCTATAAAAATCAAACCTATTCTCACTTGTCAACATGAAATCACTGGTTCAACCCTAGGGCCTCAGCCAACCAGAGAAAGTGACCCCATCAGCAGCACCCGCATATGACAACTTTATGTGGAAAGCTGGAGACCCACTGTGATGATCATGTTCAGGCTGGCCTGCTAGGACCCCATTCTGTAATCCCCATCCAGTCTGCACATCTCCTGCCCATCTCTGACACTTTCCTGCCATCTCCACATCTCTGACACATCGGACCCACTCAGAGATCCCGCACACTCATCCTACCATGTCCAGTCCAGTCCTGCTTAACCCCACTGGTGTGTAGTCAGTTATTTCCCATTACTGATTGAGTAGACAGCATTATTACATGGATTCCCACTGGCCACAGTACCTCATGGCCTTTTACCTACATATCATTGGACCTGTGTTTTTGCTACTGCTTTCACCTATGGACTCTGGATTTTCACATAGCTAGTTATTGTCATATCTGCATATCTGGATCTCAGATCCAACCCTTATCTCATCTCAGATCCACATCTTATCTCCGATCCTATCCACACCTTATCTCCCTCCAACATCTCATCATCCAATCTGTTCCACTCGTCCAGTCCAGTCCACAACTCATCCAAATCCACAACCAGCACTCATCTCCTTTCAGTAACCCCCTAACTCCGGTATTTCAGTTATCTGTATATCCATCCTGCTCCCTTATCTGCTACCTATGTTTCATTTCCATTTCATGATTTGTGATCCATTTGTACTTACCAATAGACTATCCACATGCTTCATACATAGCCTTGGACTCTGCTGATTGATCATTCCATTAGATACCTATAGTATATAACCTCCTGTAACTTTCTGTAGTACCTCAGTTCGAATATCATCTTAGTTCTGCTCATTCCTGTCCTCTGGACTTGAGTACCTCTACTCTTGTCACCCTCCAAGACTTAGGATTGATTCCTATAGTCTATCCATATCCACCTCTGTCCCCAACAGTCCATTACCATTAGTTTCTAGTCTGGACTTGTCCAGATTAGCCCTATGATACTTATCCCTCATCTGGAAGTCATCCAGATCTGTTACACTACTCATCTGACCTTCTGGATGTGTTAGCCTTGCCTTCCTGAAATAAGGGGCAATACTCGGGTCAGGGGCACAGTGCACAAGCTGAGGCCAAAGCCCTTCGGATCCAGTTATCCTTTGAGTATGACCTTAACAGTATATTCAAACTCACACCTTACTGAGTATACTTACACTTCCTATGGCACCAACCAAAACTGCAAACACTCTCCAAGCAGCCGGATTAGTATCTGCCTGCTGTGATTCCACTCCTATCGTCAACACCTTCAATAGCTTCTCACAGCATCGTGTTAGCCAGCATGCTACTGCCGGAAGCATCTCGGAGCTTCTGAGTCGTCAACATCCAGAGACCCCTACACAGACTCCAGCCCTAGCCCCTCTGGGCCAAAGAGATCTGGATGACGATGACATTGATCATGATACCCCTGGTGGAAATCCAGATGATGATCCGGATGATGAAGATGATGATGATAGAGATGATGGCCTGGGTCCACAGGATTGTGTTATGGTACTCCTATCCAGAGCTATCAACAATCTCGCCTGAAACAATCGTCGCACCACCCTCCCCAAAGATCCTAAAGTCAAGGTCCGGGAGCCGGATGTCTTTGATGGCACCAAGCCCTGGAAACTTCGTGCATTCTTTGTCCAGTGCAAGCTCAACTTCCAGAGCAAACCCAACGCTTTCCATACCAGAAGGTCTAGAGTCAATTTCACCCAATCCTATCTCAAAGGAATGGCCCTTGAGTGGTTTGAACCCGACCTCCTTTCCGATGAACATACCGATCGTCTGGACTGGATGGATGACTATTCAAAATTCATGCTTGAACTCCAGACCAATTTCGGACCTCACGACCCTTCCAGAGATGCAGAAATGCAGCTTGAACAACTCAATATGTGTGATGGACAGCGCATCAACAAGTATGTTGTAGAATTCCAATGACTTGCCTCGCAGGTCCGCAGATGGGGTGACGGAGCCCTACGCCAACAATTCTATAATGGACTTCCTGCTCATATCAAGGATGAAATCAGTCACATGGGGAAACCTGGCACACTCTCAGAATACAAAACCCTTGTGCAGACCATTGATGCCTGCTATTGGGAATGCAAAGGAGAGATCTCCCATGAAACCAAATCCTCCGCACCCAATCCTCCTGCCAAGTCTTCCGAACGGACCAACACCAATGCATCTGGATCTGGAAGCACTTCCTCCAGAAACAACAAATCCAGAAAGACAACTTTGTCCACTACCTCCACCTCTAAAGCTCCGGACCTTAACAACAAATTGGGTAAGGACAGGAAGCTTACATCCGAAGAATGTCAGAGGAGGCTGGACAGGAAGCTCTGTCTGTTCTGTGGTGGACCTGGGCATACTGCTTGGGACTGCACCAAGTCAACTTCACGCGCTACCAAAGGTCACACAGCTACAGTTGATCCAGAAACCAAACCGGATGCCTCAGACGAGGCAAAAAAATAATCCACGACCCTCCTGACTCTGCATGGGATGAGGGTCGCATTGACTCAACGCTGTTTCCTTGTCTGATCCGAACTCTCTCTGTCCATATGTTTCCATCCCTACATATTCCGATATTTCCGACTTTCCAGCTCTTGTAGATTGTGGTTCTTCCCATTGCTTCATAGAATCCAACTTCGTCCATAAATATAATCTACCTACCTATGCAATTTCTCTGATTCCACTCTGTTTGTTTGATGGTACTTGTAATGCAACCATTTCCAAAGCTATAGATCTGCCCATCCATTTCTTGTCCGGTGTAGTCACCTCTGATACGTTCTACATAACTCCTTTGGATTCATCCTGTCTTATCGTCCTTGGATATAGCTGGCTTAACCAACACAATCTGTTGATTGACTGGGTTTCACACAGCATCAAGTTCCAGACTCCACCTCATGGAATGCCATTGACCCCTCCAATATCGCCTCTGCCACCTCCAGTGGAAACTACCCCTCCGACTACTCCAGACACCTCCGCTGATACCTCCGAGCCTAACATTTCTCTAATCAATGCAGCTGCCTTTTGCCAGGCCTGCAAGTTAGAAGGCTCCAAGCAGTTCAGCATCTTCCTATGTCCTTCTGGTGCCAAGATCCGCTCTGTATCCACTTCGTCCGATGCTCCAGATCTATCTGCAATCCCTCCGGAGTATCATGAATATGCGGATGTCTTTGACAAGGGAAAAGCTAGCCAACTTCCTCCTCATAGGCCTTACAACCTAAAGATCGACTTAGAGGAAGGTGCTGCTCCGCCCCTAGGCACCATATATTCCCTTTCCCCGGTTGAGCTTGAAGCTCTCTGGAAGTTCCTGGATGAAAATATCTTGTCCAGACTCCTCCGTTCCTCCTCCTCTCCACACAGAGCCCCTGTCCTGTTTGTCAAGAAGAAGGATGGCTCCCTGCATCTTTGTGTGGATTTCCGTGGCCTGAACAAGATCACCAAGAAAGACTGCTATCTGTTGCCCCTCATTGCCGACCTCTTAGACTCTCCAAGCTGCGCCAAAGTTTATACTAAAATCGACCTCTGGTCCACTTACCATCTCGTCTGGATCTCTTCTGGAGACGAGTGGAAGACAGCATTCCGGACGCGCTATGGCTCCTATGAATGGTTAGTTATGCCCGAGGGTCTCACCAATGCTCCAGCGTTTTGTCAATAGCATCTTCGCCGATATGCTTGACATATGTGTTGTGGTGTATCTGGACGACATCCTCATCTATTCCCATGACCTTGCATCCCATAAGCAACATGTCCAAGAAGTACTTCAACGACTCCGAAAGCATCAACTCTATGCCAAACCAGAGAAATGTGAGTTCCACTCCGATTCCATTGAATACCTTGGTTACCTCCTGTCTCCAGAAGGCCTTACTATGTCATCCAATAAAGTCAAAGCTATCATTGACTGGCCAGAGCCACAGAAGGTCAAGGATGTTCAATCCTTCCTCAGATTCGCAAATTTCTATCGTCGTTTCATCTTCAACTACTCGGACATCGTCACTCCACTCACCCGGCTTACACACAAGAATGTTAACTGGGATTTTTCGGAGGATTGCTGGAAATCATTTGCTGCACTCAAGAAAGCCTTCACTTCCGCTCCAGTGCTTACGCACTGGATTCCGAACATTCCTATTGTCATTGAAACCAATGCCTCTGATTATGCTATCGCTGGAATACTGTCCATTGTATGTCCGGACTCAGAGCTTCATCCAGTAGCATTCTATTCTAGAACCCTGTCCACTCTGGACCTCAACTATGATACCCATGACAAGGAACTCCTAGCCATATATGAAGCTTTCCAGACCTGGCAACACTACCTAGAAGGCTTGTC